TAGTGAGTTAGAGCTCATAAAGAAAAGATCAGTACTAGCATATGTTCTAAAGAATCATGTCTTTTTGACAGACGGACTATTGTATGAGCTAATAACAGAATACACAAACCTCACTCATAAACAAGTTGCCAAACATGATAAAAACATCCAAACTCAAGAAAAATCACTCACACTCACAAAGAGTGGTAACGCTAGATATGTGAGAACACAGAAAGATGTCAGTGGAAGTAAAAAAAAGACCAAGATTGCTGGCCAAGATGATAATAATATCGATGAGAATAAAGTAACACCTGAAGCCTGTACCCCACAGGGTATCCAGTCGATGGGACTTAATATTTATGCTGACAGTCATGGTAGAAAACTATATGAGACTTTACAACCAAATCTCAATTTGAATTCAAAACTGTTTGTCAACACAAACCCAGGAGCACCTGTGGAGTACATTCTTCAAAACGCTGATGGTAATATTAAAAACCAATGCAGCAAAGACACTGCTGTAATAATTGCTGGAGCAAACAATGTTGAAAAAATGTTAAATGCAAATCTTAATCCATCAAAAGAAATTCCAGAACAATTTGAAAATTTCATAAAAAAACATAGTCACACAAGAATCCTTTTTGTTCCTCTGTTCCACAGATTCGACCTCTTTCCTCAGCATATTGTTAATAGAGAAATTCGACGAGTAAACCATATTTTAAAATCCAAGAACTACAAATTGGTAGACTGCTCTTTGTTACGTCGACACCATTTTACACAACATGGACAGCACCTTAATGGGACTGGGAAAAAAACTGTTGTGTGAACAAATTGTTAAAGCAATAAAAATTGACACTCAATCACCTGACACATCTCATAATAACATTACGGTACCTGAAGAAAAATTGGGCATACAAATTATTGAATGTGGAATGACTGAAGTTTTTAAAAAGTATGGTGAAGACAAGAATGCAGCATTTTCCCACTGTATCTCGGCAGACTTTACATCAGACAGACATATGAGTGCTGGAGTGGCTGTCAAATTCAAGAGCTATTTTGGTAAGCCAGACTATGGAAACTACTGTGACAAGCACCTGACATTTCAAGAAACACCTAAAGGGTCAGTTTACAGCCTGGTGACTAAGCCTGTGTATTTCTCAAAGCCAGATAGGAATGAGTATAATGCGGCATTTCAAGAGCTCATCATGGATTTTCGAAAGAGAAACTTTATGACATTAGTATGCTCGCCAATGGGTTGCATAAGAGACAACATTTCAATAGACTTTTTCGCCTCAAATATTGTCAACTTCCAACTAAAAACAAAAGCAAAAGTCATCATAGTAACATACAACCAAAACTCTTACAGAGCCTTGAGGAATGGACTGTCTCAAGATATGTTTGTGAAACAACTCAGGGCTGCTATCTCCGCTGAACACAACAGACAGATGCAGGACACCATACAAACATCAGCCTCCACCACCACCACAGTTACACCTCTGCCACCACCACAGAACATCCCCAGCCAGCCACGAGTCTCACCAGGACATCTCACATATGCTGAAGCAGCAGCGCAAGATTCTAGTGATCGTTGTGAGAGTCAACAATCCAGTCATCTTGCTTCTCCACTAAATGATTACATCTGCAGCAGCCCCGGGACTCGTGACATCAGTAATGAATCTACACAAAGCTCTACACCTCTGAAGCCTCTAGCAGTGAGTGATGTGGGGGGGAATAAAGCCAATCTGGGGAGTGCAGTGGTTAGTGATGTGATGGAAGCAGATATATCCAGACCAACCTCAGAACAAAAGGAGTCTTTTTTAGCTTTAGTTCAACCCAACCAAAATGTAATGCAAACAAATTAGCTTTAAGTATTTACCACCAAAATATTAGAGGTATAGTGTCATCATTAGAACCGTTAGATGTAACTTTAACTGAACTTGATCCTAGTATAGTTGTCTTGACTGAGCACAAAATGTTAACTTCAACATTCCCAAGACTAAATATTAATGGCTATAACCTCGTTGCCAGTTTTGGTCGCAAAAAGTCTAGAGGTGGCGGGGTTGTAATTTTATCAAAACCATATATTCATTGCAAAGAAATTGTTTTGTCTGAAATCCAAGACCTTATATCTGAAAATATTTTTGAATGTTGTATGATAGAGGTAGATAAGGTAATTAAAGGCGGTAAATTACTCATTATTGGTTGTTACAGGAATCCTATTAAACATATTGAAGCAGAATTTATTCGCAGACTAAATATAATGCTTGAAGTTTTGAATTTTAAATATAAACACGTGGTTTTCATGGGGGATATAAATATTGACTTATTACAATTTAATAATAGTAATAGAAACACGTTATTAAACATTGTAGTAGCTAATGGATTTAAGTCTCTGATTGATTTTCCAACCAGGATTACTGAATCAACTGAACCAGCAATAGATCATGTTTTTACAAATTTAGACAGCCAATTTTATAAATTAGTCGGTATTAACACACAACTTTCAGACCACGATGGACAAATTCTAGAAATTATAAATAAACATAAAAATCAAATGTTAAATAATTCTTCTCAATTTTATTATTAATACAAAAGAAAATTCAGCGACTCTAATATTGAACAATTTATTAATATTTTACGAAATGAAACTTGGTTAGATCTTTTCTTATCACCGGTTGAAAATAAGTAGGACACATTTCATAAAACTTTCATTGGTCATTTTAATGAATGCTTCCCTAAAACTCTTTCAAGACAGCACACTAAAAAGAAATGGATTTTTAAGGAACTTAAGACAGAAAGACAGGAAATTATTGATTTAAGTAAAACAGCGAGAGATATTAATTCCAAAGTTTTGTTGGACAAAGTTAAAAAAATGAACAAACATTATAAAGAAAAATTAAAATCTTCAAAAAAAGAATATTACAAAAAGAAAATTAGTAATTCTAGTAATGTTAATAAAACATCTTGGATGATAATTAATTCTGAAGTAGGAACTGGCTCTTTAAAAACTGAAAATATAAATTTAAAAATAAATGATGATGTTTGTTCTGATCCTTTATTGATTTGTAATCAGTTCATTGATTATTTTGCAAATATTGTGGATGACAGTGTCTTGTCGAATCTAGAGCAAGCCAGAGATGATCATAGCAGTAGTAATACTGGGAGTGAGATACTTCCATGTGACAGGAAATTTTGTTTTAGCTTTGTTGATGAGAAGGACATAGATGCTATTATATGCAGCCTAAAAAATTCTTTCAGTATGGGGTATGATGATGTCCCTGTGGTACTTCTAAAAAAAGCTAAATCAGTCTTACTAAAACCTATTACTCATCTTATAAATTCTTCCTTAATTTCAGGTATTTTCCCCAACAAACTTAAGATTACAAAATTAAAACCACTCTTCAAAAAAGGAGACAAGAAAATAGTATCAAACTATCGCCCTATAGCATTGTTACCAGCTATCTCAAAAATTTATGAAAAAGTAGTTTATAATCAACTGGTAAATTTTTTGGAAAAAAATCATCTATTTGAGGACTGTCAACATGGCTTCCGCTATGGTCGATCTGTTATTACAGCTGCCACAGACTTCATTGAATCTGTTATAGATAGTCTAGACAATAAAGGTAAAGTTGCGGGTCTATTCATGGACATTAGCAAAGCCTTTGATTCAATATCACATGATTTATTAATTTTGAAATTGAGTAAATTAGGAATTAAAAACAATACTTTAAACTGGCTAAAATCTTACCTTCATGATAGAAAACAGATTGTCGAAATTATTTACCATAACAACAAAAATTATAAAATCCCCTATCGTTCCGATATTAGGCTACAGCAGTTAAATATGGGGTGCCACATGGATCCATTTTAGGTCCCCTTTTATTTATTTGCTATTTAAGAGACTTCCCTCAGCTTTCTGATTTCAGTAAACTTTGACTTTATGCTGATGACACCAATTTGAAAATCACTGCATCAACCGTTGCTGAATTAGAAATTAAAATTAATTCCGACCTAACTCTCTTAAAAAAAATTTTTAATGCCAACAATTTGCTTTTAAATCCTGAAAAAACTAATATTATTTGTTTTAAAACTCGATCCGCTCAAAATATAACTCAACCTAATGTTACCATATTTGATCAAAAAATTGAGGTTAAAGACAGCATAAAATTTTTAGGATTAGAAATAGAAAGTACACTTAAATGGAACCGTCATGTTGAACAATTACTCACTAAAATTTCTTCTGGCCTTTATGCATTGGTTAGGTTGAAAAATTTTTGTGAAAAAGAATCTCTAAAAGTTGTTTATTTCTCTTACATCCATTCAGTGATATCATTTGGGCTATCTCTTTATGGTGCAACTACTAAAGAAAACTTAAACTCTATCTTGATAATGCAAAAAAAAGCCATTAGAATTATTCGTAATTTACAACCCAGAACTTCAGTTAAAGATTATTTTAAATTAGAAAACATAATGACTGTTTATGGAATGTATGTTTTTGAAACAGTTTTATCCATAAAAAATAGATTTCAGGAATTGGAGCTAATCGGTAACAATCATGAATATAACACCAGAAATCGGGGCTGTATCGCAATGAGCTATCACACTCTGGAACTTTTCAAAAAGAAACCTAAATATGCTGGTTCAAAATTTTATAACAAAATTCCAAAAAGCATAACAGATGAGGTGTCAACCAAAAAATTCAAAATTAAATTGAAGCAGTACCTCATCAGCAAAGCTATATATTCTTTCGATGAGTTGTAGGAGGTAATGTCAATTTTTGAATATATTGTTAATTCTAAGATACCTTTGTTTTTCATTTTTCAATACCTGTATATTTTGACACTATTTATGTATGTATTGTATACTACTAACAAATAAAGATTATTTGAATTTGAATATACCAATGTTTTTTTATATTCAGAAACAAGTTTCAGGACTACTTAGGAAGATTTGGTTTTCAAACACTGTTTTTAGCATCTTGGTTGTATAATTTTTGTTTAAAGTCCTTAAATAATTCTTTGCAGGAATTAAAAGCAACAGAAAAATCTCTCAAAAACAAAAATGACTTTGTTATTCATGAGGATGTGGTGGAGGAGAAGGGATCCAAAAAGTTGGTTGTTGTGGAGACCAAACCGGCCTCTCAAGCTGTTGTGCCAAAACAGAAAATTAAGGAAGATAAAGAAAACAATAAAAATACAGATGCTGGGTTGGAGTTGTCTGATGCTGTCATTTCAGTGCCCCGACAACCGCTGAAAGATTTAAAGGTATGTACTTATTTTTCATAGAGACTTGATCACTGGTGGGTTGAACTAGCTGCAGAACACAGCTGCAGGATTGTAAATGTTGTGCACGTTTTCTAGCGTCTGCATTTTTTGGCTTTAAAGCATTTTCCTAAATGCAATATTCAATTGCAGAGTTGGTTTAGTCCTAAGATTCAGTTTTTAATAGGCCTAGAGTCTAATGTCTAGTTTTTCTAGATATTTGATAAAGACGTTCTTGAAATGTGAATGTGCGGGGTTCTACACAATTATGTCCCTCTTCTAGTTAGGCCTAATCATTCATTATCAGAAATAAATTAATTTGGGTACGGCATCACTAATTAACAAGAAAAACACTTCTGAACTAAATTAATTGTCTAGTTTAGTATTGAATTAGTTCAGTTTTATCCTTCAGAAGTTAAAGTAATGAAAATAAAAATCATTTTACCATTTTAAGTTAATAACACAAGTCATTGTCACAACTTATAACTGTTACAATTCACTATTGATAGATATACTAAACCAAAATAGTCCAGGAACACGGGATGTCTATGTTGCTGCGGGGTGTAGGACTAACTACTATGGAGCAGTCGCCTGTCTCGCATCCAGTTGTAGGATGCAGTCCTTATCGAATTTGGCAGCTAGGAAAACAATGTTACCTACATGCAAGCAAAATTAAAAACTAAAGTTTCTGGACTAGCATTGAATTAATAAAGTCAACACAAGCTTGCTAATACTAGCAGCTTATTAAAAACTGGACAGAATTTTGGAAATCTAAACTTTTTTAATTACCAAAGTCTGCTTTCGTGATTTGGTTGTAAACTAGCATCATACTTGTAGTTGCTTTTGAAGAAGTCGCTATAGAATTGTTTATTTTTGGGGGCACAATAAACAAAAAAATATTACATTAAACAAAATCTCTGTTGGGGATTCTTGTTACTGTACATCAAGGTTATACTTACTTACTATGACAATCAGCATAGAAAATGAATGTTTTCATTAGATTTCAGAACCAGTTGAAGATGTTAGGGAGGAAGAGGAGGCTATGTCTGAGAGCTATAGCAGTCCAGAGCAGTCTTCACCTATGTCACTGGAGTCTGTGAGGATCAGTTCACCTCTGGTGCGCCACACCAAGCCACACCTGCAGCTGCTGTACGATATGGAGGAGTACCGGAGTGATATATTCCAATACCTGCGTCAAGCTGAGGTAGGCAAACACCTCTACTCCATGGCAAATTCAGTATAAATTAGATTGAAGGCACCAGTGAATCGACTGTTAAGCTTAAGTTTAGGGATGGGCGAGTAGTGATTTTTTTAGTCGAGTCGAGTAATTAGCCCTAAACTCGAGTGTCGAGTCGAGTCGAGTAGTTCACGAGACAATCAACAATTTTATTTGACATATATTCCATCTTCATTTTTAAGAACAAAGCATTTCTCAATTCACCAAAAATAGACCTGGTTAAAAACTTTTATACCATATAAAAAACACAATATGTATGTGTATCAAACTTATATTTTGGTGTTAAAGGTTTATTATTAATTGCAAAAAAACAATTACAAAAATATGGAACTAAATGTTTATTTTAAAATAGGCCTACTGTAAATAATTGAATTTGACGTAACGTATGAGATCTAATAAAGTATCCTCTAATTTATAAATAGGCTTATATAGCTAAATCATTTGTCAGTTTTTGTATTTAATTTATTTGAAGTTGCATCAATTGTCTTAGTCAAGTCATTAAGCTATAAATAAAAAAAAATCTTGGCCTACAGATACTCTTTGTAAGGTAAGTTTTTTCCCTAAGTGAGTAAAAACTCACTTCCTATATAATGACATTTTCTCACTAGTTATTTACCTTACCTTACCTCCTTGGCCATTCAAACCTAAGTTGGTTTTTGGCCTCGCCAACAAGTTGCCTCCAGTGTTTTCTGTCTGCTGCTTTTGCAATTGATGTCTCCATGCGCTGAAGGTCTTTCCGCACCTGGTCTCCCCATCGTAGTTTAGGTCTTCCTAGTGGTCTGGTCCCTCAGCCATTGACGAGTAGGTCGGGTCCCTCAGAAGGAAATAGAGCCATTGACAATTATAATTAAAAAGAAAAGAATTTCATTCATTGGATGTCTTTTAAGGACACCCTGGAAAATAGAATACAAGCAAGAAGATAATTGAAAAGTTGTGGAATAGCAAGAGTGACTTTAGGTGGATTACAGAGATTAAGGAGGACATGAGAAGGCAGAAAATATCATAAGAAGATTTGGAAAATAAGACAATAATATCATCCTGCCAATAGGAGCAAACAATCAGAGACAAGGAAGAGTGGTTTCGGAAGAAGAAAGAAAACAACGTTCAGAAAGAATGAAGAAGTATTGGGCGGACAAGAATAAGAGACAGAATTTAAAAAGAATCTCACCATTATATTGATCTAAGTGTTCCAATGCTGGCCATAAAATAATAATAATATCATCATAGACTATGGGTGTCCTTTAAAGTCCTAAATTGATTAATTTTGGTCCGATTTTGATGAAATCTGGCACAAATGTGTAGGACAGGATATGCTTAAATGAGTTCGCAAAACAGAAAGATGAGGGTGGGCTACTCGAAATAAAAAATATTAGAATACATTAGTGACAGCATTAACTAAGGAAGGTTGAGTTGAAGGGAGAGTCTTATTCAGTCCTAATGGTGGTCAGAACCTTGTTGTTGGATGTTTTTTAAATGTTGTGATATTGTTTTTGGACGGTTCAGATTTAAGGTTGTTGTTCTGTGCATGAATATTTATTTATCTCCATTTCACTCCTGTATACTATTTTTATTTATGAATGTTACTAACATATCCATCTATTTGCAGAATCGTCAGAGACCCAAGGCCCTGTACATGCGGCGGCAGCCTGACGTGACCTACTCCATGCGCTCTATCCTAGTAGACTGGCTGGTGGAAGTAGCAGAGGAGTACAAGTTGCAGACGGAGACACTGTACCTGGCTGTGTCCTTCATAGATAGATTCCTTAGCGTCATGTCTGTAGTGAAAGGAAAGCTGCAACTTCTCGGGACTGCTGCCATGTTTGTTGCTGCGTAAGTAACTGAGCCCCATCAAAGGTAGACCCCTATTTTATCATTGTGGTTTTCCCGAGAGTGTTTTTAACAGGGTGTCTAGTAGTCGGGAAAATCGGGAAAGTCGGGAATTAGTATTGAATTTCAAAATGGTCTTGAAAAGTCGGGATTTAGTCTTAAATTTGATTTCAAAGTCGGGAATTTTCATGATTTTGCCGCGATCGTCGTCTTGCGTTTACGTAACCGCAAAAGCCAATGATGATGTCTACAGGGCCTCGGGAAACGTTCAAGATTTTGCCGCGATAGTGGACGACGACGATGACGTTTCCGAAACCACGAGAGACGACGATGACGTTTCTGTGACAGCGGGAGATTACGATAACGTTTCCGTGACCGCGGGAGACGACGATGATGCCTACACGGCCGCGGGAAAGGTTCATGATTTTGCCGTGATTGCGGACGATGACGATAACGTTTCCGTGACCGCGGGAAATGTTCATGATTTTGCCGCGATCGCAGACGACGACGATGACGTTTCCGTGACCGCGGGAGACGACGATGATATCTGCTCGGCCGCGGGAAATGTTTATAATTTTGTAACGATCGCGGACGACGACGATGACGTTTCCGTGACCGCGGGAGATGACGATGACGTTTCTGTGACCGCGGGAGACGACGATGATGTCTACACGGCCGCGGGAAATGTCCATGATTTTGCCGCGATCGAGGGAGATGACGATGACGTTTATGTGACCGCAGGAGACGACGATGATGTCTGCTCGGCCGCGGGAAATGTTCCTGATTTTGTCGCGATCGCGGACGACGACGATGACGTTTCCGTGACCGCGGGAGACGACGATGACGTTTCCGTGACCGCGGGAGACGACGATGACGTTTCCGTGACCGCGGGGACGACGATGACGTTTCCGTGACCGCGGGAGACGACGATGACGTTTCCGTGACCGCGGGAGACGACGATGATGTCTACACGGCCGCGGGAAATGTTCATGATTTTGCCGCGATCGCGGACGATGGCGATGACGTTTCTGAGACCTCGGGAGACGACGATGATGTCTACAAGGCCGCGGGAAATGTTCATGATTTTGCTGTGATCGCGGACGACGACGATCACGTTTCTGTAACCGCTGCAGTCAATGATGATATCTAAACGTACGGTACGTGGAAGATTTCGTGATAAAAAAAAACCAAATTTGCTAGTTAGAACTTTTTATTGCTGCATTATTTCTTTACTTGAAAACACCACATTGTTATAATACTACTTTATGACAAAGACAGGGGTTGGTGTAGTATTATTCAGAAAATTTGGTAAAAATAATTTGCTATAAAAATTGGTATCGGTATCAAGAATTGAGAATTGATACAGTTTGGTATCAACACCCAAAAACTAGTCTTGAAAAATCTGGAATTAGTCTTGAAAAGTCTGGAATTAGTCTTGAATTTTATAATGGAAATAAACTAGACACCCTGTTTTAAGTTGCATGCACTAGTCTGTGCAACTTAAGCACTCTTACAGCATCTGTTTGTTAACTTTTTAGGCATTTTCTTTCACTTTTCAGTTGAGCTAGTGTGTCTAACCTCTAACAGACATTTTGGATACCAAACAGTTTGTTGAATATTTTCTGTACGGTAAGTACAGTACAGAAAATTGTGTATATGGCTCAAATAGAATGTATAACTGGTTAGTGGTAATGATGATTTGGATAACTAAAACCTAAATGATAAAAAAAATCATACAGAATGTAGTTTCAGAAATTATAACCAAGCACTAAAAATGTTTATTAGTACAATATATTATTAGGTATCCATGATTGTTTTTGTAATAAGTTGATGAGGGGTTTTACTGTACCTATTTACTAAGTTTGTTGGTTTTATGCAGTAAATATGAAGAGATCTACCCTCCGGATGTGGGCGAGTTTGTTTACATCACAGACGACACCTACAACAAGAGACAAGTGCTGAGGATGGAGCAGCTCATCCTCAAGGTTCTTGGGTTCGATATCTCTGTACCTACCATCTACTCATTCCTGGTACACATTGCTGTTGACTGCAACCTTTCTGTACGACTCACCAATCTTGCCCAGGTACAGTTCATGATGTCTGAATATTGCTTTAAAGAAAAGCGTTAAGTGAAACGTGAATTTCTTTAGTGGTTTGTGTTTTATACCCTTTAGACTTTAAATAGATGTAAACAGGTATATTATGAAAGGTGCTGTTACAATGATTTAACACTGTTAAAGGATAGGGATCAGCTAGCTTACCTGGTAGACAGAGCCCAGATTAGCCTTGGTAACACACAACTCAATACAGAAAACTTACTTTGTGCCAGTTAGGGACTTCATCTGAAGGGAGAAGAGCGAAGACTAGCAGTTTAAGTTCAAATTCAAAAGTTCCACAACAGTGGGGCCAACTGTTGTTTAAATCCTTTTGCTATGTAGATACATCTATATACCCACACTCATATATACACATGATAGGTTGATTAAAAGTTCAGTGAAGAATGTGAAGCTGCTTAGAAAAGGGTTGGGTGGATTATCTTATGTTAAGGTCAGGAGGGTTTCTGGAATCAGTAATGTATTGGTAGGCTAGTTTTCTGTGTTGTGTTATGTGTGTTACCTAGGCTAATCTGGACTCTGTCTATCAGGTAAGCTAGATGATCCCTATCCTTGTAAATAATAATCCTAACCAGCCAATTGGCCTCTCCTTAACTTTTAACATTGTTAAAGTTAGCTTATCACAAAAAGGCAATATTTCCTCATTGTACACCTATTTTGAAAAGATAAACATCCATCAATTACAAAGGGTGTCCATAAATAAGGTCTCCAACCAGGAGTTTCCTGATTGACAAAACAATCTAGTTCAAATCAGACATCCAGAGTCGAGTTCTTTGGTACTTCATACTTTAAGATTCTAGCCCCCCCCATCACTATGACTATCTCATAGTGTAGTTGATAATGGTGGAAGGGGAACTATACACTATTGCCATTTATAAATTGCTTAAAATGTGCTTAAAAAGGCTCTTACTTGCTACGAGAAAGGCATCAACCCCTTGTTAAATCTTATGCTAGTTGATGGATGTGTTTGCAGAAAAGTGTTTTGATGTAAACAATCATGTAAATGTAAATAATAACATAAGTGACATAGGGAGTTCACAGAAGGCCATTTATGACGCTTGCAGTGAGGATCCATCAGTTTCCATCAAGAAGCAATTAAGGTTGAGAAATTTTGTTGACTGATCGGTATGTTTACAATTACAAGAGTTTACAGTAAAAACACTTTGTTCTTCAATAATTGTGATGGAAAATCTCCGCAATAATCCCTTAAACAATAGTGTTTACCGGTTTCTTCAGTAGTCTTAGATGTTCCCTATCAGTTTTGCTATCTCTTGTCAAGTCAATCCGGGATCTGCAAAATAACTGCAAAAATTATAAAATACCCCAAACTTGGTTATTGCTTCCAACTAAATTGATGAACGACCGCAGCTGGCATCCTCTTGCAAAAAATCTTAATCATGACAAATAGTTACCACCATGAACTCCCCCCCCCCTTATACTCGGTCTTTTACAGTACCTGTGTGAGCTGACACTGTTGGAGGGAGACCCCTACCTGATGTTCAGTCCCTCAGTGGTGGCCAGTAGTGCACTGGCTGTGGCTCGTCACTGTCTAGAGTACGACCAGGTGTGGACCAAGGAGTTACAAGAGACCACTGGCTACAGTCTGGCTGAGCTGGGACCTTGTATTGCTCATCTCAACACAACTCACAGCAAGGCGGCTGGTCTACCGCAGCAGGCTATCTGCGAAAAGTACAAGACTCAGAAGTGAGTAAATATATTCACTATTCCGATGGATAATTATTTTAAGTAAGATAAAATAAATAGACTTTTTTTATTCCTGTTTCAACTTGGCATCAGGTCCCTGATATTTTCAGGTCGCGTCAGGCAAACCAATGACTTGAGGCGTCGGGAAAAAATGTTAACTGGGTCACATTTATTTTAACGATAGCAGAAAGCATCAGCTAAGATATGTTAAGAATTTTTCATTCCTCCATTAATTTTTCCTTTAGGCAACTTGAAAAATAACCTATAACTTCAAAATTACATTCTTAATGTACATTAAGACATAGGTTTGTGTAGTAATCCATACAGAAAATTTGGTAAAGTTTTTTATTATGGTACGCCTATCTGTATTTGTAATTTATTTTTCAGGTATGGATTCAGAGAATTGATAAGTTTTGGTATCGACACATCACTATTTTTTTTATGAGTTAATCATAAATTGCTGGTTTAACATTTTATTTTTCACAAATTTTGTTCCTTAAACTGATAACGCTTTTTTCGATAACTAAAATAATCAAGAATCAAGAAGTTTATTCACCATTAAGTAATACATGATTACAATAGGCTTCATCAGTTATTCATTGAAAGACAGTACCAAGATAATAATAATAACAATAAAATCAAATCAATATAGATTAGATAGAATATAGAATAGAGAGCTGTGTTAGCCCCAAAACAGCATTGCGGGAGCCGGAGCGAAAACAAGGTGGCAGTGGCCGAGTCCCGAACTAGGGTGGTGACGTGTCCAGTGCTACGTTGGTCATTGTTGCCGTCGTATTGTAACCAACGCACTCGAGCCGTTCTTGTTCTTTTACAACAAAAATGTACCAGTATCTCAATTTGGCAAGATATTACCACAATTTATTTCAATATTCTCGTATTAATATGGATTTTGTGTTGATTTAACACTATCCCACAAGTTAAACCATGTGTTTTTTGTTTCAGATGGCAGAAAGTAAGTGAAGTTGAGCCCAAAGCTTTACGAATCGTATGAGAATACTAACTGATTCTATCTTATTGTTGATGCCCTGCTTTAATAGGGATCCACTATAACCCCCCACTTCACATCCACAACTATACAATTGCATTTAGCACATATTGTGCCTTTTATGGTAATTTATTCTTAACTATTGTTGATGTATTTTAACTTATTAACACGATTTTACCTATCTTGTTCTATTGGCTCCTATATATCCAAATTTGTATTGTAAACTTGTTCCAAACCATATTATTTGTATCCATATTATTAAATATACTCTGAGGGTTTGTTTATTGATTGCTGTGTATTTTTGTACAGTATTGGTGATGTATATATAAGTTATTTGTACAAATTGTCTTAAGCTCGCTAACTTTGCGGTACTATGTCCTGCAGTGATTATTTGTTAGTACAAACCTTTTGGGTCTGTTTTAAGATTAATCTCTTAGTCCTATAAATTTTAGTAGATATGATTTGTTTTATACTTTTAGAATAAAACGTTTGTTGTGATATCAATTTCACGACTGGATTTGTTCATTGCACCAGTATCACCTGTCTTATTTGTGGATGCTCAAGTTAGGGACACTCTCTAAACGTATTACAAGGTACCCACTCATTCGTAGAAATCTTAAAATCGTGTATGAGTCTTAACTTTTGTCAACCATGAAAAACACCTGAATTTTGCTGTGAAACCTCAGAAGTATGAATGAGCTGATACCGATTCAGGAATTGGGATATCATCGATTCTTGTTGCTTTGTATGCTAAGTGCTACCCCAGAATCTCCCTAGATAACTTAGACATCTTCCGTAATTGTGTTGCGTCTACGTCATAAATGTTGATTGTCAAAACTTTGTTAACGATCTCTTTTTTAGATTTCTGTACCAAAAAAGGTTGAAATCAGTAAATTCTCAGAAGAACGGAGATTGCAATTTACCTCATGTTCAAGTCTTCAGCATTTCTACTTCCAAATATTCAGTTAAATGTTAAATGCTTATCTGATTTGACCTTAATGGTTAATTTTAAAAAACAGCTTATAGTTTTTATTCATTTTATATATTGGCATAGATTAAACATTCTCCCTTGTGTTGGTTGGTTTATTTATATTTTATTTTGTGTATTTTCTACACCAATGTCATTTTTACGTTTTGAAATAGGATGGTCCAATTCCAAACCCTAGTCTTGTAACTATCTAAAGTTGATCTTTTTGTTAGATAGCATCATTAATTCATAGTCCAAGGGTATGGACCTTCAGATTTGAAGGCGAGCACTATAACCACTCGGTTACCACTACCAGACAATTATATGATATTGGTCTGGAATTAGAATCACATCCTGGGTTCTGGCTGTTGACTGCACACGGCAAAATAGGTAGTGTGTTAATTAAGTCATAAAAAATATACATATATCAAGTATGACCGTGGATAAACCGTGACTTGAATTTTCAAGTTTGAGTGGGGACCCTGGTATAATGCATACCACATAGTATTCTCAACAGACTTGTCTTTTTAGAGACCAATTCTTGAATAGGTTTTTTCAAGTTTTCCTTTAGTCAGTTGAGTGGTTACTTTATTTAGGTAGTTGTTTATATATTTGTTATTAATGTTTCAATATGATAAACAGTAATCGACAGTGTTCCAGTAAAAAGTGATTATGTTAAACCAGCAGCTTCTTACCAAGGTTTTCAACTCTTGTGATAGGTAGTAACTATCTGTTTTGTGTTAAGAAAGATATACGCTTTTTTGCTAAGGTTTGCCATTGATCAAGTGAAGCACAGTGTAATGATACATGAAACAGTAACTCCAACTAAACTTTATTTCATGGATTCAATTTTGTTAATAGTTTCATGATTTGTTGTTGGCTTTTAGCTTAGAACCTCGTATTTTATTACATAAACCATTGTTAAGGTGTTTAAAATGTAGTGTGATAACTAAAATAGTTAGAACATCAAAGATCACAAAATGAGAGTTATTATTATTCATATTTAGCTAACCAAAATCACAGAATAGGAAGATAGTGTTGATGAAGAACACTGTTATAGGTTTATTAAGGAACCAGAAATTGTTATTAAACTAATAGAAAATTAAATAACTGTGTGTTAAAAACAGTTAAGTTATTTAAATTTGTAACTTGGTAATATTTTTATCTCATAGACTAAGTCATTTTTTGAGTTAATAAACTGTCTGCCTTGTATTTTTATAAGAAAATCACTGATTTATTTCTACCATTCATCCCAGGTATACATATTAAGTAACACACTTTGTCATCATTTTAATATATTCAAACAAAAATTATCCCTCATACATTTCTTATGGACGTTTGAGACACTAGTTCAATCCACATGCTAGAGGTAAGAGACAAAGAGTTACTATCAAGATTTTTATTATTGATGCTCATTGATCTGATCGATTTGTAAATTAAAAATAATAGTTGTCAAATTGTTTTTTTCAATAAAGAATAGTTTGCAAATACAATTTTCTTGATTGAATTTATGCAAATCCATTTCTCCTGACTTAATATCTTTCCTTATCTTGAAAGTAAGTTTTTGAATCATACTCTGGGCAACAGCAGAGCTGGACAAGGGGAGTGGATGTTGTGGAAACTAACCAAACCCTCCTAAACCAAAAATGCAAAATATGATGCAGAGATGGTGAATGGTGAACTATGGGAGTTAAATTTCTAAACACTGGGACGGGTGGTGTCGTCCTGTAATCCAGCTACTAGGTCACGAATTGTGGATATTTATAGGGATGCACTGTGGATACGATGCTCCCTGGTGTGGATTAACGTCCGCACTAGTGAGTACTAAGACTATCCGCAGTACTATCCTAATAATTAGGCCAATTCGTTAATTACGAGGAAAAAATGTGGTTCGGATTCCACAATAAACTGTAGGTCCCTTAGTTGCCATTAGCTGTATGGGCTATTATATTAATTAACAGCTGTGTATCGCGCCACTCATCCTACACTCACCCTTCACTCATATTTGGGTTAAAATACGCACATAGTGGCGTCCCCATCTTAAATAATTGATAATTGATTGAATTGAATTGAAACAAATGTATGAATAGAGACAAGGATAATACTCAAAGTTTTTAATTGGAGAAATATTCTTCAGAGCAATAATATAAGTTAGATGAAGCTGGAGTTATTTACCAGTTACCTAATTTTTGGCCACACTTAGTCACACTAGGTAGCATTGTTTTCCCTACAAACATGAACAATGGGCATTGTCATAATCCTTCATGCTTGGCGAAATGTATACTTTCTTGAACTGAGCTGAAATAAAATTAGTTGTTACTTGGTCTTTACAATGGAAGGAGTATGGGTACTTTTGGCGGGTTTGGTGTGCATTAGTGAGGCTATACTGGTATCCAACAATGGGTCAGGTGATCTCAACAATACTGGCAAGTCTGAACAGCTGATTACTCAAGAAACTCAGGTCAAAAGATCTGCTTTTGGAGGTTACTATCCAGGTAAATAATATATTTCTCATATTTATTTGTAGGGCACAGTGATCTGAAAATCTCATGTCCATCCAGCTTTCAAAATTGGATATTAAGTGTGTTATGCTACTTCCTTAAACACATGTTTACAACATGTTCTATTTCAAATTTCATATGTCCTTTTAAAAGAAGTACAGTGTCATCTTTGACTTATTACAACCGATTTCCAGTATGGTATCAAATGTCGATGGTATCACCTTTTTAGAAAAGTTTAAAATTAAAAAAAACATAATTGCTCATAGCAGCTGTGACTGTTTTCAAATGTATGGTAATCAAATTTTTCTTGTGAAAGCCAAAACTCATTTCTATTGTAGACTGTTATATAAAGTATTAAAACTAAAATGTTTTTTCTTTTGACGAAATCCATCCAGTCACTACTGGTCAACGATGGATACATGGTATAAAGGCGTGTTCATACTCGTATATCCACCACACCCCCACACCCGTGTCTAAGTTTAAAAAAAAAATGTAAATGCCTTATAAACAAACAAATAAAGTTACCATATCTGTAATGATTACTAGTCAATTGTTCTGCCGTGCTTCGCAACAGGGCAAGAATACCTAAGAGAATACTGCGGGTCTCTAAATCTACTGTAACAAAAAACAGTTGCACAGACTTACCTTACTTAATCAAAACTAATAACTTAATCGTTATGTCTGAGATGAGAATCAAAAGATTAACTCTGAGAAAAATTACAAAAAAAAAACACCAAACAATAAATAAAAACAACTAACAGCTAATGCATTATCAATATTTTAAATGTGGTTAAATACAGCCCTTAAATTGAGGTTTTTGCCCTTTCTTGCTTCTAGTTTATCGAAAAACTGATGTTTGTTTGGAAAGTTTCACATCAAGACCTTTGATTCAAGTATCAAAAAAGATTATTCAGTGTAATATCTGTGTTATAATAGACTTTGACTATTCTATTATCCACTAGTCAATTATAAAAGTAAATAAATAATTTAGAAACCGTATGTACTATATGAGTTTAATTTAATTGACATCAAAATATGCCTACTTTACCATAGGTATTTTCTTTATTTAAACACGTTTCCTACCGATCGTCACACTTCTCTGTAACTGAGGGATGAGTATAGTTGGTAGCTAATGTGTTGAGGAACTCTAAACTGCATGGACAAAGGAAAAGTAAAACTTCTTTAAATGATTGACTAAATTTAATACTTTTCAAGTTTCTTTAAATAAATTTTTAACAAAAGGGGAAAAATACTCTAAACCATCATATCGATGGTTAGAAACACACGTATGATATGTCCATTTTACCAAACTTTCGAGAAACGCAAAAAGAAGTTTTGTTTCTAACATTATTTTAAAATCCTTAATTGTACTTAATATACTAGGGTAAAATATGAATGCCTATTTAATATATTTTATGTTTTAAGTAGTTGTTTACCGTTATTTAGTCTACTTTGAGAGAAATTAAATTATATTTTGGAAGAAGTCGGACATGTAACTCTTGTGCACTAAGCAAAACCTGGAACCACGGACATAAAACATCTGTGCATAACACAAAGTGTCTAAAAAGAGATTGTTTAAAATTAATAGTTAGGATAACTCCTGTTCTTTTTTGAACGTAAACAAGACTTCTATTTTACCATATGACACTTTCAATTACTAATCATTAATAGCAAGTACCCTGTTAGTAAAAATAAAACATGTGACTAAAACAGTAGAAAAAAAACGTAATATTAAATCTATAACAGAGATTAAAGGGCTGGTTTGCCAGTTTTACACAATTCATTGCAGAATAATTATGACATTTATTTTAGCATGAAAGTTAAAAAATAATTTTGAATTTATATTTTATAACCAATCAATCAGTAATCAATTAATTTACTGATTAATTTACAATCAATTTAATTTATTTTAATCAATTAATTGTCAAACTTCAGCCATTTCAATTTCAACCAATTAACTGTTTTTCTTTTGATATTGATTGTCCTATTTTGGATGGCAAGTTTGCCTAGGCTTGTTAGATCATAAATGTCATTACAGTATATTTTCGAATTTTAACATTGTAAGGTTTGGGTTTTTTCCTAGACATCTCAAGAAGTACACCCCATTCCTCAGTCGTGTAAATCTTTTTGTGTTTACGTGCTCTCTCAATTGTAGAGTGCATGGAATCTGCTTCAAAGTACGTGTGGCCAGGTTCCATGTACTTCATATCTACATTTTCTTTCAATGTTTGTCTTATTTACAATATACAACATTGCAGAGCCTATGAACTGATTTCTGTTTTGCCCTCCACATGTGTCAGAATAGGTTGTAACATGTTTGAAATGAGTAGGTAGGTTTTTCATGTATATTATAAGGCCTGTACGGATTTAACTTGAACCATTCATTCCATTCCTCTTGTCCCATACATGACAGAATCCATCTGAATTAGAATCTAAAATTGTGAAATTGTAAACAGAAAGTTTCCGTTTATAGTAAATTTTACAGTCCCCAGCAAATGGTACCATAAACACAGCTTGTAAATCAAAAGTAGCTGTTACTTGATCTTTTTCTTTAGAGTTCATGTCTTTCTTCTTCATGTCCATTGCTTCTGTTTTTCGCCTTGCATGTGTTTCGTAGTTCTCACCAAATTTAGTTTTATCTTCAGCAGCCCGATACTGAAGCACAATACTGGTTACATTTGGAACATTGATCTTTTTTAGGGACAAATGTTGTCAGGGGAGGATCATAGGATTTGAAAACTGAATGAAACACACCATTTTTTACAGGATTTACGTTTTCCTTTGTGCAAACTCGTCACATACTATCTGTAAAGTTCAGAAACATTTAACTCTGGAGAGAGACAGAGTTTTTTTTAGTCCTTCCTACAATAGTGCGACTCCATCCTTGGAAACTGTCTATGTGTTTTTAACATGTTCTATTTCCTCAGGCTTTGAAGCATTTGGAACGAGCCTGCCTTTCCTACCATCTTCTCATAAAAATACTCTACTTGAAGATGTTTTTTCCAAAGCCAGTTAAATTATTTGAGTGCTTATCTGAAATAAGGCACAAAGGAACTTTTGACATACATTTCTGTGTTTCTTTTTAGCACTTCTGGCTTACCTGTAGGGGAGCATAGCAAAGCTGAAATATTTTCCACCTTTGTAAATAGTTTGTGATGAGCATTTCCATCTGTTTTCTGCTTTAAAATCTCCAACATTTTCAATCCTCGACTTTTAGGATCCATTTTTAAACAATCCTTTCTTTAAAAACTGATAAAGCCAACATAGAAGAATAAAATCTTACTGCACAACAGTTCCATGTCCAGATGTTCAACGAACTGTTGGAATTAAAGTACAAGCGTATTCTGCACAACAGTTTTATGTCCCGGACATGTGGCATGTGTGCATAAAAATAAATCTGGTATGTACTTACAATCAGCTGCTTGACCACAGAGGAATAAAATCTTACTGCACAACAGTTCCATGTCCAGTTGTGTAATACCCTGTGAGCAACACAACAACATATTCTTCTGCACAAGAGTTTTACGTCCGGACATAAGATGTGTGTGCACACAAACCAAGATACCCAGTAATAAAGCTACTATTACTCTGTAAAACTTAAGGACATAACACAGGTGTGCACTTTATAATGAGTCAATACTCAAGACTCTGTATTTTCTTTTGTTATTTATTTAAAATTTTTGGGTTATATTGGACATATAACGAGTGTGCAGTTGTAAAGATGAAGACTCCACCAATTCAGTGGTAGCAGTATCTCATTTTACAAAAAAAATGGACATACTACATGTGTGCTTCTAACCATCGATATATGTATTATTCTCCTTACAGAGAATTAATGTTTTCTAAATCTATAGAACGTATTATTATTTAAGTGGATTCAATTTAAATTATCTTTAATCATTAAGTACATTAGGAATATATACATGAATAGTGTCACATTTATTTCTTAAATTATTTAAGTTATAATAAAACATATATGCTTATAGTAGATAACAGAAAATTTTTAAAGAACCAAGAACCAACAGAAAAAAATATTAATGAATTAGAAAAAAAAAACATATCACTTCAATAATTAAACACTCACAAATGTCGTAGCAATACTAATCTAAATGATCAATACATTCCTCATTTTAAATGCCATATCATACATTCAAATTGTAGTATCTGTGAGACTAACATCCCTAAAATATCAGGACACGTAAAATGCTTTTTAGCGAATTTCCCATATAGGGAATAAGCTATTACCGTAGTACTCATGGTAAGACCTGGACGCGGGACCGATTTTTTTTCGTTTCGAGGTCCCTAGAGACCAAAAACACCATCCGTTCAAATTCATATATATATATATATTTGTCCGTTAGCACGATAACTCGAGCAAAAATGATCCGATTTTGATGAAATTTGGTACAAACGTGTAAACCTACGTTTATTCGGACGAGTTCGCGATCCAGCATGATCGGACCATGGGAGCGGGGGTTTACGGGGGGTTTTATGGGGTAAAAATAGGTTTTTCGCATTTTTTACCCAAAAAACATAAAATTTAGCAATTTCTTTCCAAACCATTTTGTAGAGCTTAAAAAAAATACAGTAATTTAGTATATTGAAGCGTTATTATGCGCCTAATGGTTACGGAGAAAATTCCAAAAAATTGTAAATTTAAAATTCCCATGTTATTCTTATGGAGAATAAGTAAACTGTTGTAGTTTGCTTGTTTATGAACATATTTTTATCAAATTTGAAAAATGTTTTTATTTCTTACTAACTATTAACATAAAAAAAAAGTTTTACCTCCCTGATGCAGAAACCTAAGTACTTGTTAAACTAATTCTATTTAAATCGGGAATAAATGTTATATTTTTAAGTAGAAATTTCAGTGTAAATCAAATGGAAATTCGCTTAGTCTGCAGGTTTGCTGCGGCGGGGGTATTTATTTTTCTAGGTTTTTTTGTAATTTATTATTACAGTTTCAAACCCAAACAAGTTAAACATATACCAGCAGATAAAACGTATAAAGATCAAGAAATAAGTAAAATGTAGGCTACTTCTGGCACCTTTACAAGGGTCACGAGGACAGTTGGCTCAACCTGCATTGCAATAAAGAAGATGGTTCCAATACTGTGAACAGCACAAACCTCCCTTACGATCTGTAATGCATGGAACCGAGTATAATATGTACTGCCAATTAACACCATTTAAATAAATAAATTAACAATCTCATTTGTACCTGCAGATGAATATGGCTATGGCTTAGGCAATGGGTATAGCCATGACCACGGGGCGGAGTACTACCCCAACCATGACCATGGAGCTGACTATCACCCCCAACATCACCATCATTCCTACCACCATGACCCTTTCAAAACCTTGCTGGTGCCACTGGCAGGCGTGGCTCTACTGGGCGCAGCGGCCATCTTTGCCTCCAACCCCATCCTGCTGCAACTGGGGGTATTACGAGGCAAACGCAGACGCAGGGACCTAGGAGAGAAACAGCTGCAAGATCTAATCATGCTGGAGAAGTTTGTCAGTGAAGTAAGAAAAAATTCAAATTTTTATTTTTGAATATTTGCATTGCATTTGTTTCATCACATACAACTTAATGTTGTCTTTTCGTGGTGAAATATGAAAAAAAAACACTCCAGTGGGCATGATGAAATTCCTGTAACAATAATAAAGGCTGCAAAAACCTACATCAGCAAAATTGTTTGTCATCTGATCAATTAATTCTTCGTTTGTTTCAGGCATTTTCCTAACATATTAAAGCAGGAAAAAATAATTCCTTTACACAATAAAAAGGCCCTGAAAATGTATCCAATTATCGACCAGTGTCTGTTCTTCCTTCTATTTCTAAAGTGTATGAAAAAGCCGTCTACGTACAATTAACAAAGTTTTTGGGAAATTTAATATTTTGGATGATAATCAGCATGGATTCCGGGATGGAAGATCAGTTGTGAGCGGAGCTGTTTCTTTGATCGAATCAGTCATTGAATCAGTAGACAAAGGACATTATACAATTGGCAAATTTATGGACCTTTCTAAAGCGTTTGATAGTGTAAAACATAGTAAATTACTAGAAAAACTTAAAATAATTGGAATAGGCCTATCAAAAAGAGCTCTTATTGGTTTTCTCCCTATTTGACAAATAGATCTCAATTCGTGGAAATTACCCATTTCGCGACCTTAGAACAGTAGGGTTCCAAAAGGGTCAAGCACAACTTTTCAGGAGAGCCTTTCAAAGTTTCAGCATTTCAGAAATAATACTTCTAGGCTTGGGATAGCACCATAGAATTTTCTTGTTTCTTACCTTTACTTGAAAGTATCTTTTAAATCAACATTATTTACAAGACAATTTTCTGCATTTTCTATTAAGTGAGCAACCTTATAGCTCTTAGCTGAGCGTTTGAGTTCTGGAATAAGGTTTTAACCCTTTGATTCACAGTGGTATTATCAGGATACCACTTGTAAAATAATTTTTACTGCATTGATGCATACTGGTATTGTGGAAATACCATACCAGGGGCCTAGTCAGTGCTGTAACCTAGCGTATTTTGGAGGAACTAGTAGCTTCTAGATTAATTTAGTATTAAAGTTGAAGTTTCAAAGCGTCGTTGCATGCTACAGGCTACAGGCTGTTATGCAGAGGTTTTGACTGTCTTGTATACCCTTCTATTACATATAACAAAGTAAGACATATGTTTTTATGTTGAATTAGACACTATGTAATTGTTATATTGCGTCAAAAACACTGTTTTTGTTCAAACTGAAAGTTTATTTTGCCAAATATAGGTGGTATACCTACAATACCACTATGCTACTAACACTAGACATATTTTGTTGTTGCCTTACTAAGCTAAAATATAATTTCAAGCATATTTTGTGATAACTTTCGTTATTTTTTTTAGGTAACTCAGTCATATAAATTTTACTTACTATATTTTAAATATTTATTTATTATTCTCAGATATCCAAAAGACATGACTGAAGACATCTTACTAACAGAAATTCTAAATGATGGTTGCTAAGATGAAAAGGTTTATCAGATAATTGACCAGATGACAGTAGTCTCTCTTCAGCAAATATAATCATCTTCATTGATGAAAATACATAATTTATTTTTATCATTATAAATCACCTATTGCGTTTGGAATCATAACCCAGGTGAAGCAATTCCGTATCTCCGTCACGAATGGCTTACACTCAAAATCGACGAAAGGCAAAGGAAAGGCTAAATTAAATTTGATCAAACATAAATTTAAAATGCCAGTAGAAAAGAGGCTCAAGGAGAACGTTCACATGCCCATAATATCAACATGGACGAGATGCAACTTATGCAGAACAAAAGAGAAAAAGATTCGCTCATACTGGGAATGTAACGAGCGCAAAGTGTGCTTATGCTAGACAGACAAAAAATGGTTTTTATGAGTTTCACAACTGAACTAAGATAAAGATTAATCTTGAATCTTAAGATTGGAGAATACGATGTTGTACAATGATTCTCTGGAAACTTGTTATTTTATAACAGACCTTCAAATGTATTCAGTATTGTCATACAAATGTATTTACGAGTACTAATATCTTGAGCTAATTTACTATTTTTCACATAGATTAGATAAGTAATCTTTTTATTACAATACATGAACAGGTAAATAATTGTTTCTTATCTGTAACATATTGGTAGGTTTTACGTTTCAAGGAAGGTTTTTAATATTTTATATGCACATTAGACTACGCACTGATACACAGTGGTATATATAGAATACCACCTCGTTTTTTATTAATAAAAATTATAAAAACAAAATTAAATTTTTTAAATTATTTTTCCTGAGCTCTGACACGGTTAAGGTTACCAAAAAACATCAATTCAGTAAAAATTGAAATAAAAAAATTTTCCTGTGCATCAAAGGGTTAAACAACCAGATAGAACCATTTTGTTTTCGTTTTTCTTAATAGCCTAGAGCATGAGAGTTGCAACTGCCAGTTAGAACCTTATTGGTTAGAAAAATCGCAAGATAGGTAGTAAATTCATCAAGGTGTTAACTTGCAATTGGAACCTTTTAACTGAATTTTCCTTAACAATATTGATGGATAGAACCTTATGGATTCAGCAATTGCAATTGGTTCACCGAGTTTTTGTAATAAATAGAAATTTATTTATTACAACTGTCGTCAGTTAGAACCTTACAGCCCACAGATTAACTGTGAAAGAGAGCTAGAAGGTTGCATCACTATTTAGTTACAACCATAATGCACCAATTAGAAATGTTATTTTGCAGATACATCTTCTATTTTTTCCTTTTTTTAAGAAAACTAGTGGCCATAGAGGTATAACACTTGTGAAAACATATAGAATGACAGTTGGAACCATATGACACCAAAATCTCATTTTCACCAAAATTGTCAGAACCCTATATTGTTTTGGACCCGCGATTTGACAAAAATCATAATAGAATTATCAAATCATCATCAACTTATCAACCAATTAAATTTGGGGTGCCACAAGGTTCAATTTTGGGGTCTTTGCTTTTTTTTGTTACCTTAAGGGCATGGAAGATACTTTAACCTACACAAGCAAAATTCTAAATTATGTCTTTACGCTGATGATTCTAATTGATTGTATCATCTAACTCTCCAACTGAAATTATTACATGTAGAATTAGAGAATATTGGAAACTATTTCTACAATAATAACTTATTATTAAATTCACAAAAAACTAAATTTATAAATTTCAGAACAGCACAGAACAGAATTACAAAAGAGCCGGCAATAACTTACAACTCAAATAACATTCAAAAGGAAAATCAATTTTCTGGTATTAACAATAGATGAAAATTTGAATTGGGATAAACACACACAGAAAGTTTTAACCAAAACTATCTCTGGAATGTTCGCATTATCAAAAAGGTCCTTTTTTTGTAATTTGAAAACACTAAAAAGTATATATTTTACACACATTCACTCCCATGTTTCATTCGGTTTAGCATTATATGGGTCAACAAAAATATTAAATATGGATAGCATTCTGAAGCGACAAAAAGTAACTATCAGAATTATGCTTAAGCTTAAACGAGATGAATCGGCAAAAGAACATTTTAAGAAATTACAAATTTTTACAGTTTATGGACAATATATATTTATGAAACAATTCTTATCGCTAAAAAAATGAATCGGAGCAAGTAATAAATTCAGTGCATTCTTATAATTTTAAGGAGGAGCGTCCAGCCTCACAAATTAAAATATAAAAAAACCCTCATATGCTGGTAACGATTTTCTAAAATTATTTGTCCCTGAATTCATAAAAAAAGAAACAAACCTATCTAAATTCAAGGTAATTCTAAAACAGCATATAATAAATCTAGTATTATATTCTTTTGATGAATAAGTATTCTGACACTATTCACTGTACCACCAATGTACATGATTTACGAATAAAGATGTTTGAATATGGATATGAAAATATATACATATCCTCTATGCAGATGATAGAGCATAGAGGGGGGGGGGACCATTGTAAATGGGAGTGTTAATAATCTGCAATAATAAATCTAGCATTATATTCTTTTGATGAATTTTCCACCTCCCATATAGAAATAGTATTTTTATTTTAAGGTAAACCTAAATTACTTGGACGTATCAAAACTGTAGAAACAATAGAACAATTCAAAAAGGAAGTACCTCTCTAAGTTGTTAAGGCATATTATAAAGTTCAAGTCTTTCATAAATAATGATGTGTTGACTTAATTTTAGTAGTTTTATGTTTTCTTTTTAGCACTGTACTTGAAATTTCACCTGTTAGGTGTGCTTTGCTGAATTTTATGTAACGTAATGCGAAAATAAAGGATTGACTATTGACTGTTACCATAGTAAGACCTATAGACCCGGGACCAATTCACTTCTTAGTTTTGAGGTCTCCATAGAGGCCAAAAACACCGACCATTCAAATTCATATGTATATGTGTACAGTATTATAGGCCTGTTAGCATGATAAGTCAAGTAATTAAAAAATGGAATAAAAAATATTCCAATAAAGAAATATTAAATTTTACTTATTCGTGAAGACAATTTTTGTTTGATGAGCATCATGCAATTCTTAAAACAATTTTAAGATTAAAAGTGAAGAATTTTTGAGATTTCAAGATGGTAAAATATATTTCCTTTGGATGAAATTAAAGAGATAAACAAAAAGATAACCTGAGTTAATTGAGTTACTCTTCCATAACTGACACAGGATGTGAACAAAGACAATGGACAAGGAAAAGTCAGGTTTTTAGGTTGGCGACACTGATTATCTCATTTCTCTTGTTTTGTCTGTAATTGGCCAGCTGAAGTAATAAAAATATAGGTTGGCTATACAAAATACGGTGGGGCACACGGAAGATTTCTCAGGTGCCGTTTGACGTCACTAACTGCTGACGTCACTAACTGCTGCGTCTGAAGAAACAGACAATTTTATAATTTTCTATTATTAAATTCAACTAACATAACCTAACCAAACTAACCAAACGTGCTGATAATGGAAAAATCTAATAAAGGTTTACTAATTTAAAAAATAGTTTTGTTCATAAAATACAATTATAATTGCCTAAAATTTAATTTTTTAATTATAAAATTAAACTGTCATAACCTTACCAAACCAACCAAACTTGCTGATATGAAAAAATTGTTGATAAAAAGTTAGTGCCGCCGGCGGGATTCGAACCCGGAACATTCGGAATATCAGCCCGCATTGCTATCCACTGCACCACCGAGGCCCATGGCTCAAATCCTCCTAGGGCTCATTACCGTATCGTTGCGGTATTGGTGTTCCCTCAAAGTGACGTCAGCAATTAGTGACGTCAAACGGCACCTGAGAAATCTTCCGTGTGCCGTTTCGTACAAAATATAGCTTGAAACAACATAGCCTACAAAAATAGTTTGATTGGGTTTACTGTTTAGTATAATAATACATACTGTGTTTATTATTGTTATTAAGGAAATTGGAATTTTCAAATAAAATAAATGCATTCAGTCTACTTATTTAAAAATACATTAATAAAATCAAATGACTGTGAATTGTGAAATGACACTGATTGTTCTATCTGCTGCACAAAACAGTCTACTATTAATTTTTAGAGAACTTAAAATAAATCTTCCCCTCTACTTTTTTGTAAATGTAATATATCAACACTGTCAGAAACTATTGTAGACATTATAATCAAATTTTCTCTTGAGACACATTGCTCACAACATTGTATTGTTCACATTGCTGGCTATCAATTTAAAATCAATGTATATTTTCTAAATGTGAGGCTCGGGTTATGTTGAGACTTGTAATTCAATGTAGCTTCCTACAAAAAAACATGATGCTAAATTTTATTTTTACCTATCTTAAAATGTCTGGTTTTGGAGATTAACTAGAATGTAGCAATTGTTAACACAATAACCTAGGGCAAACTTTGAATGTAATAATCATAATTCATAATAATTATCACTTGGATTAGATTTTTATTTTGACGCATCAGGGTGCGAATTTTAAGGTGAACGATGGGTGTTGAATGCATGAAATGACAGTTGGCTGTTTACATCACACAGGTTTATTACACAGAAACAGGTACTTTTCCACCCTAATTTTTCTGTGTAGTATGATGTAAGTATCGTATGTTACTCGCCCAGTAAGCTTTACGATACTCACATGAAAATCCCGCACGTGCTCGAAAGATAAAACACCACTTACCGTGCTATAGTAACGTAATATACTATTTCACAACAGTGTAATGCATGTGATCCCATGTAAAAGTTGCTGTGTGACTTGTCAGGGATATAATTCCCACAATATGTTTTTACAACCTGCTCAAATGGAATGTTATCTTTACCAAACAATTGGCTCTTGTACTGTATCATGTGTGACATTTCAGTTGCCTCTAGCAGAGGTTGAGCAGCAGAATCGCATGATGCTAGCGAGCTACCTGAGCTGCTCAGGAGGCTGTGTCCAGCGAGTAGCTTGCGAGCTGCATCACCACGGCTCTCCACAGGACATTCATGTGCTTGATATGTAAGTACGCCTACACAACTGTTCATTAACTACGTGGTGGGAAAGATGTCCCAGTATGTTAACTAATAAATTCCGTAATAGGTTAAAGATTTCCTTAACATAAAACATCCCCATTTTTTCAGTTTGTGTCATAAACTTATAACATTAGTTCGGAATAACGACACACTTTACACTTCAAAGTCAAAGCCAAACACAGGTTTGTTTGGGTAGGGCTGCTTGAGGCAGGGCCGCCCTGAGCGCCATGACTGTTGTGGTAAAAAAGATTTAACAACGTAATTGGTGAACATATAACTTATGTTACCAGAAAATCGTAAAAATATAATGAATGACAACTACTATTCTAAAAAAGGGGCAATCTGTAACTTTTCCTAACCTCAATTTCAACGTCAATTTCTCATAGTGATGTTGTCCTTTGTTCGTATCATAAATGAAATGTTTTTTATTGATTTAGTTTTAAGTAAATTATGTTAATAACATTTTGATCTTGAAAAATAGTGATAGTTTTTCTTTAAAATATTTGTTATCAGTTTCAACCAAAAATCTAGTTTGAATATTTTTATGGTAAAACAAAACTACTACTGTATGTATAGGTTTTATTTTTATAGAGTTTATAAAAAATACTTGCAAAACTTCTGATATCGAAACTCCCAAATATTCTCTTTGTAGGCCCCCCCTACAAAGGAGGGAGGGGGCACAAATTAAAATCTTACCCGGGGTGTCTATTACCCTCGAGGCGGCCCTGGCTTGAGGTTAACAGTGGTGAAGAGATGGACAGTGTTATGATGTGAGTGGAGTGGTGAAGAGATGACAGTGTTATGATGTGAGTTGCCTGGGTGGAGTGGTGAAGAGATGGACAGTGTTATAATATGAGTTGACTGGGTGGAGTGGTGAAGAGATGACAGTGTTATGATGTGAGTGGAGTGGTGAAGAGATGACAGTGTTATGATGTGAGTTGTCTGGGTGGAGTGGTGAAGAGATGACAGTGTTATGATGTGAGTGGAGTGGTGAAGAGATGACAGTGTTATGATGTGAGTTGTCTGGGTGGAGTGGTGAAGAGATGGACAGTGTTATAATATGAGTTGACTGGGTGGAGTGGTGAAGAGATGACAGTGTTATAATATGAGTTGACTGGGTGGAGTGGTGAAGAGATGACAGTGTTATGATGTGAGTGGAGTGGTGAAGAGATGACAGTGTTATGATGTGAGTTGTCTGGGTGGAGTGGTGAAGAGATGGACAGTGTTATGATGTGAGTGGAGTGGTGAAGAGATGGACAGTGTTATGATGTGAGTGGAGTGGTGAAGAGATGGACAGTGTTATGATGTGAGTGGAGTGGTGAAGAGATGGACAGTGTTATAATGTGAGTTGACTGGGTGGAGTGGTGAAGAGATGGACAGTGTTATGATGTGAGTGGAGTGGTGAAGAGATGGACAGTGTTATGATGTGAGTTGTCTGGGTGGAGTGGTGAAGAGATGGACAGTGTTATGATGTGAGTGGAGTGGTGAAGAGATGGACAGTGTTATAATGTGAGTTGTCTGGGTGGAGTGGTGAAGAGATGGACAGTGTTATGATGTGAGTGGAGTGGTGAAGAGATGGACAGTGTTATGATGTGAGTGGAGTGGTGAAGAGATGGACAGTGTTATGATGTGAAAGAGGGGGTTGAGTGGTGAAGAGTGTTACGATGTAAGTGGAGGTGGTGAAGAGTGTTATAATGTGAGTGGAGAGGGTGAAATAGTGAAGAGATGGACAGTGTTATGATGAGAGTGGAGAAGGTGTAGTGGTGAAGAGATGGACAGAGTTATGATTTGAGTGGAGAGGGTGGAGTGGTGAAGAGATGGACAGTGTTATGTTATGATGTGAGTGGAGAGGGTGGAGTAGTGAAGAGATGGACAGTGTTATGATATGAGTGGAGAGGATGGAGTGGTGAAGAGATGGATAGTGTTAAGATGTGAGTGGAGTGGTGAAGATATGGACAGTGTTATGATGCGAGTGGAGATGGTGCAGTGGTGAAGAGATGGACAGTGTTATGATGCGAGTGGAGAGGGGATTAGCTTTGCTTTATAGCCAAAGCCATTTATTGAAAATTGTACTGTTACATGGCGTCGTGACGTGATGTATATGGCCACTTGATCAAAAATTAAAATAATTGATATAATAATATTAATATTATAATAATATTAATATTATAATATTATAATTGATATTTGTATATTACACCAATAAACCAAGGATTGATTTATCCTTAGTTGGTATGAATTTATCAACTACAGTTTTTACTGTAAAATCATTTTTTCCATTCATCCTACTTGACCAATTTTTACGACTGAGGTATCATTTTAAAGCTTATGATCTGGCACACCTCACCTGTGAATAGTAATTAATAAAGATCATTTCCTTTAAGGCTTCGCCCCCTTACGTTTAGTTTATTTCTTGAGTCAATTTCCAAAGATCTAATTGTATTGACATACTTTCATTTGCAACGGTTCAAACAAAAATCGTAATTCAACAGCTGTTACTTTAGTTGAATGTTTAACCTCAGTCATTATTGTAAACACAAGACTAAACCATTTATGAAAATCTATCTATATCTATACTTATTTAATACGCAAGCAGGATTTTTGTGACAATTACTCCTCCGAAACTACTGAACCGATTGACATGTTTTTGGTGTCATTGGACAGAGCAGAACGTGAAGTTGTGCAGGAAACTTTCTTTTTATCGAAATAATTTGAGAGTGAGGCCCTGGGTCCCTTTAAAGGTTCGTATTTCTCCATAAGATTAACATGGGAAGCACAAATTGTTATGAAACTCCAGCTGTTGTCAGAAATTAAATAGTAATAAATGGTCTCAATGGAAGCATGAGAAAACTCACAATGTTTACCTTTGCTTTGACATTTAAATATAAACAACCAGAACTGTCAAATGCCTATTTAACAATTTCAGACACCTGGTCCAAAAAAAAAAAATATTTTACACAACTATGTGGTAGGTTTATTTAATCTTAAACTTCATGGTGGATTATTTATTCTAAATTTATTTCAATGATTATGAAACTGATTTTTTCCCGTTGCGAAGCACGGGTACAGCAACTAGTAATATACAAACCAGTTCTTTTATTCAGTTCCATAGTCCATTGTCTTTACATTTTCACACTTACAACAGATGTTTAATTGATTTTAGAAACAAAAGAAGACCGTGACCAGCTTAGTTTTATGATACTTTATTTGGTTTAATTTAATCAGTTGTGTACTACAACACAAATGGTAGGCCTAAATTTATAGAATGCAAAAAAGTAAATGTGAGTGCAGTTATGTTTAGATAAAATAAGAGTATTTTGTATTACCATTTGATAATTAAATATATCAATTATCAATCATTAAGATGGGGACGCCACTTAGGTGCGTATTTTAACCCAAATATGAGTGAAGGATGAGTGTAGAATGGTGTGTGATGATCTGTGTAGCTTTGTTACTGACTAAGATCAGCTGTTTCATTAGCCAGGATCATTTATTTAAAGCCCAATGATCAGGAACAGCTGGGTCCAGTTTCGAACCATCAAAAAGCTACGGACTTTTCTCAGGATCGAACCGGCAATAGTTACACTTATGCCAGAGATTTGAGAACACAAAAATCAATGGCGTACAATATAGTTATAGGTAACTAATAATTTTAATAAAAAAGGTTTGGAATTGTCATATGTTAAGTAACTATAGTACATTACGAAACGTATATGTAGTAGGCCTACACAGAAGTAATTCAATGCTTTGGGGAAATTTCTTTCTGAGCTCCGCGTGGATAGCCATATCCACTGAGTGTTTATAACAAAATTTATTTTAAGAGGCTGTAAAATTAATGTATTATTGATCAGCTGACATACAGGGTGAACATTTGTTGAGACACTTTAGACACAATCAAAAATTATGATTGAAAGTCAAATCAATAATACTTTAATACTTTACTTTGAAATGGCAACCAAAACAAAAGTAGGTAATTTAAGCCAATTATGGATGGAGATGAGTTTATTATGATTAGCGTGATCTTGTTGTCGTGTTAGTGTCTAAGGCCGACATATTCCGACATATTATAATGTAAGAGAAACCTTCATTTCTTGTTATTTTTGTATGTAAAATACAGATATTAAAGAACTTATAAACTAGTACTTATTTAATACGCAAGCAGGTTTTTTGTGACAATTACTCCTCCGAAACTACTGAACCGATTGACATGTTTTTGGTGTCATTGGAAAGAGCGTAACGTTAAGTTGTGCAGGAAACTTTCTTTTTAGGGAAATAATTAAGAGAGTGAGGCCCTAGGGCTCTTTAAAGTTTCGTATTTCTCCATAAGGATAACATGGGAGATAATTTTTATTTACAGAAACATATGTTTGTTACTTGAAAATAGTCAAAGTCTACTACATAATAATTGCTGTGTATTAAGACTGTTAATGTATACTACATTTCAATCAAGGATTGTGTACCTTAAAGTTTACTCATAATGGATCTTACTACTTTATTTCAAGGCTGGGAATAGTAAAATTTAGTTGAGAATAAGTTACCATGATTTAGAAAACTTTTACTATAGTAATTTATTTATTTAAATTCACAAATCTTTGACATTATTAATTCATTTGAATCAAAACAGCTGATTGACCAATCAAACTAATCATCTACTTCATGTGGATAATGTTGTTACACAAATATAGTTTTTTTTATACCAATAATTTGATTCTGTTTTACTTGTGGGTGTATTTTGAGTTTGCAGTTATGAAAGCACCAAGCCAAGTAACTTTTATTTAATTTTCTTTATAAACTAACAGTATTAATGAACTTGACAAGTCAGGTAATTAGTTGTCAGTATGCCAAGGGAAAGAAGAGTGGGTCCTCGAAAACAGACGAAAGCGGAGAAACCCATCTAGAAATTCCAACTGAGTTTTTAAATATAGAGGTTTGGATTGCCAAGACACAGATTAGACTAATAAAAGGGGGCAGTGGTTTTATTGATGAGGAATACATAAAAAAAGGGCCTCATTAATGGCACAAGGCGTCATGTGATCAGAACAGGTAACAACTTAATAGAATGTTAAGTCCTAACTGGAATAAGTGAGTGGGGACATATTTTGATTTTGAGGATAAAAATTTGCCCGTCTGAAACAAACTTACCTTTTAAAATGGAAAGATGCTAATTTCTATTTCTGGCATTTGCAGCACAAGCCCTTTAATTAAAAAGCAGCTCTGTTCTTACCCGGACCAATTTCAGTCATGAGTAACTATATTATATGTTGTTTTAAGTAAGGCTACATCTTTTAATAGGATACGCATATTCATTAAAGAAAATTCTGACTAGGGTAATATTCATGAAGGTAACTTTAAGACTAAAATCATAGTATTCATGGAAGTGCTTTTGTAATAAAAATATTGTTTTTAAGTGTTTATTTTTAAGAGTGTTTTCTTCAAATTATGAATTTGATGACCCTCAAAATATGCTACATAGGCCTATTGGTTTGATATAATAAAATGTTTTGTTAAATGCGTTTTTAAAAATCTATAAAAATAACTACCCAATAACATACTTGAACTAAAACACTTATCAATTTACTAAATATAAGACACACACAGCTAGAAAATGATTGTACTTCACCTCTAAGGCTACATAAGAATAATCCAATGATAATAATAAGGTTTTTTATGCTACGTATTTAATTTTCGACGTCGAGTCAATATAAAACACGATGAATTTGTTTTCTAAATTCATATGTTATTTTGCGGGGCATTGAGCCGCACAGGTTCACTAGTATATTGTAATTGGGCTACTTTTTTGACAACTGTGACCAGGTGAAGGTTGGTAAGTCACTCTTTACAGTGTATATATAATATCAACAAATTTAATGTAAATTGGTAGTTCTATTCACCTAATTGATAGCCAAACTGTTAAGCAAACATAGTCTTAAAAGGTAAATGGGTTCATTCACTTTTTCTATTTCTATACGTTTCTTTATTAACAAGAATAACACCTCTTTTATCTTGCAGGGTGATTTCTGAAATACTCAATAATGAGTATATTGATGATAAAATCAAAAAGAGTGTCACCAAAGCAAGGAAAGTTGGCCGCTCACGTGGAAGTTGCAAAGAATATCCATGTCAAGAACTGGACAAAATGAGGAATGTAGTGAAACATTAAAAAAACATAAGTTCATTGATCAACTTAACACTGGTCATATCCCTTATTGTTATATATCAACTCACCAAATGTTAATATATTTATAACAAACATTGTAACATTACATTGCATTGTAAATTAAATTTTGGTTGCACTATTGTTCATTGTATTTATTATTGTGTATACTTGTACTGTACAAATATAAAATAAATTATACAATTTTGTAACAAGAACTTGACCAAGCACTTGGAAGTTTTTGTTCAATCACTTATATTTATACAGTTCCCCAACCCTTAATCTTGAATAAATTGAAAAGTAAACTCAAAGTGTTACATTTTGTAAATTTAACTTTTTTTAGCACAAAAGTATCAACGAGAATGAAAATTAGTGTCTTCTTTTACATATTAACCAGGTTATGAGGCTTTGAAGTGACTTCAAGGTTTTTTTTATCCAAAACATGTTAAAGCCAAAGCAACCTTCATTAAAAAAATGAAATTTCAACTGTCCAAACACAAACATGTCAATCTAAAAAGAGTTGAGGAAATAAGTATTACGTTTGGATGTTATTTAGACTAAAAACTACTGTAGTAGTAAAACTAGCCAGGCACCTGTCATGATATGTGTTAACAGCTTGAATTAAACAAGTTTAGGCATACCTAGGGAATTATTACCATAAAATAACACATTACAATAAAATCCCCCAGAGGGCAAAGATTTTTACAACTAAATACTACATCAAAACATGATGAGGTGTAAAGCTGGGTTTTCCTAGGCGCGGAAGCGGAGAGAGGAACACGGAGAGCGGAAAAGAGATTAACATGGTGTTCCGCTCCGCTTCTAGGAAAACAGTAACATTAAATTACCTAAGACAAGTGCAGTCCTCTCTCCGCTCTCCTCTTCTGCGCCTAGGAAAACCCGGCTTAAGGGAATTTACCACTACAAAACCTTAAGATGTTAAAACTGTAAATCAGATAGGGATAACTGGATCATAGGTATGAAACAATACCCAAGTATAACTTACAATATGTTTACTTTTTACAATTAAATACAAATTCAAATTATAAAAATCCTTTGTTAAAGAAATAAATTATTACTTTATTAAGGAAGCAACGTGGCATGTATCACAAACATCTTTCAGCATTAACTTGCGCTTCAATCACTTTGTGTTACTGAAACAAAGAAAACAATATAATCATGTATATATGCGTAACAATGCATTAATCTAAGAATATATAAAAACAAATAACATTTTTGTGAGAGCTACTGGCTTTCCGAGCATTTAGAGTATAATTTAAAGCCAACAATCAAAGACAGCTTGGTCTAGTTTCAAATCATCAAAAAGCTATTGACTTTTCTCAGATTGAAACTTTTTTCTGATGTTTTTGACCGGAACTGCTACATGAGTGCATGAGGGATGTGACCCTACCTGAACTTGGAGCACTTGGAGTATCTGAGATGCACACTGAGCCACTTTGGGCTGCTGTGAATCTCTACTACAAGTCTTCAGTCTGTCCACAGTCTCTGGGCTTAGCTCATCATGCAGTGATGTACTGTGTCTTAGTAGAGTGCCCAGGGCTACCAACCCTCGCAGTAGAGCCTCAGGTTCTGGCAACCAGGGTACCACCAGCGCCAGTGTTGCCACCACCTTAACACAAATAACAAACTTACAGTAAACATTTGGACCAACTAGAGTGGCCAGGGCTACCAATTCTAGCAGCAGAGCCTCAGGTTCTGACAACCAGGAAAAACTAAATTCTTTTGCTAAATACTAACCGACAACTGACATTAACAATGAACCATCCCTATAAAATGTTTATGACACTGTCAACTACACAATTCAATTACTGCTCTAACCAAACATAAAAGTTTATATGTCAAACATAATGTATAGTTTCTTGTTATGACTAAGTCTATAAATTGAGCGCCCCTTCAAATTATAAAGAGTTCTACCGAAATTACAGCCTTTTCTAAATCAGCATGCCCTCTGCTTGGACTCGTAATAGACCGAGTATATCAAAATACATGGTAAAAATTTGAATCACCAAAAGGATTCTCTACAGACTAGTTTTTATTTTGAATTATCAAAAGTTTTGATTTATGGAATGAAATTTTTGAATTACCAAAAGTAGATTTTACTTTCTCATTTCAATTTAGTTGAGCTAGCATGTTTGAAAGTGGAAGTTTCGCTATTTTAGTTTTGGTGCCCTAACGGTTAAGACCTAAATAAGAAACTTTTATAAATAATTTTTGAAAATTAACTTTTAGTAGTTGATTTTAAGAAGTTGAGTACTTATTACCTCATGTTGACTAGACACATCATTGACTCGCAGCACGGCTACAGAGAGGTTCAGCAGAACTGTCATCAGAGCTATCTGAAATATAATAACAATTACAAGTTAAGTAACATAGTAGAATACAGCAATATATTTGGTGCATTACTAGAATAGTGGTCAGCATCTCAGTCTTCTGTGCAAGAGGGGTGGCTTCGACTCCCAGCATATCCATCCCAGAAATTTAAATCATTACGTCACTTGTGAAACGAAAATAACACAAATTATACAAGGGCTATTCAGAAAGTAAGGAACGTTTTGTTCTGACACCAATCTCGAACATTTTGGTGCGTGCGCACTCAGAACTCAGTCGGCGTCAAGCAGTGACAACGGAAACATCCTCTCGCTGCCTGTTTTTTTCACAATTTTAACTTAAGATGTGCGCTGTGTTTGTAAATCCCGCCAGTTGTGAGGTGCGGTCGAGATACGGTTTTTGTTGGCAAAAAACTTGAAACCAATACACATTTTACACCAACTTTGTGAAGTTTACGGAAACAAAGTAATGTAAAAATGGTGCATTCAGTTTAAAAATGGCCGAACTGACGTCCATGAGCTATGACAAAACAAAAGGCGGACGCCTGAGCATTGTGACTGATGGAACTGGTCGATAAAGTTGATGAAAAGGTTCGCCAAAACTGCCGATTCACAATAACAGAGCTTTTGATTTGATGTGTGACAATTTCAAACAACAAAGTCCATGAATCTTGAGGGAATCAAAGGGAAAACTCCGTTATCGTGAATCGGCGGTTTTCGCGAACCTTTCCATCAACTTTTGAGACCAGTTCCATCAGTCACAATGCTAAAATGATACAGTAAGATTAATTTAATGTTTTAATTTCTGCTATTTTGTAAAAAAAAAATCTTTGTGTGCCAACCACCTAACCCGATTAAATGTTTTTCTCTGTGAATTGGCAAGCACAGTGGCTAGGCTGAGACTCAGATGCTGGATAGACTGGGCCTTGATTCTGAGATTGCTTACATAGGGAGATTCTGCCACAACTCACCTGCAGACCTTTGTTGGCTTTAGACGAGGCGAGTTGTCTGACGGCAGCCAAAAGAAAGTGTCTCTTGGATATAACAAGAGCTTCTCCTCTAGGCTGACTCATCAGGTTACACAAGATCTGGCCAAAAACAAAACAAGTTAACACAAACCAGCAATATCCAGTACTTAAGGTACAGTGTACCAGCTTCAAGAGAGAAAAACTACAAGTTGTTAAAAATAATTAACATTAATGCATTTAGATATGTGGAAAAAAGCTCCACAAAGGTGGTAAACAGCTCCCAAAGTACCAATTTTAACTTTCAAATAATATATCATGTAAATATATTTAGTGATAAAGTTTTACTTTAAGGTGAAGATTTTCTGATGGTCAAGTTTATAAAAAAATAATTTGGTGGTTTAAAATTTCATAGGTACAGTATTGATTTCAATAGTAATTTTACTCTTCATTTGCTCGTCCACATGGGCCCCAGAGGGCTGTGGGTGGAACATATCCAGCAAAGCAAGGGGTGAGTGTGAACAGTACAAGGGTGAACTGTACTCATATAAGGTAGTGTCAGGCACCAGGATCTGAACACAGCATCGCTGCCTTGGGCCCGAAGTTTGTGGCACTACCAACTGAGCCACCGACTCACCAATATTTTTTTTTCCTAAACATAAATATTTATATCAAGTAGGTAAACATTGTGAAGGTTTATAAAGAACTTAAGACTGAATATAGTACATATTATAAAGACAGTTCAGTAAAACACATTATTTACAACTTACCCTCAAAGTAAGCATCTGATTGGCTGAGAGGGCCGATGCAGAGAGGTGTGGCTCCAGTACAGAGAACAGCTGGTTGCCATCTTGTGTGACACACAGTGCGTCGTTGACCCAGGAGTTGCGTACAGCTAGCCTCGTCACATCCAACACAGGAAATACCACCTCTGCAACACACAACCGCAAAATACTCATTGAAAAAAAAGGGAAAAGCTAGTAGCACAATAAGCAACTCTCACAGAAGCGAAGCCAGGGTGGATGGGAGATTTCCTACTGCTCCATCAGAAAGATTATTGCATGTTTATTGCAAGTTATTTTATAGTGGTAGACACACCCGGCAATTCTCGCAGAGGCGCAGAGAGAAGTGCTAATGAAAACTTCTTGAATCCGACAGTGAATTTACAGTAGTAGTTATTTGTTTCGGCAAGCTACTCCGGTTGCCAGCAACAGTCAGGTTGCTATGTGTACGCAGGATTGTAGCAGCGGACGCGGCAATGTCAGAGCTCTTTGTGTGTTAATGGACATTGTTTATCTTGGATCCTCTTGGATGTCTTAGAAAATGTCTCAGCTACACACGTTTCCGCAATATTTGCCAAATGTGCTAGGGCAGCTCTGGAGAAGTAGGAGGAAAATTTCTACCAGGGCTCAGCACGTTTTGCTTCTGTGACAGTTGCCAAGTGTGCTGCAGCATTTATACAGTGGAACGCGCTTAATTAAAACTTCTTTGATTCAAAAACCTCTTTTAATTCAGTCCTTAGATCTACCCAACCTGTGTTGACTTGACATATTGTACGCAATTCAAACACAATTTTGGATTGTTTGAATTTGTTAATATTGATGCAATAGGAGCATGAATGAGCACTAGGGATCAACAAAATCCCTATCTACCCTAGTTTTGTATTGATAGGTTGATCTGTTCATTAGTCACTGTAAACCTTTAAGCAACGTACATCGTATGAGCCACTTGAGCTTAATCGTATGAGTAAGCTTGTCAAAGAGAACAAATATTTTGTTATCAAAATCAAACACAACTTACTAACCTTTGACTCTTGCTGAACATATCAAACATTTAATGCATACTTTTGTCTCCTATGGGTGTTCAACTGAACTAATAATTTGGCTTTATCAAACCCGTTATACAGTATATAATCTATTGATCTAATACTAATTCCACTGTATTTAAATTAGTGGTGTGCCGATTCCAGAATTGTTTGATTCCGATTCCAGTACTTTGGTTTTGATTCTCGATTCTGCACTAGATACCGATACTTGTTATAAATTAATTTAATAAAACACATATGTCAGCTTCTCGCTATTCCAATAATAAAAGAGCATGCTATTATTATTTTATCTTTATACAATAAGATAACTTCATTACTATTGTTATTGATTAAGGTTACATAGATTAGGTTAGCCTAAAAGGATAATTGGATACTTCAAGAAGACATACATTTTAACATAGGCCTATTTTATTAAATTAAATTGAAACAACAAACACCGGTTTAGGTAGGCCTAGGCCTAAAATTTTCTCTGAATTTTGTTTTTTGCATAAGCATTTGTACATCCAGGCCTACATTGAATATCCTATATTGCTTGAGTTATAAGCTCAAAGTCAATATCAAAGTCATGGAGTTTGGGAACAGAGATCATAACTCATTTTTTAAGAATTCACTACGCACATCAATTAATAACACAACAACAAAACATAAACAGTTCGCCATTCAAACTCACGATAACTGTTTCAGCCAGAGAGAAAAAAACATATTATAACGAAAAAAATACATCTCCAAACGGTTGTCTGCAATAGTCACCATGAAGCCCTGAATTAGCTGAATAGTTTAGTATAATTAAGCTGGGGCATTGATCACGCATATATAAAAATAATGAACAAAATACTTTTTTACTAGTTGTTAGTTGAACACGTCATTAAGTCTCGCTATTTTGGATTATAAAATTATAACAAATGTAAGCTTGTGAATTTGGAATTGTGTATATTAGCTGACTTCATAGTATTCCAAATAAATTATGATGTGCCACTTTTAACCACTTTATAACCTTCAACTTCAGTCGAGTATCGAGTAGAACGAGTGCGACGCTCAGTAGCGAACGTGTTAACTTATTTTCTATGGGATAACAATGGAGACAATCTACTGTGTTTAGTTGTAGGCCTAAGTGTAGAGATGAGGTTGCTGTAGTGGTTCACTATGTGATAATGCTGCAACCTAGAGGCTCAGAGCTCACCTTGAGCTGTAAGTCTTCCTATCTAGAAAATAGAAACTGTCTCTGTGTATAACATCGCTCTTCAGGAGAACCCTTCCACAATATAGGATATGAAGTAAATGGTTTTCATGTGGAATAAAAAGAAAAAGTAATGGACATATATTTATGAAAGTCTAATTAAAGTATGACGATACAAAAAATCTTCATTATGGTACAAAAATTTAAAAATCATCCTAAAATTGCTGTGCCAAACCCATTCTAATGGATGCAAATTTACATAAGCTAGTTCATAAACAGTGACTCGTCTAACAATTTGAAAAATAACAGTATTTTGGAGTGAATACTAAACAAAATCTATATATTACAGCAGAATTCTTTTTGTCAGTAGACTGGGCCAAGCGGCCTGAACAGAAACCAGTGATTTAGATTAAATGTTCAAATCCCATCTCGGTTTTATTGGATTTGTTGTGAGACGTACTCCTATAATTACATTACAGTTCACCCCAATCTTTTTTACGACAAAATTATATTCTTGCATTCATAAAATGAAGTAGAAAGGTGGTTAAAATAGGCTTAACAAAAACCAAAATAATACATTGGGCTACCTGCAGGCCAGTTGAGCAGGGTGTTGAGGGTGGTGAGAACATCTGGGTCAGAGGCTGCACCTAGGTTGCCCAGTTTGACCACAGCTTGTAAGGCATCCGAGGATACTTTCACAGGCTGGCTTTGGTTGAACTGCGCCAACTTTTCTGAAACCCAGACAAAAAAGTAGAGAAAATAACACTTGTGACTTTGTGATCTGCACTTGATTTCTAAGGTTTGACTTATCTCCCTGACTTTTCTCATTGCCTTCCCTCATAGACCAGTATTAGTATTCATCGGTGTTTGCTCGATACCTTAACACAAACTTGGCAGGAAGTTGATGAGGAGTTACGATGACAAGGTATCAACCTACACTTAGGAATGATGTTACAAACAGTTAGCCTGAGTACTGGGTGGAAGGGAAATTCAATACAAAAAGTGATTTGAAATTTACATTTAAATAGCCTGGAAGAGTTTTTAATCACAGGGTGTCCACCAGGCCAACCATAAAAAAATCATGAGTAATTCCAGGTAGTTTAGGTCGTACTTTTCATTCTAAACCTTCCAATGTGTTTTTGCGCCAACTCCCGCAATGCTGTTTTAGCGCTAACACAGCTCGCTATTTTAGTTATCGGAAAAAGCATTTTCAGTTAAAGAAACAAAATTTATGATTCCTGTAATATTGCCTGACACAAGTATGCAATTTGTAAATATTACTGATTAAATTATCCGAAAATTAAAAACTAATCCTTAAACCTGCAATTTATCCAAAACATCTTTAAAATAGTTATAAGTCAATACAAAAATGTATCGAATATCCGTACAGACACCTGCAAAATAGATTCTTTATACTGATGCAGATTTTAATTTTACCAAATTTTCTGTAAGGATTACTACAGCAAACCCTGTCTTTCATAATAGTATGTAATTTTGGAGTTATGGGTTTTGTTTTAATTCAAGTGGCCTACGGAAATAATTAATGCAGATATTACAAAAATTTCACATTTCACTTCCTTAATTGTAGCTTAATTCTGATAATATCCCACAGTCGTCATCGTCAAGCAATAATTTTTTGACATTATCATCGTTTCCAGCGGTCACAGAAACGTCATCATCAGCATAAACGATCGCGGTAAAATCACTAACATATCCCCTAACCGTTTGGAGTTTGAACATCATCATCGTCTCCCGCTGTCACGGAAACGTCATCGTGGTCACCCGCGGTCAGGGAAACGTCATCGTCGCCTCCCTCGGTCACGGAATCGCCATCACCATCAAGCGGCGATAACAGCAAAATCATTAACAAATCCCACGGCCGTTTGGACATCATCATTGTCTCCCGCGGTCACGGACCAGTCATCTTCATGCGCGATCGCGGCAAATTGAAAATTCCCGGTAAAATGCTAAATTCACGCATAATTCCTGGTTTTTCCCAGTTGAACAAAATCACGCATAATTCCCGGTTTTCCAGGTTGGTGGACACCCTGTAATAACTTTTTTTTGTCCTAGGCACAATACCTAGGCACGAGCCCGGAATTGTTTTTCACATTACTTCAGGCTAGACCTAGGGGTTACGGCATTATCACTTAGATAAAATCCATTAGTGATTTGGCGGGATTTGAACCCGGGACCCCAGGAACCGGAGTCCCACACTCTAACCACTAGACCAGCTCGCTCCCCCCTGTAATCACATTGATAGCAAAACATTTTATATCAGACTAGTCTTTTTTTTTTATAACTTAAATAGTTCTTTGCTAACCTATGTGATAATGATTTTATCCAACAAACCGATCCTCATCATATCATTTTTTTTCTTCAGTTGTACAATTTGATATCGATCACCTAGACGAAATCAACTTGACTCAGATATCATCAGAGAAAAGGTGCTTTGGTGTCAAGGTCACCCAATCTCCCCTACTCAGGGCTCAGGCTTACTGGTCCATGATGTCGAGTAGGTTGACACCAGGTTGCCATAATAGTAGAGCACCCAGTCATATTCCTCATAAACAGCATTAACACAGTGTTGTTAGATGAAATATGCTTTATCAAGGATAAACATACGTGAATCAAGAGGGTAAATTTGACAAAATATGGGGTGAGGGTAAATTAGATAATGTTTATAGTGTTTTGTAAGTTACAAACATAAGTAACAAACATTTATACCTGGGTTGAATTCAGCTTTATTCACTTTGTTTTTAAACAAAAATCATTCCAAAATCAGGAAATAAAATAAATACTAAGCGAATTTCCATTAACTTGATTGGATTTACACTAAATTGCCTCCATAAAAATATCACATTTATTTCCTATTTAAATAGAATTAGTTTAACGAGTACTTAGGTTTGCTGCAACAGGGAGGGTAAAAGTGTTTTTTTTTTTTTTTTTGTAAAATGTTAATAGTTTAGTAAGAAATGAAAGTATTTTCCAAATTCAATCAAAATATGTTCATAAACAAGCAAACTACAACAGTTGACTTGTTCTCCATAAGAATAACATGGGAATTTTAAATTTACAATTTTTTGGAATTTTCTCCATAACCATTAGGCGCACAACGCTTCAATATACTAAATTATTTGTTTTTTTAAGCTCTACAAAATGGTTTGGGAAGAAATTGTAAAATTTTGTGTTTTTAGGGTCAAAAATGGGAAAACACTATTTTTACCCCATAAAACCCCGTTCCCATAGTCCGATCATGCTGGTTCGCGAACTTGTTCGAATGAATGTAGCTTTACACGTTTATACCAAATTTCATGAAAATCGGATAATTTTTGCTCGAGTTATCGCGCTAACGGACACATATATATATAAATATATATGAATTTGAACGGATGGTGTTTTTGGCCTCTAGGGACCTCAAAACGAAAAAGTTAATCGGTCCCAGGTCCAGGTCTTACCATGAGTAAACTACGGTAATAGCTTATTCCCTATATGGGAAATTCGCTAAAATTACACAACCAAACATAATTGAAGAAAAAATACCTTATTTGAGAGGTGAAGTTAGGACTCGCAAGTCTTCTTTGGAACTAAACATAAACTTTCCTCTAAACATGGAAATGATTCAGCATGGTACCTGAGATCGCTTGCAGGTTGCCTTGGTCAAAGCGCACGTAGCTAGTCTGCGGAAACAGTGGAGCGGCAGAGACACTGGTAGGCGGGGCAGGGGTGCCGTTGGGTACGTAGCGAGTACCACCAGTGAAGGGGTCAGCACCTACAGGGGGCGGGGGGCCACCAGCTACTGCGGAGGTACCGGGGATGTACCTCGTCCCCCCTGTAAAGGGATCCACCCCACCTGCTGCACTACCACCCATACCTCCTGGGATGTACCTGTTGCCCCCTGAAACAACAAGGCTACTTAAATACTCCTGACATTGACAAAATAAGCTGAATATGAGAACAATACTTAGTTTTGAATCTCCAAACTCGCAGATCAAATCTCAAATCCAAAGTATTTTCCAAAATGTTGAGATTTGAGATTCCGTTTTGACACATCACAACATACCAATTACCAACATTATCTCTGTGAGTCGGTTTGCTGCACGGATAATACAATTTTACAGTTGGATTAACCTTTCAAAAAATTTCTACTTTATACTAATTCACAATAACATGATCAAGCTCAATTTTTCAGAAATTAAATTACATAAACTTTTAAGTTAAGAATAAAATTATTACGCACGCCCAGTAATATCATTGACAAATTTTATAAGGAAAATTATATTTTTGAATTTGAAGAGAGTGGTAGTAGTATCGTGAAAAAAAGATAGTCTTTTTTACCATACAGTCAATTGGTACATGTTTGTAAGTGTGCAAGCACTAGTAAAACTTAAGTTCTTTTTATAAGAACACAGTTTTTTTTTTTTTTTTTTATAAGAAAATATTGCAAAAAAGCATTGATACATGGAGCTGAATGTTTCATTCACATCAGAAACAATAGCACAACCGTTTCTGGAGTATTTTGTAAAATATTTAAGTTATACATAATTTCATCTTTTAATAAATTTTGTATAATCATCTGACCAAGGTGTAGTCCTGAAAGGGTGTACCGATGGTAAATTAGTAGGTTTAATCTATTTTCAATTCTATTAAGTTAAATTTTTTAAGAGAGTGACACACACGTTTGAACCATCAAAAAGCTACTGACTTTTTGCAGGATGAACAGACGACTTTTTGATTACTTTTTCACTTTAACCACCCAGCTACCCAGCTATGGTAGAACTAACCAGTAAATGGGTCGACGGCGCCTGGCACAGGCATGACTGGCTCATTGTCCTTGCTGTTGGTGATGATGAAGTTGGCCACCTGTTCCAGGAACTGCTGACTGAGGTTGTTTTTGTGTATAAACTCTTGAGCTGCCATCCACGGGTCCTCCCCTTTGTTGTACGGCAGCTTGAGTGGTGGCTTGCCATCCTCTATGTCTACACTGAACACGTAGTCGTAATCCTGTCAACAAGTCCACATGGTCATATAAAGTAAGTTTTTTAATCCAACACTATGTTTTATTCTGCCATCCACATCATAGACAATAATCCACAAAGAAGGGACAGATAATGAAGCCGAGGATTAACACGCACACCGCAATCGCCAATTCTAGTTGGCACTACTGGAGCTCCCATGTGTTAGGATGCCGACAGTAGTCAGGGTTACTGTAAGCTTAGCCATTGACAATGGTTGTTGTTACTATGAGAGCTACCTGTTTACACCTCACAAACATACCGCCATATAAGTTTAGTGTTGGTTTAGTTTAAGAAATAAACACCATGAGGGCTTAGCCATAGGAGACCGCATGCACTTATTATTTAGCATTGTACATATTGATGGATCCAGACAAAAGACAAACATCGTTATTATTATTTCTTTTTAAGAAATACATAAGTGTTAAAATACATAAAAAACTAAGTTGTTCTTGCCTTACAATAATTATAATCTGACACATATCAGTCTTGACTGACCTTTTGCCAATCTCGCAACTCTGCTGTTCTTATTTGGCTAAACAAGTAGTTAAATATACAGAGTGGGGCAATGTGAACTAAAATTTCATCAAAATCGGATGATTTTTGCTTGAGTTATCACGCTAACGGACACATATATAAATATAATATAATATATAATAAAATATAATATATATATGAATTTAAACGGATGGTGTTTTTGGTCTCAAGGGACCTCAAAACTAAAAAGTAAATCGGTCCCGGGTCCAGGTCTTACCATGAGTACTACGGTAATAGCTTATTCCCTATAGGGGAAATTCGCTAAATGCAAGAACGTAATAGGAACTTAGGAACCATTAAAAAATAAATATTACACTAATCATAAATGACTACTCTTTGCAATGAAAAGTAACGTTATTACATTTGACACACGGCAAAAATAACAGACTGGTTGCCTGGTCGGTTACATCTTTTAACCTATTATGATGACCTCTATGGTTAGGCAATGTCACAGTATAGTGTATATATATTACAACATCAATAACCTTTATGGTTATGCAAATGTCACGGTATATGCCTTATAATTCTATTCTAATTTTTTTTTATTCTTTAATTTTGTTAATTGAATCTTGATCCGAATCTTTTCTTGACTCGGTGGATTTGAGATTCGGATTTGACACATCCCTAATATACCATTTTGTTCTGGATAAGCCATTATTTCATATCTTGAAAACAGCATCCTTTAAGTGATGTCCTTGAAAGTGTCCAGTCGCTTGAGTTCCAGAATCGTTTAAAAGGTCGAAAGTGTATCCATTACATAAAAAAGGAGATATTAACCTCGTTGAAAACTACAGAGGATTGTCGTTTATAGACTGTGTAGGAAAGATTTTTATCAGTCTAACAAATAACAAATTAGTAAATTGGGTCAACGGTAAAGGTTTGTTCACGGAATTCCAGGTAGGATTTCGCCAAGGTTACTTGACTATAGATAACATTTTTAATATCACTTGTATAGCTCATCTGCAATTAGCGGAAAAAAGGGTAAATTATTTACTTTTTTTGTGGATTTCTCAAGCGCATTTGATACAATAGATAGGCAGGCTTTAATTTATAAAATGTCTCGTATGGGTGTGTCGTCAAAATACAGAAATATGCTAAAAAATTATTATCAAGGCACAAAAGCAACAGTGTGGTGTCAGGAGGGAATTACTGAGCACTTCAGCACCTCCATGGGTTTAAGGCAAGGTTGTATATGTAGCCCATCGAATTTTGCTATTTTTATAAACGACTTGCCAGATGTACTAGAGGGAGGATGTTGTTATGGTGGAGTAAGAGTCAATGTCCTGATGTATGCGGACGATCTGCGGATGTTCTCTTATCTCTAACTGCAACCGGCCTTCAACACATGATTAAACGATTAGAGAATTACTGTGAAACTTGGAATTTACGCTTAAATTTAGCTAAATCAAAAATTATGGTTTTCAGAAAAGGTGGAAGGCTTGGGTCCAGTTCTAAATGGTGGTACAAGAGTGAACAAATCGAAATTATAAACAATTATAAATATTTAGGAGTAAACTTTACAAGTTCACTTTCGTGGGAAATGCATTTTTAAGAAAAATCATCAGCTTCCAAATTAGCTGTTAATTTAATCTGGAGTAATTTAATAAGTAATAATCAAGTGCCGATTAATGCAAAAATAGTGTGTTATAATTCAACTAGTGGCTTGTAGGGATATAAGTCCCTAAAACGCTCAAAAATATAAAACAAATTATTCTAATATTTAAACAAACAAACAAAGAAATTTATTATCTATGTGTCAGAATAGATATCCCTGTATATATGCCATATCTTTTGTGTAAAAAACAGTTTGTTGTTAGTCTTCGTTCATGTTATTTTCAATAAATCATTCGAATCACTACATAGATTTAACTCTGCTAAAGCAAGGCCACACTATAAAGGCAGCAAACATATAATTGGTTGTGAATAAATACTGGTTTATTAAGGTAGCTCGGCCAAATCATCTGCTGATTCTCAACTCTTTTGCGAGCATCAAAAAGTAACCTGTTTGAATCTCCAAACAAAAATTGTTATTCCTCCTATCGGAACTTGTTATAGTATTTACTTAATTAACAAATATACTCGTATATTTGCTGTACGAACCTATTCCATCTTTATTCCCAGGTTATTTTCAAAGAGTAGCCGTTGAAGTTATTCCACTTTATACAAAATATTGATCAAACACTACAGCAGAAGTTTTCCAATTAATCTTGATTTACAGGAAAATCTGAACATAATTACTGATTGGTTTGAGACATTGAGGTTCAAAATTAATGAAACTAAATCTGTCCACATTTCTTTTACTCTAAATCAAAATTCTTGTCCTCCTGTCACAATAAACAACACCCAACTTCCCGAAGTAACTGAGGTTAAATACTTAGGTATCCATTTAGATAGGAAGTTAACTTGGAAAACACACATTTGGAGAAATCGGAAACAACTAAATTTAAAATCTAATCAGTTAAATTGGCTCATCGGAAGAAAATCAAAACTTAGTCTAGAAAATAAATTATTGCTATATAAAACTATATTGAAACCAATCTGGACATATGGAGTGCAACTATGGGGCTCGGCGAGTACTTCTAATATAGAAATTCTCCAAAGATACCAATCGACAATGCTGAGGAAGATAACAAATGCACCATGGTATGTCAGCAATAGAACACTACATCAAGACCTTAAGATGCCTACAGTTAAGGACGAAATCATGACCATAAGTGAACGATATATTACGAAATTGGAATCTCATCAAAATCACTTATTAAACAACATCGATACAATTTACAGACTTAAGAGGCCATCAATTCTGGACCTGCCCTTCAGATTTTTGTAAAGTGTTTTTATAGAAAAATTTGTTGTTGAGAGTGCTTAACAGCTATTTTTAAAGTTCCAAAGTCAATTTGTTGTATTACATAGCATTTACTTATTGTTCAATATATTATAGAACAGATTGTAAAGTAAACAAATAAAAAAAAAAAAAATCTTGAATCGTTAATTATTTATTCAATGTGGTTATTTCTTGTTAAACACAAGTTTGAAAAGTTTCACAGTAAAATAATATATTTCCATATTTTATATAACGTAACTAAAAAAGTCTTAATTATTATAGGTAACGTTATCCCTGGTTTTATATAGTACATTGCTGAACTTAGGGTCTGACTTAGGGGAGGTACGAATGAGGCATTAGTTCAAAATTCCTCCGTGAACAGCGCTGTAGTAGAGAGTACTTTGGCAAAGAAGGTTTACTAATCGCAAAAATAGTTCTGTTCATAAAATAAAATTATAAATGCCTCAAATTCAATTTTATTATTTTTTAATTATAAAATTAAACTATCATAACCTAACCGAACTAACCAAACTTGCTGATAATGAAATAATATAACAAAAGTTTATTAATAGAAAAAATAATTCTGTTTATTAAATAAAACTAGAAATTGCTCTACTAAAATTTTATAATGACTTAATAATAAAATTAAACTATCATAACCGAACCAAACCAACCAAACTTGCTGATAATAAAAAAATCTTGGACAAAAAGTTGATGCCACGAGCGGGATTTGAACCCGGGACCTTCAGCATATCAGCCCGGCACGCTAACCATTAGACCACCAAGGCCGATGACCACTGATCGTTTTGTTACGGTAATGGCGTTCCCTCAGCTAATAAGAAGCCCACAGCTGTCATCGTAGCCTCTTCTATACCTCCCCTGAGTAAATACCCTGAACTTACTGGCAAATAAGTATAATCCAAATGTTAACATTATTGCATACTGGCTTGATGATAAATCACGATCAGCTGTATTGAAGTATACAAAAATCAGCAGTAAATGGCTTCTAATGCTATTCTTATGGAGAACATTTTACGTTATATCTCGTTTTCTGGTAATTTTATGGGAATTCTGCTATTTTTCCCGAGTCCCTGGGGTCAAGACCTTTAATTTAAGACCCCTCCCACTTTTCTACGACATACCAGACGTTCACAATTTTCTGGTAAAAATTTTGTCTTACAGAATTATATATAAGGATAGTTAGAGCTTTGCAGAGTTATGGAGCACAAGTTTGGGGATTTATTAAGAGTAAAACGGTTGAATCAGCTCAAAAGAACTTTGTCAAAAAATTATTTAGATTGCCACAAAATACTCCAAATTACGTATTACACCTAGAATGTCAGTTTGATCAGGTTTATTTTTACACATTAAGTTTGCACATTGGTTATATTATTAGAGTATTGTTTTTACCAGTAAATAGGCTTCCTTATATCTTTGCTAGACAGATAATTTTTAAAAAAATATTTTGGTACTGTACAGGGAGATGTTAAAAATGGGTGAAAGACGGGGAGTAGCGTTGGACGTCGATTTTAACAGATTGCAAATTTTTCAATCTCGATTGTTTGAATAATTAGAGTTAGAGAGAACGGCTTGGCGACAGGATTGTCTGGGTTCGGCATTGACTAGTCGTTATCACCAGCAGTATCTGAACCTTGACCTCCACCTTGGAGATAGATTGTTCCTTTTTGCGGACCTAAATGTTAAACTTATGTCCTGGATTATAAAAGCTAGAACAGAGTTAATAAATCTTAACTATAAGCCCTGGATGGAAAATCAAATTTATTTATGTTCACTATGTAATCTCAACCGAGATGAAACGGTGTACCATTTTATAGCAGAATGTCCAATTTTAAAAAATGTACGTCAATTTTGGTTTAACAAGTTATATTTAAATGAATATGAGTTTTTTTGAATTTTTAAATGGCAAAGATTGGCGGGCACTGGGAAATTATCTTAAAGAGGCGTGGTGTAAAAGGTGGGAATTGATAATGGAGTTTAATTATTAAATTTAATAATTGAGATATCAATACAAAAGTGGGAAAAATTTATGTAATTTAAAAATGTATAAAATATTGTTTGTTAAGTATTTATCAAAGTAAAAAAAAGCTTTTTTTATTATTACTTATATGTTATTGCTGTTTGTAGAATAAATTCAGATTCTCAGTAGGCTATATTTCAATTTTATTTTTGATTCATTTGTTAACTGATCCTTTTTTACTATGTAGTGCTATTTGTGTATTTTTTACTAGAAATCAGTTTATTTAATGAATTATAGTTTGTGATTTATGTACTCTTTTAAAGTGTTTTAAAATATTGTAAAATCAGTATGTCAACCACAAAACAGACGGTCTTTGACCATTGTTCTTTGTGTTTATGTAAAAACACTGTATTGATATTTTATTTCAATAAACACTTTTTCTTCTTCTTCTTCTTCTTCTTCTTCCAGTCGCTTGAAAATCCCTATATCCTTTCAAGAATTTCTTGAGGAATCCCTTGAACCTCTTCGGCGATTCTCTGCCTGAGCTTGAGCAGGTCCCTAGGCAGACTTAGAAAAACCTTACTTTAAGTAGCCACATAAAAATAAATCGAATCAACAAATCTGGTGATCGAACTGATGGTATCAGCAACCTGGTACATACTTTCTCCCATTACCTTGTCAACAACCTTTGGCATGGATAAGCGGTGGGAGTAACTATGGTATTTTATAGAGAAATTTTTTACTTAATGGTTTTTGATGGGAAAATAACATAAGTTTAGGCCTACAATAACTTTTGAACTAAAATTCTTTGGGAAATGGGATTTGTACAATTTTTTTCAGAATTTAAAGGACCATAAACAAACTAATTTGAATCAGAAACAGCTTTTTTCTAAAACCATTTTTTTTAGTTTTTAATGGGAAAATAACATAAGTTACAATAACTTTTTAATCGTAGTTTTTACGGAAATCTGATTTGTATAATTTTGTTCAGAATTTAAAGGAATATAACATACTAAATTATTATCAAAATCGTTCAGGCCATTTTCGAGAAAATCCAATTTTTTTTCTATTTTATGGGCTTTTAGGGGAAAATTAACCATTAAAAATCCAAATTTCAAAAAAATAATGCCTGGAAAGTGGAAAGTACACGTAGAAAGTAAAAATGTGCTTCGTCGGACATGATTAACAGGTTTGAGAAATTCGGCACTTCATTTTTAATGTCAAAATCTTAAAATATCCACAAGAATCTACTATTTTGTTGTAGTCAGGTTCTTAAAGTTCTTGCACAAAATGTATTTTATAGGGGTGGAAATGAAGATCTTGATACAAGATCCTACCAAGTGATCTCCTAGATATTTAAAGTGCCAAGGACTGCTTCATGGCGGACCTCTTCGGACTATGAGTGACTGCGGCTCGTACTCTCACCACATTGGCTGGCGTGCGAACAGTTTTATGGCTTCCATCAATCATTTTTTTGGGTTGAGGCTGTTCTACTAATAATGATACCCAGTTCTATACCGTTAACCGACTCGGAACAGCCCGTTTCAATCAATATTGAAATGCTTCCTAAACAATCTCTGTGTTTTTATAAAAGACACATTATTCTTTATTCAAAAACACGATGTTCAGGATTCCAAAAGTAATAAAAAAAATTGTATCATTCAATTTTGTTTATGAGCACACCTGTTCACTCATTGTTGCAATATTTATCATCTGGTAGCTAAAATAAATTGTAATAGTTCTCATTGTCCCATCCTGTATGTTTTTTTGTCTCTGTGTTTTTCTTAAAACAAATCACAAAATCAGCAAAAGTTAACCCCATGAGGCTATTTCTAACCTAAGTTTTTGAATGATATAACGGAAATACATGACATGAAAGCAGGTACCTTGCCATTATACAGTGTTTTCCCCGGGGCTGCTTGGGCACCAGTCACTTCCCCTATTTTGGTCCACTCCCCCAGGCCAGCAGACCATGAGTAGCACGTCACCACGGCCCCTTCTCTGATCATCTTGGTCTGACCGTCCGATCGCCCTGGCTCATACAACGCCTCTCGACCAGGGAGACTATTAAAATTCATTACATATTATTTTTTACATCTATATCCAACTAATGTATATAAAAACAAGGCAAGTAACTTTTATTGATAGAATAAAATGATAAATAAAGCAAAATTATGTTAGGCCTAGAGATAAAATTTATCTTAGGGCCTTAAAGCAAATAACAAAGGCTTTCAGATAATCTAAGTTTAAAAATGATTTCAGAGCATGAAAAGCTTCAGTTGTTATGGAATGTGCTTACTTATTGAGTTACAGACTACAGTCCCTTGTAAAAATGGCATGCCTGTAGCATAAGACACAAGTATTTAATATATTTTCCCGTCATACTCACTCTGAAATTTTTACACCTCCAATCTCTTGTTCATCAACTTTGCCAAAGTTAGTGACATCCTCTTGATAGGAGGCCAAGGTAGCAGTGTCTGCCTGTCTACCAGCCTCAGAGCTGAACACCCTGACTACGCCGTCACTGCAAAACACGCCAAACAATCAGCAACTACAATGAATGAATGATGAGATCAGGAGTGAAATAGAGTTGAAGGGAAAAAGAAAAAAAGCAAGAGATAAGAAAATCCTTGGAAAGTGGAAGGAGGGGGGTTTAGCAGATGGGCTGGAGGCAGCAGATATTGGGAGTGTAATAACTACTAAGATTAAGAACAAGACAACATGGCGACATCTAATTACGCACCTTGCTAGACTCGAAGTGAAGGTCATCAAGACGGAAAACTCCTTGACCGATCGGCAGCCAATCAGGGAGCTCCACGCCGATGTAGGCAGTGCAGCCACCCAGTAACTTAATCTGTTTCCGGTTACTAATAATCTAATATGGTCCTATTGCTACTATATTACACTCGCCACCATTTAGATTAGGCCCACACTACTGCTGTAAGACCACAAATAACATACTTTTCAAACATAAAACTTTCTCTTCATAATAATTTCTTTTTTTCATTTTTATTAATTAAACCTTGATTCCAACTTAAAAATTCTTCTCATAAAACTAAAATAAACTCTTCTCACTTCTGCCTGAATAGCTTAAAGGTCTAGCTTTTCAGGCTTTTGTATTGTCCTTTTTGACCTTCTAAGATTGGGCGGGCTGCACTGCACTACCGCAGGTGAGTCTTCATGTCTTGGCTGAACCGCTGCAGTCTCAGAGTCCTTCAATGGAGATTGCCGCCTGGGCGAAACTTGCTGCCTCTCCTTGTCCTCTGAAGTTTCCCCTCGCTCAGGAAGTACTGGTTTCATGGGAGACCTTGGCTCACAACTTGGCACTGCTATCCCCTCCTCTTCCATGTTCACTCTAGACCTGAGGTGGTCAGCATGACAACGCCTAACTTTTCCTAATACACTAACAAGATATATTACAGAACTTTTTATCTCCAGAACTTTTCCAGGTACCCAGTCAATCTTTTCCTGCCTGACAGTTTTGACGAACACTTTCTCTCCAACTTCAAAGGATCTTGCCCTTCCCCTATGCCTATCCGAACTCTCCTTCTGTCTGTCCAGGTTCGTGTCAATACGAGCGTTGAGGTTAGGTTTGAGAAGTGCAAGCCTAGTTTTAGGTTTCCAGTTGAGAAACAATTCTGCCGGGGTAAGTCCGGTTACAGTGTTAGGTGTATTTCTGTATGTCATTAGGAAGTTATCGAGTTTATGTTGCAAAGTCAGAGAACCAGTACCACCTTCACTCAACACCTGTCTCAACAGGTTCTTCTTCACTTCTTGAACGCACCGCTCGGCCGCACCATTTGACGCAGGATGATAAGGAGGTGATAAGACAAACCTTACTCCATTCTTCTTTAAGAATTCTTTGAACTCAAAACTTGTAAAAGAAGGGCCATTATCAGATACTAGAGTGTCCGGAAGCCCATACGATGCAAAAAGTGAACGGAGACGCTCAATGGTCTTGAGAGAACTAGTAGATTTCATAACAAACACCTCGATCCACTTGGAAAAACTGTCTACTAGTACTAACATTTGTTGCCTAGAATTAGTATCTTCAGCGAAATCTATGTGCACCCGTTGCCATCTGCCATACACATGGGGCCACTGTTGGAGAGGGACTTTTGGAGCTGCATTCCTCGTACACTGACAAATATAACAAGAAGACACTGTTTCTTCAATACCTTGTTCTATACCGGGCCACCACACATAGCTACGTGATAACAGCTTCATCCGTGTAATGCCTGGATGTTGATCATGAAGCAATTCTAAAACTTGATTCCTCAATTTTGTCGGAATGACCACACGGGCCCCCCACAGAAGACAATTACTATCCACAGAAAGTTCATCTTTCCTTTTTACATAAGGCAATAACTCTTTATCCACAGCGCCATGCCAGCCGTGCCAAACATAATCTCTTACTTTAGATAATATAGGATCAGTACCAGTGAATTTAGCAATTTCCTTAGAAGTGATAGGTGATTCGGTACTCACCGTGCTGAAGCAGTTTAGTACCTCCACGCATTCCTGAGTGTGCGAGATAAAGTTGTTTTCCAGTTCCAGTGAATCACTTGCCGGTAACGGCAACCGGGATAAGGCATCGGCATGTGGCACATCAGACGCCTTGCGATATCTCACTTCGAAGTCATACGAAGCCAAAATCAGGGCCCATCTCTGTAGGCGCGCTGCGGCTAGGCTTGGGGTTCCTCGCTTTGAGCCAAAGATAGTAGCCAACGGCTGGTGGTCACTCTGTAATATGACATGTTTTCTCCCGTAAATATACTTATGGAATTTCTTAGCACCAAATACTAATGCTAGGGCTTCCCTATGAAGCTGAGAATAATTTTTCTCACTTGGACTTAGAGTTTTAGAGGCGAAAGCAATAGGCCTCTCTTCGCCATCAATCAAATGGGACAACACCGCCCCCACGCCTCGAGGGCTTGCATCACATGTAAGCACTAGTGGCTTATTGACATCATAATGTACAAGAATATCAGAAGATAACACCCAGTGTTTACTCTGTTTAAAAGTTTCAGCACATTTCCTAGACCAAACAAAAGGAACATCCTTTTTCAACAACTCATAGAAACAGTTCAGCTTATCAGAGAGATTGGAAATAAATCTACCATAGTAATTAATGAGTCCTATATATGATCTCAACTCCTCCTTACTTGCTAGTTCCGGGGCATCCTTGATGGCTTCCACTAGCCCTTCTCGTGGACTTATACCTTCAGCCAACAACCTATAACCTAGATAGTCTACAACAGGTTGTAAAAATTTGCATTTACTATCGTTAACCTTCACTCCATATTCTTGGAAGCGTTGAAGAACTTGCTCCAACCTAGACACTGCTTCAGGGTATGAATGTCCGCCAATCAAGACATCATCCAGGTACGCTACCGTACCGGGAAGATTTTTAATTATCTCATCAATAGCTGCCTGAAACAAAGCAGGTGCACTGGATAGGCCATATGGCAAACGAGTAAGACGAAATAATCCTTTATGTGTTGCCAAGGTTAACAACTCCTGTGAATCCTCAGCGACCTCCAGTTGAAGATAGGCTGTCTGTAAATCAATAACAGAGAACACAGAACAACCAGATAATGAAGCAAAAATATCCTCGGGTTGAGGTAAAGGATAGTGTTCAGTTTGGATAACTTGGTTTAACGTTACCTTAAAGTCCCCGCATAGCCTAACTCCTGTAGGCTTAGGCACAACAACCAGTGGGGTTGCCCAGTCGGAACTCAAAAAAGGATAAGCAATTCCATCATCCACCATCTTGTCTATTTCCTCTTCCACTTGTTTGCGAAGAGCGAACGGCACTGGACGAAATTTGCAGAACTTCGGTACAGCTCCATCTTTCAAAATTATATGTGTCTTCACACCCTTGATTGAACCTAATTTTCCTTCAAACGCATAAGAAAACTTTTGCCTTAAATGCTTAACATCTTCCTTGGCCCTAGGCTGAACCGAGTCAGCTGATTGAAGTGAAGTTAGGTTAGGTAACTTGTCAATAGAGTTTAGGCTAGGCCTATTAAAAACGTGCTCGTCGGAGCGGTTTACAGTTTTATCTTGAGAAAATATAGACTTCCAGTCTAAGGTTACATGTTCAAGCCAGTTTCTACCTAGCAACATTGGTTGACCCGTTTGGCCTAACTCTACAATAACTAACGGCAAGTCCTGATAAATTTGGTTGGCCGCTTTTACTCTAACCAAAATCTGTCCCAACACACTTACTTCATTTCCTGAATAGGTAAGTAGTTTTACATAACAAGGCTTTAAAGCCAGATGTGAAAAATATTTCCGATACCACTCAAAGGGGCAGACCGTAAGGGCGCTGCCTGTATCGAGCTCCATGGTCACATTATGGTTTTCAATCAGCAACCCTACTTCATAACCCGCCTTTCCATCTCCAAGGCCTACACTATACAGACATAAGTCCTGTAAAACTTCCGATGTCTCTTCAACATTGTGAACCTTAAACACTTTTTTGTTAGTCCTAGGCCTACTATCAGACACATCCTTTGACCTACACACCTTACCAAGGTGTCCAATTTTTTTACATATATTACATTTAAAATTGATATAAGGACACTCATGAGCCTTGTGCTCTTTCGCACAACGATAGCATTTTAGCTTATGAAATTGGCCAACTAGGCCTACCTCAGGTGACCTTGAAAACTTAGCTGATTTAACTCCATGCTTGGCACTTTGGCCTACTTTACGTGGACCTAGACTCATTTTATTTAAATCATGAACATGGTTCCCTGAACCTACAAAAAGACTAGTTTGTTTTTCAGCTTGCTCTAAGGTTAGTGCTAATGAAAAAGTTGAATCCAAATCTTGTTCATCACTGAGAAGTTTTTGCCTAATTGCCTCATTGTGGATTCCAGATATTAATTTATCCCTGAGTGCATCCTTAAGAAAGGCTTTGAAGTTACATGTGCTCGATAAATGCCTAATTGCTACCATAAAATCAGCAATACTTTCATTGGGACGCTGAACACGTGAGTAGAACGTGTAGCGTTCGGCTACCACTAACCTTTTTGGAGAATAATGTGCTTCCAACACCTTTAACAGATCCTTATAATCCTTGGAATCTACCGAATCTGGTGATACTAAGTCCGTGAGAACAGCCAGAGCTTTTGGTCCAATTACAGTAATCAAAATGGATAACTCCGATCCTTCCTTTACGCTGTTGGCCTTCAAGTAGTGTTTCAGCCTCATTAAATATGACGAAATATCCTCTTCATGAGGGTTGAACTCCCCCATACTCCCTATTGAACGGGACGACATGGTTCCTCAAATTAATTTTTCAACACTCCGCACTCGCGAAAAAGAAGTTGAACATAATTTGACTACGACTGCGCCATTTGTAATAACTACTAAGATTAAGAACAAGACAACATGGCGACATCTAATTACGCACCTTGCTAGACTCGAAGTGAAGGTCATCAAGACGGAAAACTCCTTGACCGATCGGCAGCCAATCAGGGAGCTCCACGCCGATGTAGGCAGTGCAGCCACCCAGTAACTTAATCTGTTTCCGGTTACTAATAATCTAATATAGTCCTATTGCTACTATATTACAGGGAGGAAGAGGAAGTGTAAAGGGATAACAGATGGAGAGGCCTAGTTGATGCATAAATAATAAGCATAAATATAGTTGATGCCGGGAATAAAAGGAATAAATGATACAGAGTAGTGATGTCAAAACCGAATCTCAAATCTCAAAACCATCAAAACTTAGGAAAAGTTTCGGTTTCGAGATTCGATCACCAAGTTTCGAGATTCAAAAGTTTCTAAATTGAAGGTTTTGGCAGTTTTATTTTTGAAACTGCTGAAATTTTTTTGTGTCATTGTTATTGTTTTCACACAACACTGTTTCCAAACAAGCTGGTAGCAATAGAGCAAACATCACCATTTACGGTAATGAAACAAGTAAATTTTATTCTGAACTTCAAATACTTAAATACTATAACTGGTACAATTCAGTTTCACATCAATATCATAGACAAACCAACACAAGGGAGTATGTTTTATCATTGACTATTGGATACAGTTGTTGTATTAATTGTCAAAGGTGTTCTAATTAATCTAATATTCATGTTAGTTTTGGTGTTAGTAGTTTAATTTATTTATTTTTTGTTGGTTGTTTATGAAAAATTATGTTGTATTGGGTTTTAAGATTATCAGTCACATTCACATACAGTAATACCTAGTTTTTCTTCAGTCTAATGTGTTGAAATGCAATGTATAATTAAATATTTTGGACCATTTTTTATGCGGTAGGTTCCCCCATTATTGTTTTTGAAAAACCACGGTTTATTTGACAAAAATAAATTGAAGCAGAACAAAGAAATAGCCATCGTTAGCTTCAAGGTCAAGCTATCTGCTTGCACTGACAATCATCTGCTCTTTACACAACTGTCTGCTGTGCGCTTGCTATCTCACAACAGTTTGTGATTGGGTGATTGGTAACCATGGCAATGGCAACTTGTTGAATGTGTGGATGAAGATAAACCAAAGAAAGAAGAAGAAAGAATAAGTAACATATCATGATTGCGCAATACTATTATTTGTATTTTGATTGTGTAAAATGCACTACATCCGGTTAGTCCGGCCATTTTGTAGTCCGGCCAGTGGTCCGGTCCCGAGGTGGCCGAACTAGAGGGAGTCTACTGTATTTATGTTATGTCACAGTCGGAAGTCGATCTCTTTCAGTTTTGATTGCATACTTAACATTTTATGATTATGTGTATTTTTTTGTAACCTTGACCTTTGTAACCAGCTAAGTAAAAAAGTTTCGCATTTAGGTTTTGAGATTCGAGATTTGGGATTTGATTTTTTAAAGTTTCGGTTTCGGTTTTGAGATTCGAAATTTCTGGTTTTGACCATCACTAATAGAGAGTAATGACTATGTTCGGAAATCAACCCAAGATAGTGATAGAGAAGAGCTACAATAGTGTTTAAGTGCCAAATCTCTCAAATTTCCAGCACATCTAAAATATTGTGTGACAAGTTAAGGGGAAGCAGCTTAAGTTAGTTTGTTAGTTGGTAACATAACCTTAGCCTTATTCCTTAACCTTAAACATTACCTTAGTCTATATTGTGTTGATTATTCTATTAATTTTTTTAAAGGACAACGCATTAGTCTTAGGGATACAATAAGGAAGACTAATTGGAAAATCACCAAACCTAACTATGGAAATTGTTACAGATGAAAATTCACAATAAAATTAACAAAAATGGATTAAATGTTTCACTTTTTCAAAGTCTTATTAAAAAGGAAGAAGAGGAAGAAACAAAGGAACGTACCCTAACATTCACCGGGTTTTAGTGATAACATTTAATTGTTGCAAAATATTTCGAGAGGTGTGCCACTTAAAACATTTGAAACAATTTTTGAGAATTTTAATTTATTTTGTTTTTAGTTACCATTCCTATTTAAACAGTAGGTCTACCATACTAAGTTGCACAGAATACATAGACAGATTAAAACGACTGAACTTTTGAAAGAATGGTCTGCAGGACATTTGAACCAGCAACAAAACTGTTCTGCGACATTTCACCAAACTCAATTCTGCTTTTGGACATGACATTAGCAACATGCTATTTTCTATTCAATCCTATTACCCTGAAGACGGTCTACAAATTGTCGTCAACTACAAGAGACAATGTAACATACTTTGAGCCTGTGACGATGTCTCCGTTGGGCAGCCTTGCAACAGCCCACACACTCTGTACTGGCAGTCTTATGTCCTCTGACTGTTTGCCTTTCCACACTTTGACTGACTGTTCTTCCCCTCCTGACACCATAACTCCGCCAGACACCACCAAACTGCACAACACATCACAGTAATTAGGAAACATCTTTTGACTGTCCCCATAGGCCTTAAGCTTGAGAATAACACATATTGGTCAAAATCATACTTGTATTGACTATTCTTTGCACAATATTTTAGATGGACCTACAACACAAACAGAGCTGAAAAGTATCTGATTACCAGTAAATGTAATGCTTGTGGCCGAAGTATGTGTCAAGACACTCTCCTGTGCTGAGGTTCCACTTGCGGATTGTTGCGTCGTTGGCACAGGACAGCAGTTCAACAGCAGACAGAGCAGCCAAGCCCCGGACACAGTCCTTGTGACCTGCACACATCACATCAAATAAAGAATGTACAAGAATTTAGAGTTCATCTAATACTCTCTCTCTGAACATTATACAGGCTGATTGTACAGTAGAATATTATTTTTGCTGAATTTCATCTGTTTTTGTTTTGTTAAAAATAAATTTTAACACAAGTAGCTGTACCTCTTAAACAGTTTTTTTTAAGAATCAATGTTCTTCCAAAATCTCTGTTTTCAAGGTAGGTCCTAACAGGCTTATTTAAATGACTATTATTTTTTTCAAAGGTAGACTAGAGTAGCACAGGATCGAAGAAATCTAGACTAATTCTGATACTCATTTCAAAACACGGTGATTTTTCAAACTTTTGGATGCAAGAAATCATCTAATCTCAATTCTCTATGACTTTTGGTTAAATTTTAAATCTTGATGGTGAATGTTTATACAAAATCAATAATTTCTTTGTACAACCTGTAAAGTCATGGTTAAGTTATTTACGTATTGATGAGGTCTTTTCATCAAAATTATTATATTTAAAATAGAAAAACAATTGCACAAGGTAGTACCCATTTAGGATCAGATTCAAATACTTTAAAAATGATTTCAATACAACAATGCCACTATCAATAACCAGAAAAATGAGGATAGCAGCTAGCTTACCTTGAAGAAGTGTAGCTAGGCCAAATAGAACATTCAGAAGAGACGCTGTGTACAAAATATTTCGTCACCTGGGGGGCTTCGTCAAGTGTAGAGAAAGTGGTAGAGTTTACCAATTACAGTGTCTCTTCTTTAAGTTTTATTTGGTCTACATACACATCTTCAAGGTAGGCTAGCAGCTATCCTCCTTTTTCTACAATTCAAAATCCTGGCCTAGAGCCATTCCTTGAACAAAACTAAAAATAATCAATTAGGCCTAATAATGCAGAGATTAGGCCTACCAATGAGTGAACGCAGGTACGTGCCATCTGGGGAGTATACACGGATGCTACGATCCGCAGAGCCCGTAGCTATAACACCTGTTGACATCTGTAGAACACTCCACACTGCCAGCTCATGACCTGTCAGGGTGAGAACACAACGTTGGTCTTCTACGTTCCACAACTTGGCAGATTTGTCCCATGAGGAGGACAACACGAACCCTGGCTGAGCTCCAGCACAGAGACAACACACTACAACACAACACAACATTTTTACACAACAGCTGTCATCTAAATTTTCAATAGCTGATTCAACAGACAATTACTTAGATGAATTTGAAACTATTCTTACCTATTTGGCCCTCATCCAAAATTTTGTAAAATTGAAACATTTCATACATTTTATTATGTCTGGGCCGTTTATTGAAAATATTGTATATGATTAAATAAAATCTACTATAATGATATATTCCAAACATACAGTTTTACTTATTCCAGAAAGAGATTGGATGGACAGGAAAAAGGTGTAAAAAAGTGAACCATTCTACAACAACACTCTCGTTCCTTGTGCCTTCTTTTCTCAATGCTGCATTCTGTGAAGATGATGCAATTGCACAGATATACAATCTTTTTCCATATGTTATTTTCAAGTAATATTATAAACACAGATAGGAGTTAAAAAAGAAAAAAAATCCGGTAATTAATAATTTTTGGCCCGACCCGATTTTGGCCCGAAACCCGAGGACCAAAATTATCGGCCCGACCCGACCCGACCCGAACCAAAAAAGTCTGACCCGCAGACCCCTAGTCTGGGGTCACTAAAATGTTCATAGTTTTATTTTTTTTTTTTTTACTTTTTTCATCAATTAACTTTTTGTTTGTTTTACATTGTTTGTACATATCGACCATGGGAGATGTTCTTAATTTTGCCAGTGTCGTGGAAGACAATGATGATATTTCTATGACCACGGGAGACGATGATGATGTCTACATGGCCAGATATGATATGATCAGAATATAATCGCGTAAGACAACAATAATGTCTACACGAATGCGGAAGATGTTCAAGACTTTGTAGCAATTGTGAAAGACGGTGATGATGTTCTGTTACCGCAGGGGTTATACGGGGTTTTGCAGTGACTGCGGGAGACAATTACGATATCTTAACACCAGCGGGAAATGAACAGAATTTTGGCCCCAGACGCGGAAGACGGCGTTGTCAACAAAATTTATAGCCTATAGGTATAAAAAAATCAACTAAATTATATAATGTATGAAGTTAGCCCTGTAAATACACGATCACGGGAGATTTTAATGATATTGCCACGGTCGCGGAAGACGATGATGATGATCATCAAGGGTTATTCACGACCACAGGAAATGTTTTTAACATAGTGGAATCGATGAAATTGGAATCGAGAATCAATTTCAAAGAATTGAAATCAGAATCAAACATTTCTGGAATCGCCCCATCACTAGTTTGTTTTAAATTTGGCATTGTGAATTTAAAAGCAAATCAGGTTAAACATCTCAAACAAACAGCCACTATTGCTGGAACAGGAAAGTATTGTTTAATCTGTATCATGGGATGTGTGGGAAGTTAAACAGACAACCTGCTTCTCAAGAAAATTAAAGCAGATCTCATATTGTGGGAGTAGGCTAGTGAAATATTTTTTTACAGTATGCTAAGTGTATAACACAACAATTACTGCGTATAGAAGTAAGTGTTTTATACTGAGCTGAAGATAATGCTACATAAGTCTTATCTTAAAATTTGTTATCAAACATAAAATAACTGAATACCATCATAAGGCAGATTAAGGTAAGAAAAGTTCAAACCTTCTATTCAGTATCATGTTTTAACTATTAATATTTATTTCATGCTTGTACACTGTTTGACATAGCCTGTAACAATATTGTTGATTGGCTGAAAAAAATCATTGTACCTATCATTGTATAGTAAGGTTGTTATGTTAGCTCTAGGCCTAAATGTAAATTAATATCTTAATTATCTTGCCGTTATCTTTGTGGTCTTCCAAAATGAACAATGGGTCGAAGAGTTTGGGATGGAATGCACAAATCTTCTTGTCACTACCACCAGTTAGTATAAGTCCATCAGGATGATTTTTAGAAGGTGGAATGACACACACACAACTGACAAAGCTGGTATGGCCTCGCAGAGTTGCTGCTTCTGTGAATCCTGAGTTGAACCTTTAAATGCAAGAAAAAGATTTAGTACCGTACATAAGTAAATGGGTACATCTAAGTTATAAACATGATTAATTTTAGGCCTAGGCCTACATAATGTAGGCTAGAAATAACTACCGGTTGGTATACACTATTTAAGTATATCGAAAAAATGATATTTCTTGCATTTTTAAGAGTTTGGCCGGTACTTTCCTGTATTTTTCCCTCGATATATCTGTATTTTTGTTATCCTTTACGATCCGTTTGATTGGGAATAGCCAATCAAACGGAATTAAGAAATTTTACAGCAAGTTTGGTTTTAGGTTAGGTTAGTTTAGAACAGTTTCATTTCAATATAATTTTTAAAATTGTTTGTTGATAACTCAGCAATATTTACTAGCGAATCTGGCGCACATAATAGTGCCCAATCTATACATAAGAAAAAAAGGATTAATATTGATTTTTTTATTTGGCGTTTTCTGGTTTCTTGGTCTATTTGTAAAAGGCCTAATTGAGTTTGCAGTTTACATAGTTTTTACACGGTTTTTGCAGTTTTTTTGTGAAAGTCAGTAAAAGATTCTCTTATGATTAATAGATGATATAACTCAATAACTCATTTATTTAGCTAGATTAACATTACAAATGCATTAGCCACGTCAAATTTACTTAAAATAACTATTAGGCTAACTAACTTTTAAATTATTTGAAATTAAAATTCATGAGGACTGTCTGTCAGCAAGAAAGGCGCAGACACTGTAGTAGCCTTTACCCGCGAGAAATGACCTCAAGTGCCTTTTGAAGCATCCCGGATCTGATGTGGACTTGATTTGAAGAGGGAGAGCATTGAACAGTTTGATAGCATTATAATTTAGATGTCTTTCAAAGAATGTGGTTGAATAGGCTGGAATTCTCAGATTGAAAGTATTACGAAGCAGCATATGAGTGGGTGGTTGCGGTGTGAAAATGAGAATAATTTGACTTCAGAAAAGTGAGTGGGGTTTGAAACACAAGTTCTCGCCAATCAATCAATCAATCAATCAAGAAATTTATTAACACAATAATTAACAATACATAGGATACAAAAGTGCAAAAACCACAAATGGTTTGTCTGCACTAAAAATATTGTTTCCTATTTACCATACAGTTTTGTCAGTTTGAATCAGTAGCATACAGTTTTATGAGTCCTTAATTGTCTCTTGAGTAATTAATAACAAAAAAAGACAACAAAGACACAAATATCAGTAAAAATTCAACAGTAACAATAATAAATAAACTATTAGAATAAATAACAATAATATATTACTTTAACTTCAACTAAAAATGTAAATAAATGTAGCCTATATTAGTGTAATAAATTAAATTTGTAACAAATCATTCCAAACAAGTTCCTTTAAAAATTTTTAAACATGCTATAACTATTTACAAAAAACCAACCAATCGTCCAACAAAAAACCCAGGAATTGTACTTGAGCAGTGGTTTCAGTTTCAGTGTCGTCCAAAATAAAGTTTTGTTTGTTTTTGGTTTTCCTAATTGAGAATTCAACAAGCTGAGATTTTGTTGGATTGATTTTGAGGAAATTTTCGTCGAACCACTGGAACAAGCAACCGGCTTGTATAAAGGCACCATGTCTAGTTCGAGTCGGTTTGGGCTGGAGACAGCGAGAGAGGTGTCAACAGCAAAGATACATAATTCACCCTTTTGAACAACTGATGGGAGGTCATGACGATCGTACCAGTAAAGGATCTGTGAGGGCCTAGACATCCAGTGCTATCCACTGTGTTCACCTCCACATATTGACTTTGGTTGGCAAGGTAAGACGAGATCCATTGTAGTGACAGCCCTCTAATTCCATAAGAGTGTAACTTCTCCTTGAGAAGGTCATAATCCACTGTCTCGAATGCTTTGGTTAAGTCGAAGAAGAATCCCAAAGCTTTCTCACCTCTATCCAGTGCGCTTAACACAGTCGATACAAAGTGATATACTGCATCTGTTGTTGACCTGTTTTTACGAACCCAAACTGTTTACTGCTGAGTATGTTATTTTTATGTAGAAATTCCAGCGATCTTTTTAAGAATTATCTTTCAAAAAGTTTGGAAAACGTTGACACTATTGATATTGGCCTGTATATAGGCTTGATATAGGCTTAACAACAGAGAGCTTAAGAGTATCAGGAAACTGACCAGAAATAAAGGACGAGTTGATTAAATGAGTCAGAGGTGTCAAGATTACATCACTTATTTCTTTTAATAGCCTTGGGGATATTTCATCTGTGCCGGCTGAACTCTTTAGTTTTCATCTCAACCTTATCTCAGTTGCGACTTCTTTTTCAGTTGTTGGGCAAAGGAAGAGGGAATTTGACACATACCTTGTACAGCTGTTGGTACCCTTTTCATTTGACTGGCTGCCAATCTCAACAAAGAAATCATTAAATCGATCAGCTACTAATTGTGGATCTATGATTAAATAACCTTTCTCATCAAGGAGGTGGGGTTCTTTAAATTGTTTGTGTTGCATTTTTATTTTCATTAATTGTATCCCATATATAGCCTTGCTTTTATTTTCTGCCTGGTTTATTTTACCGTAATAACAATTCAGATTTCTTTTTCCTCACAAGTTTTCGATTGGATTTTATTCTTAAATAATATTGTCTCATGTAATGTTCGGAGGGAAGATCTTTTGTTCGGTTGTATAGGTCAATCATTTCTGTCCTTTTTTGGCACATGTCTATGTCCAAAACTACATGACCTGTGTTTTTCCTTTCTTTCTTTTCAATGGAAATGCTATTTCAAATATGTGGGGTAGCTGGCTTTCAAAATTGGAAAATTTGTTATTCATTGTTGTTGCATTGTACACTAATATCCAGTTCTGTTGCTTAATAGCGTTGTATTATTATTAATTCTCTGGAAAATTTATATTTTATTAGATTAATATCTCTGTCATTCAGTTAACAATTTATGGAAGCTATCTGGGCGTGGTGGTCTGATATGGCTGTCACAAGAACTTCACTTTTAATTCTGCTATTATCTATGTCAGTAAATATATGATCTATCAACGATCTAGAACATTTGAACTCCCTTGCATATGAAGTTATAGTGTTTCTGAGTCCAAAAGATCTCATAATGGTTGCCAGCTTATCTGTTACGAAGGGAGTTTTAGACAGATCAATATTTAAATCACCAACAACTAAGATTTTTTGGTTGAAATTTACAAACTTATCAAGGCTCAATTAATTGGGGGAATAATAAACCAAAGAACCTTGTTACTAACACCAACTCTGGCTTAAGTCTGGAATTTATTTGTAGACCGATTCCCTGTGAAAAATCTTTTTTTTTTCTTCCGGCCATCTTCAATCCTCGTCCAGACACACTATTGGCCGATTTCCGAGCTCGGGATTTAGCTAAGTTCTAGACTTTAACCATCTTTAGACTCTTTTTATTCTTCGATCTAAATAGGCCTAGGTGTCCATTAAAATCGGCTATTCGGTAAAAATACTTATTTTGAGTTATTCTGCTATTTTTTGGGTCTATCAAAGATGAGGGCCACCTGCCAGTATTTTAAAGTGTGTTGCAGCATAACTTATTAGTTAGGTTGGCTAGTTTGGATCAGTTTATTTTAAATGATAATGATAGCCTAAACAAAATATTATTTATGTACCTTTTTTTGTTATTAGGTCCATCATAACCTAACCGAACTAAACTGAACTAATTTAAACTAGGTAGGCTAATTAACCTAACCACCACAGAATAGGCCTAGTCTAAGTTAAAAGAATCATTTTTAAAACACCCAAAGTTACCTAACTTGGGTAGGCCTAGGGCCTACAGTAACTTATGTCTTGAAATTTGATTAAGAAGCAAACAATATCCAATATGACATAGGTACATATAGAAATAGTATTTCATTTGATACCTAGTATATTGTAGGCCTATGCCTAGGTTCTCTGCAGAACTGTAGAAGTTGCCCCCATAGTCTTCACGTGGGCCTAAGTTAGGTTACCTGATAAGTAAGTTAGTGGTTGACAGATGGCACTGCAGATTTAATGCTGTTATATAGTAACTTAGGATAGGCCTTACAGCGCAGATGGTTTCTAAAAATTCAAAGTTTTCAAATGTACATTGGGCCTAGTACATGAATAACTGTTTTGAAGTTCATAGCTTAAATTGCATTAGTAGGCCTAAGTTACAACCATTGACTTGGTCTAAATTACCGGTACATTATTGTAAAATGTTTACAGACAATAAAGATTGATTCTGATGCATAACTTACAACTTTATAAGTTTAGATTAGCCTAGATTTTACACATTAAGTTATCCACCCTTATAGCCTAACTATTAAGCTTGGGTTAATGAGGCTGCACTTTACTTTAGGTCCTACACTCATTCGAATGAAAATATTGATTATTCGATTGTTTCATTTGATATATCGTTTGGTTAGTTAGGTTAGGTTAACCTTATTTAACTAACCAAACGATATAGCCTATCGAATGAAACAATCGATTAATCAATCTATATTTGAGTATTGATGTCCTAGAATAGTTTAAAAGTTATTTTAGAACGTTTAAGCTGGGGTCTGTGTCCTAAATAAGTACCCTATATTTTAATTCGAATGAGTGTAGGACCTAAAGTAAAGTGCAGCCGTTAATGATGCTGTTTAGAGTTAGAAATATGAAAAATATTGGAACCGATACAGAACCTAGAAACATTGGCCAGTGGTGTACCGTAGGCTACCTAACTTAATCCAAAATTTTCCAGTTGGCCTAGCCTATGAGAAAGTCTGTTATCGTCTCGGGGGGAAACACAGGCCATCTATTAACATAAAGGATTTTTTAAAGTAGAGTCTCCACTCCACTACACCACCAATTAGCCTATCAATTGTTTAAGGAAAGACCTGCATCTCCCTATCCTATAGCCATGATAGGCTTATCACTCTTAGCCTAGTATTAATCTAAAAAGCAGGGAAAATACATGAAAGTCAAGTCTACCGGGTTAACCTTAGACAAAACTTATATGTAATTTAAGCTTTGAAAATAAAAATAAACAATTTATTAACATACCCATTAGGTCTCCAAACCTTCGCTGTTTTATCTCTGGACGTCGAAATAATCCACCCATCATAAGTTGTGGCTAGAGCTCTAACATCAAGTGAATGGCCAAAAAGAACTGAGCTAAGTTTATACGACATCGCTATTTAAAATAACGGCAGTATTTGAATTTTGTACAAACGAATACAGTGTGAAACGTTTCTGTTTCTGAAAAGTATCATTCACCAAACCCAAAACTAACCTTTCTTGGTTAAGTTAAGTAAAATCTATGATGATTGATGACTATGATTTAGGAATTTTGCCGAACGGAAAAAAATAAATGACAGGATGAAAAAAAAACTAATCTGCACACAGAGACAGAAAGGAAAGAAAGGATGAAAATCAAACAAAAAAAGATCAGCCTAGTAGATTAGTTTGAGTATATAATTATAATTAATTTAGCTTAGCACTGTCCATTTTTTATTTATCCCCCAAATCAATCAATTTTTCAATCAAACATTTAACATTCAACATTTAACATTTAAATTTCAATCAATTTTATGTTACCCAACATACATAGTAGGGCCTATAAGAAAGTATCGTTTTCGTCAAAAATTATGAGTTTGAGTGGATACATCAGTTTTGGCATAGATAAGTTAAAACATAATTGGTTTCCCTTAACCCAAAAAAGTTTGTTTGTGTAACGTATAGGAGAGTTTTAGTTTTCATATATATCTTAAATTATAGTATTAATAGAAGTATACCATATCGGTCCACCCAATGTTAAGATTATAAAACCAAAGACAAGAGTGCTGTCGATATCTGGAGCTAACTCTTCACCTGGATTAGTTGAACAGGGTGTCACGCAGGGCTCAGTTTTGGGCCCGGTCCTCTTTTTAGTCATGATAAATTACCTAAGTGCCATTGGAAACGTCCTGCTGATGATACAACAATTGTTGCCAGAGGATATACTCCAGTTTTGGCCAGGGAAAAGGCTGCAGAAGTTTTTGAGTTGGTTGGAAGACTTGGTTCTTACTAAACGGATTGAGCCTCGACCGAGAAAAACCCCAAGAAATTGTGTGCAGTCTCAGTCGTACAAACGCTGACGTTTTGACATAGGTGAAGCTGCTGGGATTCGTCATATTAAATGCAAAGATTGGCTGGAGTGGCCATGTGAACAGTATCTCTACGAAGCAGCTCTCTCTCGAGTCGTCCAACTACTCGTAGACTGAAACACCTGTTGACGAGGCATTACCTGACCACTGTCTATCATGGCTTATTTCATTCCCACTTCTCCTATGGACTCCTGCTTTGGGGACATACTGCAAGGTGTGAAGACATTCTTCTCCTTCAAAAAAAGGCGGTTCGGTTCGGATCATTACATCGAAGAGTGACAGTGAGCACTGTATAACTATCTTCAGAAGCCTAAAAATACTTATTATATTCAGCCAGTCAGTATGTACTGTGTTTAGCCTCTGTTATGTTAGGGTTAGGGATAACTAACACCAGCTCACAACAAGGGAATTCCACCACTCCCACAACCTTCGTAACAGAGACCAGCTCCACATACCTGCAGGCTGTCCAAAACGCAAAGCTTTATCTGCATTAGGGCTCTGAAGATGTACAATGATCTCCCCCAAAGATTAGTCTTGTAAACCTTCCGCTTTTAAAAAGAAAGTTAAAACCTGGCTAGTCGACCGACCACTACTCAGTTGACGAATATTTTGATGCGCTCTTCTTTAAAAGCGCCTTCGTTTTGTGATTGATGAATCAAACTTAATTCCCAATCACCAGTTTGGATTTCGGCAAGAACATTCTGCCATTGAGCAGGTCCATCGGGTGGTGGATGTTATCAAAGAGGTTATTGAGACAAAGAAGTTTTGTTCTGCTGTGTTCATTGACGTGAGTCAAGCGTTTGACAAAGTTTGGCATACTGGTTTACTCTATAAACTAAAACGTAATCTTCCTTACACATTTTTCAATCTCATGACCTTTTCAATCGACACTTCAGAATTCAGAGTAAAATTTGGAGATATTGTTACCCCACTTCACGAAATTCATGCAGGAGTTCCCCAAGGAAGTGTATTGGGCCCCGTTCTCTACACATTGTTCACGGCGGACCTCCCTGAAAATCCTAATGTCGAAATTGCAACCTTCGCTGATGATACTGCTATTATAGCCTCTCATGAAAACCCTGTTATAGCTTCACAAATTTAAAACCATTCTAAAACCAGTGTGGACGTACGGTATCCAATTGTGGGGGACATCCAGTGAATCCAATCTGAATATCATCCAAAGATTCCAATCTATAGTTCTAAGACACATTCTCCAGGCACCATGGTTCGTCAATAACGAAGTGATTCACAGGGACAGTCGAACCCCAACAGTCAAAGAAGAAATTTCAAAATTAAGTGCCAAATACTTAAAGAAATCAGAGTACCATCATAACTACCTTGCTTTAAATTTATTGGACAACAGCAACTATACATACAGATTGAAAAGATGCCATGTTTTGGACTTAAGTAGTCGTTTTTAGACTTTAAACTTTGTACCAAATATGCAAAGTTTGTGTGTTAGCTCTGTTGTTGGATAAAAACTAACTACTGTGTTTAAATTTTATCAAATTTATTGTTCTACTAGCTGACCCGGCGAACTTCGTATCGCCTAAGTTATAGGTTTCCCCTAAGACAGACCGATGGAAAGAAAGTACCGTTACGTTTAATTTTCAAGATGATCTCGTTCGCATCGCTCAATCACGTCCTGGTTGAAGTTCGTTCGCTACGCTCACTCACCTTTGGGTTGGAGCTCGTTCGCTACGCTCACTCACCTTTAGGTTGGAGCTCGTTCGCTGTGCTCACTTGCCTTCAGGTTAGCTCGTTCGCTACGCTAACTCGCCTCCAGGTTGAAGTTCGTTCGCTACGCTCACTCACCTTTGGGTTGGAGCTCGTTTGCTACGCTCACTCACCTTTAGGTTGGAGCTCGTTCGCTGCGCTCACTTGCCTTCAGGTTAGCTCGTTCGCTACGCTAACTCGCCTCCATGTTGAAGTTCGTTCGCTACGCTCACTCACCTTTTGGTTGCAAATTAGCTGTTGTCATAAATGTAAAAGAAATAATAGTGCTGCACCCTGTTGGTAATCCTTGTAACTTTAATGCTATTGAACATCATAGAACAGAACCAACTTGTTTAATTGAAACGGCTGTTAAGATTCATTAATTCCATTTCTCATAAGGTTAACATGGGAAACTCCAGAGCCACTGGGGCGGAGCCCTTTTAAGAATTTCGAAACGGGAAATAGTTTACGTCCGATTCGCATACCTACAGAATTTACACACCAAATTTCATAACGATCGGTGAAGTCGTTCCGGAGGAGTTTGCAGACAAACACTGTGACACGAGAATTTTATATATTAGATTTTTTGTTTTGTTTTTTGAGACACAAATAATGAGAAACTAACCCTAAAATAATTTAAACAAAATTTATACAAAAACACAACATCAAAAAACCGGACAGAACTAACAATAAAATTGTCTTCAGCTGTTCCATAAGGATGGTAAATCTACTAAGGTACTATGTTTTATCTAAGGCATTGTACTAGGTTGTCTAGGAAATTTAAACCAACCATTGAATTAAATTAAATTGATTTCAATGCATTATGTGGAAATATATGTGTACAACTATAAAGTGAGTGTAATATATATAAAGCAAATTAAAAAAAAAACATCACTATACTCTTTTGCGTCATCTTTTCGTTGCTAAGCACGGGTAAAACTGATCGTATTTTATTATAACCAAACAGTGTCAGTGCCGGATTATTATTGTAAAAATTAAAATTATATTATTATATTTTTTAAGATAAGGTATTTCAGCGGATCAAACTTGGCAGATTTTTAACTTATAAATTGTTTTCACACATAATACACTGATCAAAAATTTCCTTATATTTATTTATAAAACCAGACATATATTTACAGCATGATCATTATATTGTACAAACATTTTTTATACTAAGTTAAGACATTCTATTTGCTCTTTTTTCCACCTCCAAAACCAGAAAAGCCCATTATAGACGCTAACTCTGATTGTTGATCTTTATGATCATCATTATCTTCATCTAGCTTTCTTTTTTTCTCCTTTTTCTTCTCTCTTCTATATTCTTTCAACTTTTCTTCCTGAAAATACAGTTTACAGTTTATTAGAAAGTGCTTAGTATTCGGGCTAGAAGAACATTTATTTCACAATTTTTACATTAACTTAGATTATTGGAATTTGATTACAGGATTTAATTTGTAGCTTTCCTCCAGTCAAAAATATATAAGTAAGCAGTTTACATTATATATAATACTAGCAGTTACCCGGTGCGCGTTGCTGCGCTAACAACTATTATTTTAAATAGCAATTAGTTCTATACGATAAATAATAAAAATAAATACCAAAACAAAAATAGAATATTTATTTGACATAATTGCCAGTGGATAAACAACGTTTTTTTTTTTTTCATTAGGTGTATAAATATAAAAAGTTTTAGGCATACCCTACCACCACGTGAGCACGCAACATACAGCTGTCCGTGTGAAAAGCATGCATTTTCTAAATTTAAACCAGCGATAGTCAGGGATTGCGAAAGTAAGACACAAAGGAAATTGTAGTCGCTTGAATTCAAAGGGCAATTCGGATGAAATCATTGGTATTCTTGGGATTAAGACTATTTCTCCTTTAAACTTACCACTAATGATTGTTGCTTCAATCAAGTTTGGTGTCATTTTTTTAATCGTCGGTCTGGTTCTGTTTTTTTGAGCTTGGGTGGATTTAAGTTTCACATTAGTATTATTGGAGTTCCTTCTTTTAAAGACAGTAATGTGGTGGGTTAATGACAAATTGGGAAGCAATTGAATACCTGAGATAGCACGCACGGTTATTATTCACTTAATAATTTATGTTAGATTGTGTGGTTATAGAACAGAAGATAAAAATGTTTAGGCATTGCCATCTCTTTTATTATTTATAATACTTTGATAAAGGTTTTTACTTTTTATGTTTACATATTTAATCGTGGAGAATTTAAATGTTGTTGAGTGCACAGGTGTGCTGCGATTGGGGTTTAATATATTTGGACTTATCCAAAAGTAAAATAGTTTTCTGTGCTGCATTCTGTGGAAACAGTGTGGCACTATTTCAAATCAAACAGAATGTTGTGATTATTCAAACCTACAAACAGTTGGTGAATGTAACCAAAATTATATTTATTAGAGGTCGTCCGGTGGTCGAAAACTTGACCAAAAATATGTAATGTACAGACTTTTCTATGTTCACCCCACACTGTAAATAAAACATGTGATTGGAATTTTTTCCATTTGTTTTGATTTTCTGTTCATATTTTGTTGTTATTACGTCACCAGAGAGGTAACCCTTAAGGCCCATGTTAATTTTTTTTTATTTAAAATTTGTTTTTGTGCTTATTTTTGAGCCTATTTTAGTTTATAAACGGATTCTGCACATCTACAGGAAAATATCTTTCTAACAATATGCGTAGATTTTTCCTGCAATGTACACAAGCTGATAAAAAAGATTTTAAAGAAACATGTTTGCCTATTAATATATAGATTTGTAAACAGTTCCAAAAGTCTGACATTGGACCCCTTAAAACCTTCTGGGGCGGAGCCCTTTTGACGGATCTGCACCAAACTTCACATAAACCATCCTTGAATAATTCTTAATAATGCCGGAAAGTTTCATTACAATCTGTCAAGTGGTTTCGGAGTCCATAGGGTATATACAAACATACACATACTTCCTCTTTTATAGATATAGATAGATAGAGATATGTGCTAAAATAAAATAATTTTACTTTGATTTTTTTTAAATTCCAACCCAAATTTAAAAAAATAAATATGTGAGATTTGGTTGCGGATGCACTTATACACAATTCTTTCCTGGAAAATGGTGACCAATAGTATTTACACCAATAATATATCATACAAGTAGGCCTACCCTTTCATAAAACAAACAAAGTTTATTGATAGACTAATACTGTGACAAATCAAATAATAGCCCTTACTTCTTCCTTCAACTCCTTCATTCTTTGTTCTATATCATAATCCTTTTTCTTCTCTTCTAGCTTTTTCTTGTTAATCTCAAATCGTTTACGCACTTGATCCACTGTTGAATTCTCAACTCGCATTGACATGCCCATGTTTCTTTGATCTGAAACAATCATTAAGATTCACAACAATAGCTCTAATACAGTTCACAGAACACACAAGTTGATTGACCAACTGGAGGATGGCCACCGAATTAGAAATTTTTTTTAGGAAGACATTTCATCAGGAAGGCAACTTACTAATAGTCTAGTAAGCTAGTGATATGTACTGTTTGAGGACAGAAGAAATGTCATAAGATAGGACCAACTCATAAAATAGTTGCCTATATTTCATCACTAGGGTGTAAAGTGACTCTTTTTTACCCAATCTCAAGTTTTAAAATGAGCGAGAGTTGAAAAGACATTTTTTGCCCGTGTGATGAACTAAATTTTTGTCTATCTTGATTGTGTTAGTGTACTTTATACCATTGACTAACCAACAAAAATAGACTCATCCCATTGAAAATTTGTAAGCTCGTTTTTCGTTCATGTCCGGTGACTAAGATCGCTAGTGTCGACAAAATTTTGATTCTATTATTTTAGGATTAATTTAATGATTTGTGCTGTACTGTTTGTTTGGTTACATAAATAGGGCACAAGTTATTGTTTATGGTGAGATAGTTTCATTTGGTTAAACGAGGTTTTAAATAACTGAAATAACAAGAAACAAATTGTAAACAAAATACGACCTCTAGAGTGCACCGGACAGAACTTATCAATAAAATTGGCTTCAGCTGTTCCATAAGGATGAGAAATCTACTTAGGGAGTATGTTTTATCCATAACTAGCAGAGTTCCCGTCCTTCGTACTGGGTTAATCGATGCATAATGTCGATACATGCGATTGCTTACAATCAAATTTTACAACTGAGTTTACAACAGGTGACTAGAGAGTAAAAAAGCTACTTTAGACCTGCAACAAATGTATTAAAAACAGTTGGTTTTTCCAGTAGTATGACAAAAAAGTATAAGATCCCCATAATAACAACACTCATAAAGGGGTAGAAATAGTTGAATGTATACAACAACATTAAACTAAAGAAACTCAATCTACACAATTTCTTGATATAATTTTTATAATGAGGTTATGTGACATAATTTTAGAGGGCTCTATTGACCACTGTTGATCCGCCCTCAGTTAACCGAGGTTCAACTGTACTTTACTTACTTTCCACAAAGCAAGATAATCAGGTTTGCCCCTTTCTAAAGCTACATCTCTTTACTCTTTTGGTTTGTTTTTCAAATGCAACCCGTGATAAATAGCCTATGTCTCACAAGCAAATATGACAACATTGTCCATATAACCGAACTCAGATTCACAAACAGAAGAAACTGACAGTAAACTCTCTTAGTTTTTTATTTTTTTTTTATTATCAACACTCACATATTCTCTGATTATAGCCTCAAAGGAGTAGTACTGTAAGCGCACAACTTGTTTGCCAGCAGGGTGTGCGGGGGGAAGAGCGGTAGCGATCTCCCACCACAGCCAAAGTTTCCCTGGCACTGGTCGGACTAAGCTTTCTAAAACCATTCAACCAGCGCTGTTTGTGTTGATATCCTTTTTTTGCATACATTTTTAGCGAATTTCCCTATAGGGAAGTAGCTATTACCGTAGGTCTCATGGTAAGACTTAGGCCCGGGACCGATTTACTTTTTCATTTTGATGTCCCCAGAGGTCAAAAACACCATTCGTTCAAATTTTTATATATGTATATATATATATATATATATATATATATATATATATATGTGTATATATATGTGTGTCCGTGAACACGATAACTTGAGTAATTTTTATCTGATTTTGATGAAATTTGGTTTGAAGGTGTAAGGTGGGATAAACTTGAATGAGTTCGCGATCCAGCATGATCGGACCATGGGAACAGGGTTTTATGGGTTTTATGACCCTCAAAACACAAAATTTCCCAATTTTTCTCTAAACCTTCTTAAAGAGCTTAAAAAAACAAACAATTCAGTATATCAAAGTGTTTTTGTACAGTTATTGGTTACGGAGAAAACTAAAAAAGTGGTAAATTTAAAATTCCCATGTTATTCTTTTGGAGAATATTGTAAAATGTTGTAGTTTGCTTGTTTATGGATATCTTTTGATCAAACTTGGCAAATATATTCATTTTATACTAAGCAATAATTATTTTATATAAAACACACACTTTATTAGTTTCCTTGTAGCAGCAAACCTAATGTTATTTCAATAGATCAATTGAAAATCAATTCAGCCAAATAGGAATTCGCTTTCACGGCAGGTTTGCTGCGGCGGGGGTATTTTTTAATTTAAATTTTAATTTTATTCGAGTACCATACAATGTAATTACTAAGTTTCTGTGCACGCGATAAGATCTGGTCGGGTCTAGGCGAGGGGGTTGGCGGGGGTACTCTTGTGAACACATTTGTTTCTTCCTACTCACTCACCCCCACCCCCAGCACTGCCAATAACCCGTACCAGAATTTTTTAGTTCGGCTAGTAACAACCCGTTTCCGCGTTTTGGCTGAACTGTAACTCACCCTTCACTCATATTTGGGTTAAAATATGCACCTAGTGACATCCCCATCTTAAATAATTGATATAATTGATACCTTAAATTATCGGACAGTTTTTCCAAACATCCTATAAAAACGGTTAATTGCAGTAATTTATTTTATATACCTAAGTTAATAAAAGGAAAGAATATGAAAGTTGGGCTGTGTTGTGGAGTTAAGTTGTGCAGTTGAGTGATAGTTTGGTTATTGTTAAGCAGTGGGTTAAAAAAGTGTTAACTTAGATTAATATCATGGCAAACACCCGTAAAAAAAGGCAAATCATTCAAAGTGAGGCGAGGGAAATTATAAGATGTGTGTGTGATTCAAAAGTGTCTGACTCTGGAATCCTCCAGTATACTATGAAACAAAGTAATCAGCGGGTTGCCAACTATACGGGGTATCTGTACTTAGTGTTACGACAATTAGGAAAGAAGGAGTTGAGGCCGGAGGATCTGCCCAAGAAACACCAGGTTTAAGAAAAGACCCTATTCAGAGGAGAAAAAATTCCACATCAATGAATTTGATAAACGAGTGATTAAAGACACGATTCACCATTTTTAAACAGTACATAAAAAAGTGCCGACAGCACCTAAAATGTTATTTGCGATTGAGGAAAAAATTATTTTTCCTTGGGGAGTTTCCACTTTTCGAAAACTAAAAGACATGGGGTTTTAATGGAAAAGGTGTGGGAAAATTATAAAAGTGTAGATAGAACGGCCGGATATTGTAAATTGGCGTGCTCGCTACTTGCGAGACATTCAAAGTGTAGACATGAAAAATGTAAAATCATATATCTTGACGAAACATGGGTTAATAACAAACTTAACATTTAGAAAATGCTGGAGCAGTGACGATGTCCCCGGGATCCTCACAAACAACAGCTTGTCTAATAGATTTATTGTGGCTAGTGCCGGTTCAGAAGATGGTTTTGTGCATGATGCGACACTAATAATAAGCAACTTGAGATTATCATGGCCAGATGAACGGAGTAAATTTTGAAAAGTGGATCGATGAAAAACTTATACCAAATCTCCCTAAAAAATGTGTTATTGTGCTGGACAACGTCCCTCACCACTGGTTATTAAGTAAACAAGTCACCATCCAAATACGTAAAAAAATAAATAAATACAGTAATTGACTGGCTGACAAAAAATAAGATCTCTTGCTCGATGGAGATAAAGAAATTTGAGTTATGAAAATTGATTAATCAGCATAAGCCTCCTGAAAAAAATGTATTGTATAGATAAAATGCTACAAAAAATCACATGGTCACATCGTGATTCTATTGCCCCCTTACATGTCTGACCTCAATCCAATTGAATAAGCCTGGGCCAAGAATAATTAGAAAATTAAGGAGGAAAATATTATGGGGGATCTGTCACTGATAAAGTTGGAAAAAGATACAAAAAAATAGATTGGGAGTTGTTTACCAAACACACCCCTAAAATAGAACAAAATTACTGGATAAAAGCATAAAGATAGCATAATGGAAGATGCTGTGGATCTTTTTGTTATTGAACTTGGAGGTGTGGATTCAGAAGAGAGTGAATGTGAATATTCGGACACCGATTCAATATCAGACTCTGACCTTGCAACTCCATTGTAACTTAATATTTTGGTAACTGATATCCTTTACTTAAAGATTCCTTCCCATTGCTTATTATTGTAACCATTATTTGTAATTAAATAAATTATGGTTTTCTGTTATTGATGAATATAGACACTATTAAGAATGTTTAATTTGTATTGTTTTGTCTAATAGTATACCTGACAGAAATATTACAAGTTAATGGAAAACATCCATAAGTCACAACAAATATTTTGCAAACATATGGTAATTTAAAATTACATTTGTAATCACATTCAAGAGGCCACTGACACTCCCTGAAGCCGACTATCAGGCGTGGTTATGCCGCCGCTGTAAATTCTGCGAGTAAAAGTAGTGTGGACAATATTTTTAGGACAACTAGTAGCAGATCGCCAAGCGCGGGGCTCTGCTGGCGGCGGAGGAAGTATGTGCAAACAAGTTGTGCGCTTACAATATACAGGGTGTTGAAAATGTCTGGAACCAACATTATATCTGGTGAGTGGTTAAAGAAAAACAACTGATATTTTGTGTACGGATATACTATGGTTTAACCTATCTTTTGGTGCCGTATGAAATTTTTTACCACTTATAGGGAACGTCCTGTGGAGGATGCAGTAAAAAGTTTTAATGGAAGCCTATGGTAAATGATACATCATTTTAAAGGCCATTTTTTTCTGAGTAAGGAGCCGCAAGTTTCATCTCAAAAGGACCACCCTAGCAAAAATGGCGACTGTTTGAAATTTAAAAACCCACTCATAGGGAACGTCCTGTGGAGGATGCAGTAAAAGGTTTTAATGGAAGCCTATGGTAAATGATACATCATTTTAAAGGTAATTTTTTTCTGAGTAAGGAGCCACAAGTTTCATCTCAAAAGGACCACCCTTGCGAAAATGGCGACGGTTTGAAGTTTTTGAAAATAATTGAAAGCTTAATTGGTATTTATGTTAAAAATAAGTTTAGTAAAACAACACAAACAATTTAGTAAAATGTTTTTTTTAGTCACTTTTCAGTTCACCACGTTATAAACTACTGTACTTCGTAACTGGCTTGTAATAGCATTTAAAGGAAACAAATACGGACCATTTAAATAGCAATGTTTTTAAATTTCAAACAGTCGCCATTTTTGCTAGGGTGGTCCTTTTGAGATGAAACTTGCGGCTCCTTACTCAGAAAAAAATTGCCTTTAAAATGATGTATCATTTACCATATGCTTCCATTAAAACTTTTTACTGCATCCTCCACAGGACGTTCCCTATAAGTCGTAAAAAATTTCATAAGGCACCAAAAGATAGGTAAAACTATAGTATATCCGTACACAAAATATCAGTTGTTTTTCTTTAACCACTCACCAGATATAATGTTGGTTCCAGACATTTTCAACACCCTGTATGTGGGGACTACACAGCAATATATAAAGGTGACTTAGAAACTACTAAGAAAAAAATCACTCGGTCACACTGCTGCAGCAGATATTGATCGACATTATTGGCATGGCACGTGAGTAACAGTGACTAGACGAGATGGAAGAATGCCGTACAGGGCATAAAATATCCTAAAAAAAATGTGTGTCCCTTAGCATGGTTCACCCATAATCCTGTATTTAAATCCAGCTCTGGTGCTACTTACGTTTCTTTCCATTGATGTGATCGAGGAAGTTGATTGAATCTTTGACGACACAATCACAAACATTGCAATAGTACCTGAAGAATAAAAACAAAAATAATAGAATATTTTATTTCGCTGTACACAATGATTTTATATTCAGTACATCTTTTCTACAAGACTTAAAAAGGTATCAATGCTGTACCAATAATAGTGGTTGGCCAGGTCAGGCCATCATACTTGGGAATAACGAATAGAAATTCTAACGAATAGCAATATTCGTTAGGTTTTTTGACTAACTTCTATTTTATTCGTTAGTTTTTAAACTACCTAACTAATAACTTCTATCAGTTAATTTTTACGGGACTAACTAATAACTTCTAACTAGTTAGAATTTTTAACTAACTTTCCCAATTATGCAGAAGCATCTCAAATACGGATTATTTATTTAACTTGATCAGTGAGGGTTGTGTGTGTCCGTGAGAGGTCCATATATCTATGATAACATATGGATAGTTTATCATCATCGACCAAAAGACCAAAGCTACCTTAGTAAACCAATATCTATTCACAAACATGTTTGCTGCCTTTAGCAGAGTTAAACCTCTGGAGGCTTTCAAATTATTTATTGAAAATAACATCAACACAAGCAAACAAAGACAAACAACAAACTGTTTTTTACACCAAACATATGTTGTACTAGAATATCTATCCTGACACATAGATAATTTATGAGTTTTTTTTTTTATTATTACAATAACTTATTTTACCCAACGAGCTTTTTAGGGACTTATGTCCCTACAAGCCACTAGGCCTAGTTAGATTTAAATATGTAAGATATCATAATGATCCTACCCTCCTGTTTGAGAAGACGGAGTATTTTTAGTTATGACGATACTTTTTCCGAGTTTAGATTCAAGATCAACTCTGTAGTCTCTTTGCCTTAAGAGTTCCCGCTTTACTGGAGGTTGTTTTTGGTGAGCTTTCTCTTGCGCGTCTAGTTCTTCCTGGATCCGTTCAGCAGCTAATCGCTCATACTCCTCTCGATCCCACTTCTTACGGTGATCTTCTATTTTCTGTAATAAAAATATTGTATGAATAAAAATGGTTATATACTATTTATTATACTTCTATTGTACATTTGATGATTGTTATAAGTTGTACTGTTAGGTATGTATAACCTATTTCAGATACTTGTCTTTCTATATGTCCATGCCATGAATGTGTGCAGCTTCATTAATTTGGCTGAACAGTAAATGTATAGGCCTATTTATATGATTCAATGACATATTGATTAGGCTAATTGTTTAAAATCTTCAATTGAATTATACTTTTACCATTGACTATGTATAGTCAATGCTTTTACCTATGGGGTAATTTCTTTATACCCTCCCCTATTTTTAGCCTGTATAACTAATGTCTAAATGATCTTGACCTAGGCCCAGGACAGATTTACTTCTTCATTATGATGTCCCCAGAGGCCAAAACGACCAACCGTTCAAAATGTTTTATATATATATGTGTGTGTGTGACCGCGAACGTGATAACTTGAGAAGGATTAATTTTTGTCCGATTTTGATAAAATTTGGTTTGAAAGTGTAAGGTGGGATAAACATACATGAGTTTGCAAACCAGCATTATCAGACCATGGGAACGTGGTTTTACTGGGCATTTTATGGGGTAAAAATTGATTTTTTCTCATTTTTGACCCTCAAAACACAAAGTTTCCCAATTTCTCTCTAAACCATTGTAAAGAGCTTAAAACAACAAATAATTTAGTATAATTAAAAAGTTTGTACGGTTATTGGTTACAGAGAAAATTAAAAAACTTTTAATTTAAAATTCCCATGTTATTCTTATGGAGAATATTTTAAAATGTTGTAGTTTGCTTGTTTATGGATATATTTTTATCAAAATTTATTTATTTTAATCTAAGCTATTAATATTTTACAAAAAATACACACTTTGTTAGTTTCCTAGTAGCAGCAAACCTAGGTACTTGTTAAACCTAACCTAATGTTAAGAATGTTATTTAAATAAGTTCGATTTAATTTAAAATCAATTCAGGCAAAAGGAAATTTGCTTAGCCTGCAGGTTTGCCGCGACTAAATATTGCGATGGTGAAAAGTATTTAGTAGGTTGCAAACTTAAGTTTGAAAAATTGTTTTAAAATAAAAAAAACCTTTCAGATGACTTTTTAACAGATCCACAGTCCACCACAACAGATTCTAAATTATGATTTTGCAAATTTTAAACCTGGAGATAGGAAATTAGCCTAAGTTTAATTTTGTCAATATTTTATGTTAAATAGGCCTATTAAAAAGGCCCCTATCTTTTTATTTACTGTTTTGGTTCAGTTACTTAACAATTGTAAGTTAGTTGAAATTGTAGCCAGGGCCGTCCGAAGGGGGGGGGGCAACCTGCCCCGGGCGCCTTGGCTTAGGGGGCGCCGCGCAGCGGCTATATGTATTACCTAACATAGTATTAAAATATGCGATGGGACTATTATTACTGGGGGGGAGGGGGCGTCACAACCATGTTTTCTCCCACGGGCGCCGCCAGCCCTAGAGACAGCCCTGATTGTAGGTAGCTTATAAGTCAAAACATAATCGGTGTGAATTGTTTGTAATTTAGCTTGCGTAGGGCTATTAATACTTGGGATATGTGCTATGTCGCCGCAGACATCACTCAAGCAATGCTACGACGATGTGAAAGGGTCTTAAGTGGTGGTACTTAGGCCCAGTATAGGTATCTGACACCTATCTAGGCCTATATAAAATCCAATGTATGTTTGTCGTTTAATGTTTTTCGTTTGTTTGTCCTTTAAGCGTAACCAACCCAGCCACCCGATTGTGATGAACCTTGGGGAAGTCGTTCTAACTTATACAACCCCTGGGAGTTTTTTTTATAAGAATTAAGTTATCTTTCAATAGAATTTTGTGGAAACTGTAAATAAATATGTTATTTACATTTTTTAAACGCAAAGGATATGCGTCTGGTAACCGAACGTGAATTAGGCGCCAGGCAGTGACGTCACCGGGTTGTGGGGGCCCGGAACACTATAAACATATATAAATTACTAGGTAACCTACCCATGATCACCTTAGCCTATTGTGCATAATTATGCCTAGGGGAATTTAGTATGCTTGTCTCAGTCCCATAGCCTACACCAGAGTAATTTATTCTGTAAATTGGCATTACTTGGGTTAATTCTTGATTCCCACAGTCTACAGTGAGCGAGGATCTCACATAGTAGGGGTACAGTTTCTTAACTGGGCTATGCTAATATCGATTGAAACTATCGATTTGATTAGTAAAACCTTCATGCGATTTTTTCACCATCAGCAAGTTTGGTTGGTTAGGTTATGATAGTTTCATTTTATAATAGAAATATTTAAAAATATCGTTTATTAATCAATATTTTCAATTCGATAGTTTCAATCGATATTAGCATAGCCCAGTTAAGAAACTGTACCCGATAGTAGTATGGGTAACATCAGATTAAAAGCATACCATTAGGCCTATTCTACTCTACAACTTGGATCTCTCAAACAGACGCGGTTATATACCTGGCACTCTTAATTTGACCTGATAATTAATTTATTTACATAAATGTTATTCTATAATCGAGGTACGTATTGATAACGCATTTACCTGAAAAAATTAACTATTAATATTTTACTACTTACGTTGGATGAAGCCATTATTATTTGTTTGTTTGTTGACTTTTTTGTTATTAAAGTTTACTAGGGTTGGGCTTGGGCTTGGCAATGGTCAGAGTGGTCGTGGTAGAGTTGTGGAGTAAGGTAAGAGTAATCAAACAATCAAACTGACATAAAAGAGTCTGCTCTGCTGTATCTGTCTGTACTCAGTTCTGTATCATGTGTCTGAACGTCTGTAGCCTGTGGGGTATTTACATGGTGGAAGGAAAAAGTGTCCATGCTCCAGCATAGATTATTTAATTTTTTTTATTACTAAACTTTTTTATTATCTATGTTTTTATGGACTTTTAACCATGTTTCATCTTGGTTTCATCCACGGATCTGTTGGATAAATTAGAGTGGAGATGTTATGTAGTAGAATGTTTATTGAGCGGGGCGAGTGAAGCTCTTATACTACACTCCTGCTTTTGTTTTCCACAATCCACATACTCCTGAAAGTCTGAAAGGCTCAGGCTGAAGGCTGAAGCTATCCTCATTAAAATATGCAATACAGTTGCGTCTGCGTGGCTGAAGCGATCCGGATGAATAACATGCTAGTAAACGAATCATCTAAAATAACCAAACATCAAATCAATGACTTTGAATGCTAAGTGTGTTTTATAAAAGTTAAATACCAACTAAGTGTTTTCAGGGGCCCTGGGCCCTATTTTTGAAATGGTTGACTGTTGAGATGAGTGTTGACGATTGACTCAACTGTCAACCGTTTCAAAAATAGGGTCCCAGGCTGTGAGATATTAACCATAGCCATAGCCTATAGTCTACTGGTAGCGAGTGTTTATAAAGTGCACCTTTAAATCTGAGGGTGGCTGGTTTGATTCGAAGTGAAATCGTATGGAAGCAGATGCCATTTTGCCATTGAACCAGCAATTAATTATGCTATTATTTATTAAAAGGACGGCGTTAGGTAGTAACGTAGCTCCAGGATTACACGTTTCTCTTACACAAACGTAAAAAAATGCTAATAACGAATGACATCGAGACACGTAAAACATTATAAATATTATAACGTTCTTTATCTTGCTAATACCATAGACTAGTATGTTTTATCTATGCTAAAATTCTAACTGGATGTAGCACTGAATGTCAAAGATGCGTGTCGCCAGCCGCCATGTTTGCGTGAGGTGTGAGTTAAAAAGAAGCCATGTTATTGGATAAAAAAACTCACTGCTATACCAACCTAGTTATAGAAGCCATGTTATTGCTATGATAAGAAAACTCGCTGCTATACCAACCTAACAAAATCAGCGACACGCTTTTGACAGACGTCTGCCATGGCGGTGCTACCTCCAGTTAATTTTAGCTCAGTGCTAATACAGTATCCACAGAAAAGTAATATCATAGATAAAACATACTCCCTTGTAATATCTGAAAGCATCTTGGTCCTCCTGATCTGTCTCCTCTTGTTTTTTTTCAAAATTCCAAATCTCCCATCTGACCATAACGTTAAAGTTTGGTTGGATTCATCATTCATCATAACCTAACTAACTACTGGGGCTACTGCTTAATTTCCAATTTCTATTATTAGTAAAGTTTACAGTTTGTTTGTCGTTTCCTTCCTAATTTGTATGCAATTATCGTGACAATTACGATAGGTATCTATCCATTCAAGTTTATCTGTTTTTTAACGGTAGTCTAGTTCATAATTTAAAACTAAGAATGTTTATTTTACATTATCATGGGTTTCTTATCATATACCTAGTAAATTATGTCAATTTGATAATAACTCATGTTTTCAAAAGTAATGTTATAGAATTAGATTGTTGATCAGTTAAACAATTTCAGTTTATTTTAAAATTTACAAGTTGCCTTGTCTTATATAACTGTAACTTAACCTTTGTGCTAGAGTTTAAATTGGGAAGTCAGTAAATTGGTTGTAAAGATCACATACTGAAGGAAGTTGATCGAGTTATTTTTAGTGTTAGGGTTTTGGAGATTTAGTTAATCCCAAATCTAACCAAATTTCTTTATCCACTGACTTTTCCTTGTACATGTTGTATCCTTTAAGGAAATAATCATTCTCAATTCTCATCCATCTTATTAAGCTAGCCTATATGTAAGTTAGGCCTATGTGGATTCTAATGTCGTTTAGGGTACAGTTTCTTAACTGGGCTAGGGTACGCTATTATTGATTGAAACTATCAAATTGAAAATATTGATTAATAATCGATATTTTAAAATATATCTAGGCCTATTGTAAAATAAAACTATCATAACCTAACCCAACCAACCAAACTTGCTGTCAAATAGTTAGTTGTTCAAGTTTAAAGTTAGTTAGTTTTATAAGATTAAAAGTTAGATAAAACTGAAATAAGTTGAGAGTTTGGTTCACAGTTTTTGTATTTTCATAGTAACAATTATAAGTTCAAAACAATAACAAATTAATTATAACCAGCTGGCATTAAATATATTAATGTAGGCTAATCCATGCCTTTGGCACACTCCGGACGAAGGACAAACACTAATAATTCTTCACTTCTAGTGGATATAAGAGATTTAAGGGACGCACAACTTTCTTCTTCGAGCTGAGAATTACTGTAGCACTTCTTATTTTTCCGCCTCGACTTGAGTGAAGTTCTACTATTCTGCCCATTTTCCAACTTCCTCGTGGTAGTGCTTCATGGATCAGAAAAGTTTCTCCAACATTTGGTTTGTTTGTTGTAGTTCCTTTTTTCTGCTTCATTTCAGTTGGTTTTCTTTCACGTAGGCTAATTAAGTAGCCTAATCTTGAAGCCAGATCTTCCAAAATAAACTTAACACTTTTTCTCTTTTTTTCCAAATTTCAAGAATGTTTTTTCTTGATGTTCTTTCGAAGTCCTTGTTAGTTTGAATGTTATGTGACTTTAAATTACCACGCTCTGCTACCATGTCAAATAGTTAGTTGTTCAAGTTTAAAGTTAGTTAGTTTTATAAGATTAAAAGTTAGATAAAACTGAAATAAGTTGAGAGTTTGGTTCACAGTTTTTGTATTTTCATAGTAACAATTATAAGTTCAAAACAATAACAAATGAATTATAACCAGCTGGCATTAAATATATTAATGTAATCCATGCCTTTGGCACACTTGCTGATGGTGAAAAAATCGCATGAAGGTTTACTAATCGAATCGATAGTTTCAATCAATATTAGCGTAGCCCAGTTAAGAAACTGTACCCGTCGTTTATAAGCATTCATACGTAATCGAACTGATAGACTATGAGTTATTAAAACTTATAGTTGATTTAAGTATGTAGATTCCTAAGTTGTTTCTGTTCTATAGAATAAACTAGGCTAACTGTTTAATTTATAGGCCTATTTTCTTAGTTTTTAGGCCTAGGTCTTTTATTTGGAATGTTGGGCCTTACTAGGTTAGCTCATTATCACCTTCCAATAACTTACAGATTAGTTTTATTCTGTTCATTCGTCTTGTTTCGGGTACACTTCCATATCTGTTGTCTTGAAAACAACCACATGAAAAATTATTCCATGTATCGATTGATATTTTCATTCTATTGTTTTTGCCAACAGATACGGAAGTCTACCCCTTGTTTCTGCAGGTAAATTTAGGATTGATCAACTTTGGCAACAATTCGGTTCCTACGTAAATTATTAGTTATTTGATTTAAGTAATTAGTTAGAACTTAATAGAAGATAGTTGATTACTGAAATGTGTTGTCTGTTTGTGTAAGGATCATGATTCTGTCAAGTAATTGTTACTCGTCTTAGAGCCTTTGAAAATCCTTTTTTATGACTTAACTAAGTAATTCCTTTTAATGTGCTTAATGTAATTTTAAACTGCCTAGGGCTTATTTAGACACTAAGGTACAGTTCCTACAGAGAACCGAACCTAATGTATTTGGTATGAAATATTAGTTCAAAATAAATAGCTTCCCTATCGATTAAACTAGGCTACAGTTTCGATTGATATAAGTTAAACATTGATTTTCTGTCATGAGTCTTTTCATTTTTGAAGGTACCGGTACCAGTAACTTAAGTAAAAATATTGCAAGCCATTTTTTACTGTGCGCGGCTACAACATTTAGCCTAGGCTGGGTTAGTTTAGTTCAGTTTAGTTTATAAAACTCATGAAAAAAGATGATCGTACCAATACAAATTTACGTGTTTGTAAAATTATCTCTTTAACAAATTACATAATAATAAGGAAACCCTTGCACTGTAGGCCTACCTATTTATAAAAGTTGCCTTGTTATTTAAATAAAAAAACTAAACTGAACTAACCTAAGTTACTGGTGACCTTTAACTACTGCAGCACAGTGTTTAAAGTCCACACTGGGGTCCTAGTCAGTCCCGCAGGAAGACTCACTAAAACTACTACATTTATTTAAGACGGACTGTCTCTTTTTCCAATTTCAACCTTAAGTTAAATCTTTTTACTTAGGCCTAACTCACCACCTCAATGTGAAAGTGATTGAGCTGTAGGACGTTTTCCGTGGAAGATTCATTCTATTTAGGCCTATTCCTAATGATGGGTAGAAGGAAACTGTTTTGACTATAGAAAGACTGCCAGAATAAAAACCTATCATCTAAATAGGAAAATGCCCTACGTATAGTTAGCTGCTAGTACATACAGTTTGTAGGGTTAATAAAACTTAGTATCGTAGCTAAACTAACGTGAAAAAAGCTTTGCTATGAGAAAGAGGTAAGTTGTTCATTACACTGATTCGTTACATTTTGAATGGATTGTACAATCAGTAAAAATAAAAGTTACATTCATTGCTTTTTGTTATTGTACAATTTGCTTGATGTTTTTTAAACATGTTTTGGGTTTGTGTGCAATTTCATCTTGGTTGGTATAGCAAGGAGGATCTGTCATTCTAAATATTCCATTTAGCTGTATTTTATGGCATACTTTACTAGATTGTAGTAGTCATAATTTCTTGTTGGTTGACTTGTGTTGTTACTCACAGTGCTCGATTTGTAAAAAATGAGGTGCTGGAACTGTAACCTTTTTAATGTGATTTGTAAATTTCTATGTACCTATTTATGTCATTATTTTAATTTACAGTACAAACATTTTACAAAGCATATAGGCTAGTTAGTGTAATACTGTAATCAAAAATCCTATCCTAATTTATAGTTTATGAAATGTTTATTATTCTTAATCAAAAGTTAGACTAAAATACGAATGTAGTTGAACAAGTGAAAACAAATATTACCGGTACCGGTACCTGTACAGTAGCTTAAGTCAATATGACTAATTTATTTAATCACAAACCTCAATGAAAATAAGAGCTTAACCCTTCCAGGATTGTAGGCGGATATATCCTCTTACCTTTGGGGCTCCACAACAGTAGGGGAATATATCCACTGATTGTTACGACAGTTATTGTTATAGTTTATTGTCTATAACATCATTAATCTTCGTAAGAGCGTCCTTTTAGCGAATTTCCCATATGGGAATAAGCTTTTAGGCTACGGTAGTACTTATGGTAAGACCTGGACCCAGGACCGATTTACTCTAGTTTTGAGGTCCCTAGAGGCCAAAAACACTATCCGCTCAAATTCATATATATATATATATGTCCGTTAGCATGATAACTCGAGCAAAAATGATCCGATTTTGATGAAATTTTGTAAGAACGTGTAAACCTACAACATTTATTCTTACGAGTTTGGGAACCTGCATGTTCGGACTAGATGAGAACGGGGGTTTAGGGGTAAAAATGGGTTTTCCCCATATTTGACCCTAAAAACAGAAAATTTTGCATTTTCTTTTAAAAGTATTTTGTAGAGCTTCAAAAAACAAATAATTTAGTACAGTATATTGAAGCGTTATTATGCGCCTAATGTTTACAGAGAAAATTCCAAAAAATTATAAATTTAAAATTCCTATGTTATTCTTATAAAGAATAAGTGAACTGTTGTACAGTAGTTTGCTTGTTTATAAATGTATTTTGATCAAATTTGGAAGATGCATTTATTTCTTACTAAACTACAGTATTATTATTTTACAAAAAAAAAACACATTTTTAACCTCCCTGTAGCAGCAAACCTAAGTACTAGTTAAACTAATTCTATTTAGGGAATAAATGTGACATTTTTAAGGAGACATATTAGTGTAAATCCAATCCGGAAAATTGAAATTTGCTTAGTCTGCAGGATTGCTGTGGCGGGGGTATTATTCAATTTATTTCTGTAACCGCTGTACTAGGAATGTTTTTCTAGACTTGATCAGTGCTTATAGGACACCGAGTTCCTCATGAGGAAACTTCTGTGCTTATGGGTGACCGGCGACCCATACCATAATTTGATTGACGTCCTGCTTAGTTTATTTTTAGCAAACTTCCCATATAGGGAATAAGCTATTACCGTAGGTCTTATGGTAAGACCTGGACCCGGGACAGATTTACTTTCTTATGGAGAATAAATAAACTGTTGTACCTATCTTGCTTGTCTATTGACATATTGTAATGAAATTTGAAAATTTGTTTTACTTCATATTAAGCTATAAATATTTCAATAAAAACACACCTTATCTTCCCTGTAGCAGCAAACCTAAGTACTAATTAAAATTAATGATATTTAAATAGGAAATAAATCCGACAATTTTAAGGGAATAATAAATTTAGTGGAATTCCAGCCAGGTAAATAGAAATTAATTAAAGAAACAAATCAAGCAAGTCTTGGCTGCTTTCTTTTACCTTTCACTCTCTTTTGGTTTCAGCCACAGGATTGGTTTGAACAGTGGAGACTAAGCATGGGTCAGACACTGTCAGAGCCGGTGACGGCAAAGGAGACATCATGCTGTGAAAACAATCTTTACAAGGTTGGATCGAGCTGCATGCAGGGCTGGCGAATCAACATGGAAGATGCACACACCCACATACTTTCTCTTCCCGACGATCCTGAAACACCATTTTTTGGTGTTTATGACGGCCATGGGGGTGAGTTCTAAGTTAGGCTATTATCTGTTGACAATTTTGACTGTAAGTAAATTTATATGACTTACACTATATAGGAAGGCTATTGTGAAGGATTCTGGTGTCAAAACTTGTTAATTCCTTAATTAATTACCACTCTTTCAACTACCATAATCATGATAGGAGGTTGTAAACCCCAAAGCAGAACGTTTTCAAACTTTCTGCAACGGACTTGGAAAAATTTTCTGCAGGCTTACGCGGTCCAAGCTGCGTGTAAATTAACCACGTGTGTGATAGTTTTAATGAATATTACTTGAAATTGTCATTATAGCCTATTATTACCGAATTTATAAAGAAAGGTTTGCACCCAACATTATATACCTAGTATATTAAAACGGATTTGCAGGGCCTTTTTTGACAATAAACACTCTACTGGCCCTACAGCTATTCCTCCAGAGAATATTTCATTTAAGTTTGTATGAAATTAACTATGGTAAAAAGAAAAAGGATTGTTTGATTTGATTTACAGTTTTATAGTTTTTGCAATAAAAAACAAACTCTAACCTTAACTGATAAAAAGATAGGGCATTTGCCAGGAATCATTAAGGAAATTGACAGGAAAGCAGGCTTACCTTTAAATAAGTCCATAGAGACACATACAATAGACAACACTAAAGTAGAAATTTTCGTGGTCACTGACCATTTTTTCAACCACTAGAGAAAATCTGGTCAAAGTGACAAAAATTTCTACTTTAGTGTTGTCTATTTTATGTGTCTCTATGGACTTATTTAAAGGTAAGCCTGCTTTCACCTGCTTTCCTTTAAATTTCCTTTATGAAACTCTAACCTTAAGTTATTCATTGACCATACCTTAGGATTGACAAATGAAAATGAATGGTTCAATAATCTATATAATTAATACGCTACACGAAAGTTTGTCGGTTGAACTCCTCCGCCATTTCCTAACCGATTTTATCCATTGACGTCTCATTGGAAAGAGCGTGTCGCGTAGATTTGCAAACTGACCTTACATTTTTGAAAAAGTCCCTTGGGCTCTGCCCCAGTGGCTTTGAAACTTCCCATGTTATCCTTATGAAGAACATAATTGTTTACATTTTGATCAGCTGTATAATTTTATTGCTGTTATTTACTTTTCAATTCAATGAAACACATTGAGTACATTTATTTACTATTTGAGTTTGTGTAAACATAACCCCCAAGACGGATCGTGTTATAGTATGGTCGTATCTTAAATTTGTGTATTTATCGTTGTTTTGTGTCGCTATGATGGATTGTGTTAGCATGATTGTAACTTAAGTTTGTGCATTTATCGTTGTTTTGTGTAGCTATAATTTGTTTATTATTTGTTGTTTATTTCTTTTAAATGTCTCCGACGCAACGACAACGAAACAAAGACAGGGGGCGCAAACGTGATAACGACCGCAGCTATACAGAACAGTGGCGCGTAATAGGCTTAACTCATCACAGTCTGAACCTGAACCTGGACAACTTCAACTATTTGGTTACAAATGCGCCCTAACACTACCCCAAAACGACTTTTCGTTCTCAATTGGCCCTCTATTAATGACCTGTGTTGCCTGTACAGCGAGGCATTTTGAGAAGGAGAGAACCGTCCGGAATGCTTTAGGTTTATCAATAACGAAGATAAACGGGGTCTGAGTTACACAACGGTAATATTTGAGTCGACTCTCTTAAACTCATTGTAAATATGACTGTTATTCAATCTGAAATAACTCCTGTAATACTTTGTAATTGCTCGAATTCGAGCAACATGTACAGTAGTTAATTTTAATATGATTGTCGACATTGTTAATAATAGTTTTTAGGACTGTACAAACTGTTTGGTTTGAGCAATTAGTTTTAATAGAGACACAAGTCTATGGGAACTACTTTTCTCTATCTCCTTTCTCCTAACAGGTTTAACTAAAATTATTTTCACTATTTTGTATTACAAGTTGTTTACAATATTCCCTCTGTTGTTAACAGGTGCTAAAATAGCTCAATATGCCGGTAGACATTTACACAAGTATATTGTCAAGAGACCAGAGTACCAAAATGAAAACACTATTGTAGAAGCTTTACAGCAGGTAAGGGGCACATTAATCGTAATTAAAGTGGTGGGTAAACAAATCCTTGCAAACTACCCTTTAAACTTATTTTGTCTAACAGCAACTAAACTATTATGTATTATGTTGCAGGCTGCACTCTTACTTAAAGTAATACTTTCTAATTTGTAAACTTGTATCCCAGTGATTAATAAAAGTCCTCGTTATTACCCTCCCTGTAGCAGCAAACTTAGGTACTCATTAAACCTAATGTTAATTAAATAAGATTTAAGTGCAAACCAAACAGGCAAATGGAAATTCGCTTAGTCTGCAGGTTTACTGCGGGGGGGGGGGGGGTATTTTTAGGATATTTCTGTTTATCGTTATTTCAGTTAAAAGTGTTTCAGTTGAGGGAGGTTTCCCTGTAGTATGTAGTGTTGATTACAATTACCAGCCTGTTGTGTTGTGCAGGGTTTGCTGCGGGGGGGGGGGGATATTTCTGTTTATCGTTATTTCAGTTAAAAGTGTTTCAGTTGAGGGAGGTTTCCCTGTAGTGTGTAGTGTTGGTTACAATTACTAGCCTGTTGTGTTGTGCAGGGTTTGCTGCGGGGGTGGGGGGTATTTTTAGGATATTTCTGTTTATCGTTATTTCAGTTAAAAGTGTTTCAGTTGAGGGAGGTTTCCCTGTAGTATGTAGTGTTGATTACAATTACCAGCCTGTTGTGTTGTGCAGGGTTTGCTGCGGGGGGGGGGGGATATTTCTGTTTATCGTTATTTCAGTTAAAAGTGTTTCAGTTGAGGGAGGTTTCCCTGTAGTGTGTAGTGTTGATTACAATTACCAGCCTGTTGTGTTGTGCAGGGTTTCCTTGCGCTGGATGCTGCGATGCAGGATGAGGAGTCGCTCAAGGATGAGCTAGCCGGCACTACAGCAATCTCGATCATCATTAAGAACAATAGACTATACTGTGTAAGCCACAAGTACAAAGTTTCACTTTACATTTTTTAAATCGTCTTCTGATCTTCCAATTACTTGTTGAGAAAGCCACTATAGTATAAATTTGATTGCAGTTCTTTCACAGTCCCCTACAGAGGTTTTATTAAAGATTCAAGGGATGGTTTTAACTTTAGCGAATTTCCCAAGGGAGAAAAAGCTATTACCTCTGACTATTAATACAACTAGACTTTCCATCCCCATGTTAAATTTGTAGCCAGATTTCTTATCAAAATCGCTGTAGTTGATGTGAGCCACCAACAGATTGTGCTGATCTAAATAACTAAATTATGTTGAATACACAGGCCATTACTGGCTAGGTCCGCGATCGCAGAGGGCCCCCGGCTGAAGAGGGCCGTTACTGGAAATTGTAAGCTACTTTTCTGTGTACATGGTGGTCGGATATCACCTTTGGGGGACGGCCCGTCGGGGGTCAGAAGAAAATCTTCAATGACAGCCTATGTTGAGTTGTACATCATTTTAAAGGTCTACTTCAACTGAAAACAATGCCGCAAACCGGACTTCAAAAGGTTGATCCAGTCGGAAGAAATCGCGTTTCAAAGTTTAAAAAATGTTTAATTCCATTATTACTGTAGCTAATAGAAGTTAAGTACTTACAGAAAGTCTTTTAAAAAGTAGGTGTTCAAAATGTCCACCATCGGTCGTCTGGCAATATGCTAACCGGTTATAAAAGGCGGCTACTGCATTTTGTATGTATTCTTGTAGAATAGCTTGAGCTTCATGTTATATCCTATGTCTCAGTTCGTTCAGATCTGTAGGCTGAGTTCGATACACTTTGTCCTTGATATAGCCCCATAGGAAGTAGTCAAGCGGAGTTAGGTCAGGGGAACGAGCTGGCCACTCAATCGCACCTCGTCTTCCAATCCACCGGTGTGGGAATACTGCATCTAAGTATTGCCTTACCTGAACACCATAGTATGGTGGTGCTCCGTCTTGTTGGAAAAAACATGATTGGAAGTCAGCGCCCAGAGTAGCTTGTAAAGCAGGAACAATCTCATTTTGGAGCATATCCTGATACTTGTTGGCATTTAAATTTCCATCGATGAAAAATGGTCCTATGATTGAATTACGTACGATACCTGCCCATAGGTTTACTTTTTGGGGGTGTTGTGTGTGACACTCACTCATCCAGTGTGGGTTAACATTATCCCAATACCGGCAGTTATGCCTGTTAACATGGTCATTCAACATAAAAGTCGACTCATCTGAGAATACAATATTGTCCAAAAGCATTTGTCTTTGGTCAATTCTATTCATCATAATTTCACTGAATTCCATCGGGCGATCAAAATCATCTTCGGTTAGTTCCTGCACCTGTATATGCCTTGAAACCAGACTTCTTTAATACTTTTCTAACTGATTCACGACCTATTCCATGAGATTGTGCTGCTGATCTAACTGATTGTTTTGGATTTTCAACGAAAGACTGAAGAATGTCTAATGAGCCGTCTTCGTCTGTCAGAGTACTTGGTCGTCCAGATCTGGCACAATCCTTAACAGTACCAGTGTCTACAAAGCGAGCAACTGTGTACTGCGCTGTGGATTTAGAAATAGGAGCTCTATCAGGAAAAGTAGCATTGAATAATTGTGTGACTTCTGCAAACGGTCTTGCATTATCACCCCAGCCGCGCATCATTAAGAGTGTAATTCTTTCACGCTCACTAAGCGGCATCTTTTAAAACTTGTAATCTTATAGTAACAGGATATGGCTGCAAAAACTACTGTAGCTTGAGTGGTACTGATAAGTGAACTGTTAGACAGATAAAAGCCATTAAGGGGGAAGTCCAGTGGATGGGAAACCCTGACCTAGAAGCACTGCTTTCACTTTTCATTGTACTTCTTAATACAGCAGGTTTTCCTGATTACACTTAGCACATTGTCAGACGGCCAAAAGGAAAGAGTAAGTTTATTTCTTACGTAACAATGGTATTTTTCATTTTTAAACTTTGAAACGCGATTTCTTCCGACTGAATCAACCTTTTGAAGTCCGGTTTGCGGACAACAACTGTGCAACTGTGCAATGTACAACTCAACATAGGCTGTCATTAAAGATTTTCTTCTGACCCCCGACCGGCCGTCCCCCAAAGGTGATATATCCGACCACCATGTACACAGAAAAGTAGCTTACAATTTCCAGTAACGGTATACCAAATGTGGTTGTGATATCGTTTGTCGTTTAAAAGTTATAAAGTCGTCCTAAGACTTAATGGTCACCCTGTATATATAACTCAAGTATTTTTGCTCATATTTTGAGCATTAATATAATAACATTGGTGTGATAGTTATTTATGTAGGAAATAAATGTGACAATATTAAGGATTAGTAGAAATCCAGCCATGTAAATGTAAACTGGCTTAGTCTGCAGATTTGCTGCGGCAGGTGTATTTTGTTTTGGGATTGTAAAAAAAATTAAATTAAATTGCAGCATCGTATGTTATCCCCTTTTCACTAAACTCCTCTGCAAATAATCTTGGTAGCAAAGAATGTATTCTATTCTAATAAGGTTAAATAAATATATTCTCAATTGATCTTAACGTTGTATGCTCTGTTATTGTGTATCTATAAACCCCTGGACTCCAATTTTCTCTGTTAATCTGGCTCTCTTATATCATTCCATGAAATTTTCCATGTTTTAACCTCCATTGTATATCCAGAAAATCAAAGACAACTTTAATACTTACTTATCAACAGAACCCAGACAATGTCAGTTACATATTTCCTGGTTGTTTGTGTTTTAGGCAAACGTAGGAGACTCTCGAGCTATAGCCTGTGTGGGAGGTATTGTTAGTCCTCTTTCTTTTGACCACAAGCCAAGCAACGAAGACGAAGCCAAGCGCATCAACGCGGCCGGTGGCTGGGTCGAGCTTAACAGGGTCAATGGCAACCTCGCTCTGTCTAGAGCACTAGGAGACTATGTCTTTAAAAAGAATGAAAAGAAAAGGGCAGAGGAACAGATTGTAACAGGTAACAAAATAATGTTCCAGGTTTGGAGAGAAAGGGCTAATTGCCTGAGAATAGGTGTGAGAAAGGATAGGATAAGCAGGCTTACCTTAAAAAATGTAGGCATCCCACTTCATTCACTACAGAACACAGAAGAAAACACAAAAAAAAAAACAAAATAAACACTGGATATTTCGAGACCACTGGCCCCTTTCTCAACATGGAGAGTCACATTAGATATTAAGATTATTATGTACAAGGATAGGGATCAGCTAGCTTACCTGGTAGATAGAGTCCAGATTAGCCTTGATTACACATAAAACACATGACACAACACAGAAAAACTTAATATTTCGTCCCAGTTAGGGACTTCATCAGAAGGGAGAAGAAAGAAAACTGGCAGTTACAGTTCAAATTCAAAAGTTCCACAATAGTGTTGCCAACTGTTGTTTAAAATTAAATGAAAATTCCTGTTGTTATGTACATCTATATACACATACACTCCTATATATACATATGGTGGTTGATTTTTATAAAAATGAAGCTAGCTGAGGGAAGGGTTGGGTGAATTATCTGATGTTAAGGTTAGGAGGGTTTCTGGAATCAGTGATGTATTGGTAGGCTAGTTCCCACCTTCTGAGTAGGGACCTGTTACATTGGTCTTTGGGTAGGGATTTTATGGCTTTTGTGGTGAAACATGTATCAAAGTCTAAGTTGTGGTTTGCTGCATGTATTGCAATGGGTTTGTATTTGTTTGTTTTAACATCCTGTCTATGTCCATTCATCCTTTTCCTAAGAGTTTGGGTGGTTAGGCCTATATATTGAGCTTGACAGAGTTTGCATTGTAGTTGGTAGATCAGGTTTTCGCTATTGCATGTTATGTGGTCTTTTATTTTGTACTCTTTGTTGTACGATGTGCTGGTGAAGGTTTCTGCAGGAATGTTGATGCCACAGGTCTTGCATTTGGTTTCATTGCATGGGTAGGAACCTGGGGGCAGTCTTGGAGGTGGTTCAACGGACGGGTCGGGTAACTTGGGATGGACTAGGATGGTTTTTAGATTGGCAGGTTGTCTGTAGACTATGGTGGGGGGTTTTTGGAAGAGATCTTTGGTCTGGGTAGAGCTTCGAAGCATGTTGTAGCCGGTTCTCAAAAGGTGTTTGAGCCTGTTGAGACCTGGGAGGTAAGTAGTCACCAGGTTGACATCGTAGGTGGTTTTGGTTTTCTTAGGTGGATTGTCAGTAGCATTTTGGGCCGCTTTTATTTGCGAAGAGACTGTTTGTGTCGGGTATCCTCTATTTTCAAAAGCAGTTTGGAGTTGTTTGTTGTAAGTTATCAGATTCTTCTTGTCGGAGTTTATTCGTTTCCCTCTTAAGGCAAGACTGTAGGGTAGGGAGCGTTTGGTGTTGTTGGGATGGCAGTTGTTGTAGTGTAGGTACTGTTGGTGGTTGGTGGGTTTGGTGTAGACAGATGTGGAGATTGAGCCATTTTTCAGTTCCACCATGACGTCAAGAAAGTGAACCGCAGTTTCAGATAATTCCCAAGTGAATTTCAATGTTGAGAAAGTGTTTAGGCTATTTAAAAAATGGTTGAGGCTATTTTCTCCATGGGGCCAAATGACAAAGATGTCGTCTATGTATCTGAACTAACAAGTTGGTTGTAGAGTCTGTTTTTGCAGAAAGTCATTTTCAAGTTTTCCCACAAACAAGTTGGCGTATGAGGGGGCCATCCTGGTACCCATGGCAGTCCCTTTTATCTGCAAGTAGTGGCGGTCCAGGAATTGAAAATTATTCTTTTCAAGGATGAATTTGGTGAGGCTGATGATAAAGGAAGTCTTAGGGAGTTCACCTTTAGTTCTTTTGTCAAGGTAATGTTCAACTGCAGCTTGCTTCATTTTTATAAAAATCAACCACCATATGTATATATAGGAGTGTATGTGTATATAGATGTACATAACAACAGGAATTTTCATTTAATTTTAAACAACATTGTTGTTCCAACAACAATGTTGGCAACACTATTGTGGAACTTTTGAATTTGAACTGTAACTGCCAGTTTTCTTTCTTCTCCCTTCTGATGAAGTCCCTAACTGGGACGAAATATTAAGTTTTTCTGTGTTGTGTCATGTGTTTTATGTGTAATCAAGGCTAATCTGGACTCTATCTACCAGGTAAGCTAGCTGATCCCTATCCTTGTACATAATAATCCTAATCAGCCAATTGGCCTTTCCTTAACTCCTAACATTAGATATTAAGAGTCTTTCGCTGGTAAGGAAGCAGTGTTGCCAACACACTATGAATTTACAAATGAATATTTACAGGTTATGAGTCATTGATTTTATTTACACTTAGTCTAAGCCTGCTTTTTAGGTGTGGAAGGGGAAAGGAAAATGTTAGGCCTATCTGAGATTGAGGTTTGGGGGCTCCCTGGATTTGGTGAACCATTGATAAGAGAGTTCCCATCTCCTTAGTTGTGATGGGTTACAGGTGGGAGGGAAAGATCTTATTATTTTTGAATTGAAACAACTGTTTAAATCTTGCATATTGTGGCTACCAGCATGAATAGGCACTGGTTTTTCTGGATGGTTGTTTTTTATATCTGTCCTATGATTGTTCATTCTTGTTCTAAAACTGGTGGTGGTAAGTCCAATGTATTGAGATGGGCAATGGTTGCATTGAAGTTGATATACAACATTTTTCGTGGAGCATGTATTGTGTCCTTTAATTTTGAAGGTTTCTCCTGTTGATGTGCTTGTAAATGTTGTGCTGGGCCTATTAATGTGGCAGGTTTTGCATCTTGCCATGTCACATGGGAATGAGCCTTCTATGGGTTTATCTTGGCCTTTGTTAGGTTTTGACTGTTTAGGGTGAACTAACAACTTTTTTAAATTGGCTGGTTGTCGGAATGTAGTTGTGGGAGGTTTTTCCAAGAAGTCTTTGGTGTGTGGGGATGCTCTGAGGATTTTGAAACCGTCTTTTAAAATTGTGTTTAAGGATTGGAGGCCGTGGTGGTAGGTCGTGATAAGCTGCAGGTTTTGTTGGGAGTTTCTTTTTTGAGTAGGCCTAACGTTGGTGGTTTCTGATTGAGCAAGACGGATCTGGTTTTCAACTAGATTGGCCGGATAACCTCTTTTAGTAAGGGAGTTTTTCATTCTGCTATTGAACTTTTCCAGTTCTATGTCAGAGGAACAAATTCTTTTGGCTCTCATGGCTTGGCTGTAAGGAATTGAACGTTTAGTGTTGGTAGGATGGCAGCTATTGAAGTGAAGTGAACCATGCCCTCGAGCCTGCCCCCAGACTAACGAAATGGAAGCGTGATCCATGCGCAGGCCCGAGGAGCGGCTCACAAAACTTTACTTAACAAAATGAGAACCATGGATGGAGGTTCAAGAACAACACGCCATTTGAGAGAAACGAGCTGTAATTAACCATTAAAAAAAATAAACAACAACAACAACATTAACAACAATACATGAAGTAAATACTCTCAATTAAAGTTTAAATAAATTTTTGTTACCAATTTGGCCTACTAACTTACAAAGGAACGTTAATTTAAAAAAATTCAAAATAGGCTAAATTCAGCCAAAGTAAATTTAATCAGTTTTAACCTTTAAATTAACAAATTACAACAATGAAATATCTAATGACTCTTTTAATAAATTCATTTCATGGTAACTATAGAAAATTTAGGGGCCCCAAAAATGAAATTTAATAGAATATGTAAAAAATTATAAAATCTAAAAAATCAACAAGTAGCCTAGGCTAAAGAATTTAAAATTTAAAAAGAATAACAATTAATAAACTATGTATAGGCCTATAACAAATAATAATTTTTAAATAGTCTCTTGGGTTGCCTTTTTTATAAATAAAATCAAAACATAACAACAGTGGGTAACTTGCGGTAGGGCGCAGTTCAATGGTTCTGGGCAAGCAGCACCGGAGGGGGAAACGAGCATGACGGAAGAGGGGGGCCATGATCCAGGGGTGGCCAAGAGTAGTAGAATCCACTCCGTCAATGCTGATGCGGCTGCTACATGTTCCTCCTCACGGGCCCTGAGTAACAAACCCAGAAACACAGTAGTACCAGAAAGAGTTCAAGTCCATATCCGCAAAATTCACTGTCACACATTTCACTATTTTCACTGACTTCCAAAAATCCACAGATTAGGCCTAACATATCATTTTCAAAAGTTTCTAAATTTTTAAAAGGTTTGTCTCTCTATCACAGCTCTTTAACAATATAAAACATTTCAAACAATAACAATATTTTAAATAAAACAACTAACAGGTTAAACAGTACAAGAATGGTAACATTAATTTGCGGTAACAATGTCAGCAGGCCAGACGGGTATGTGACAGTGGTAAATTTTACCAATTGAGAGAAAAAATTTAAATTGTCTGGTCCAAAGTGGCCAGAAGAACAAGTTAACAGAGAACAATTGACACTTAAACACAGAAAAATACTTTAAAATTGACAAAAAACGTTCCATACAAAAAATTTAGGCCTAACGCAACGACTCATGTATTTTTGCTAATTTCTCCAAAAGTTGTGATCAGAATTTGTTCGGAATGGTCTTAAAAGCTGGGGGAAAAGTTCCAGCAGCTTTTCCAGACCATTCCAAACCTTAACTCAAAGGCAGAAACCAGTGGCCTTCCAGGTTACCCAGTTCAAACCTGAATGAAAAGTTGCCAAACTAAAAATTACTGTAACTTTCTTAAAACTTGAGTAAAATGACTCAAACTTTCAGGGGAGCTTTAAGAGCAGTTAATTCAACTTAATTTACCTAGTTTGGCAAGGACAAAGCAAAATAAAAGACTTTAACCTTACTTGACTGGGTAACACAAACTGAACATATTACAAGACAAAACAACACTAAAATTGTACGGGACACAGAAACAAAAGACTACCAGAGTAGTAGCCTAAGACAATTACATTTACTGAGCAAAAATTGTAAGCCTAGGCCTACCACAAAACAGTCAGAAGGACCCAAAACTGACTTGGCAGTTTCTCTCAAATAGCGGCTTTCCAACAAACATTTCTCAGTCAATTCTAGGCCTAGCATTTCGGGCAAAGCCCTGAATTATACAAAACAACAAAGAACAGGGAAACTAACTATCAAAAGTCTTCCACGACCCCAAGACTAGGTTCCAGACCTAGTGCAACCATGTGCAGCTAACCTAACTTTAGAAAAATGTGAAAAACTCACCCAAAAGGCGCGCGTGGCGCACTTGAACTACTCCATAACCTCGCAGACTAAGCACAAATAAAAAAACTTAATTGACTTTGCATAAAACATGTGCCAAAAGGGCGATGTAAAACGATGGAAAAATGTCTGCGAGGTTAACTAGTTGATTGTCACGCAACCTCTGAAGTGCTTGGCGGTGGGAGTAATAAGAACAAAAACCCACAGCCTTGTTCGGGGTCGTGGAGTGACAACGAAACACTGAACTAGCCTACTATAAAAAAAACACTTGAACCATTGATCATGAGTCGTGACATTCGCCCGGTGGAAATAGTCACGGCTCAGAAGGTATTGCAGGTGGTTGGTTGGCTTAATATGAATTCCAGTTTCGATGACACCATTCTGTAATTTTAAATTTACATCCAGGAAAGTGATTTCTGCGTTATTCATTTGTAAATTCATAGTGTGTTGGCAACACTGCTTCCTTACCAGCGAAAGACTCTTAATATCTAATGTGACTCTCCATGTTGAAAAAGGGGCCAGTGGCCTCGAAATATCCAGTGTTTATTTTGTTTTGTTTGTGTTTTCTTCTGTGTTCTGTAGTGAATGAAGTGGGATGCCTACATTTTTTAAGGTAAGCCTGCTTATCCTATCCTTTCTCACAAAATAATGTTCCACATAGGTATGCCGTGATAAATCTTATATACCTCCTTTTCTCTAAAGGACAGTTAAATTTCTGCTTCAGTCTTATCAGAATTATTTGGCTAGAATCAGGTATGAATAGGAGCCCTGAAAGGGCGGCTAAGAAATCCTACGATTTTTTTACTAAAATTGACCATTAGCTGCTCAAATAGGCTATAGGCTATCCCTTTTACTTTTTATTTTTTTAAATTAATTTTTATCTATTTTTTTGTTGATTGGCCTATTTATTTATTGTTTACAAAACAGAAACTGTAGTGTTACCATCCAACATTGACATTTGTTAGATTGCGTGATCCATTGATGCCTTGTGATATTCATGTATTATTATCTCAAAACAAAACTGCTCTTGACTAGGGCTCGTGCACATATTATATTGTGTTCTTGGACCAATAAATTTGTAAGTTCAACGTAAAAAATATATAAAGAGCTAAAACCTAAATATTCATTAATTTACAAACATTCTTTCCTTATTGTAATTTAAAACAAAAACCATCATGGATATTTATAAGCAAATTACCAGACAGATTTTTAAGGTTATCTCTCTGAAGGTTTGTAGGCCTAGACTGAAAATTTTGATGGTGTTGCAGCATTTCCTGACGTGATAATGAGAGATCTTACTCTAGACTGGGAGTTTGTGGTAATGGCTTGTGATGGTATCTGGGACGTCATGACCAATGAGGTAACAACTGTTGAGATAATCATAGATGTAGGATAACTTTATAGCTTAGCTCTAAGGTATAAAGATACGTACCACAGAGAAGTAAGGTACAGAGGAAACACACTTATGGAACAACCATGCATATATACAATATACTTGTGTTGAGCAAGAAATGCACAGGGCACATGGTCTTCCTCCACGGTGAGCATTTTAGTACATGAGGGCAAGGGAGACAGTGCAGTTTAAACTCTGAATCAGACAACCGGTAAAGTTCATGCCGGCCAAAAATTATCGTGCGCTCTCAGTTAGGGAACCTCTCTGGCTTTTTACAAAACGAAAAATCCAAATGGAGGCAGCACTGGCACGTCAACTCTGCTAGAAATCAAGACGCTGTAACACGTTGTTATGTTGGTACCACTCAAAGAATCAGCCATATCAGTGGTGGCTATTTGCAATCCCACTATCCCCTAGTTCCAAAGCACTATTCCCCTAGTAAATATGGCGGCCAACGTCTCTCAATTCTCGGCATTCTCGCATTCAGTGCTACTTTCGGTAACTGCAAAAGGCATCTTAAATACTTTTTCTTTGAAATGGCAACCATAGAAAGTTACGTATTTTAAGCCAAGTATGAATGGAGATGAGTGTAGGATGAGTGGCGCGATTTTGTAGTCTTGTTAATGACTAAGGCCGACATATTCCTTAGACACAACTGTTAATTAATAGCACAGCTATTAATCATAACTAAGGGACCTACAGTTTATAAAGGAATCCGAACCACGTTTTTACCTTGGTATTAACAAATTGGTCTAATTATCAAGATAGCACTGCGCATAGTCGTTGTAGTCACTGGTGCGGACGTTAATCCCCACTAACTAATACTATTAACAGGATCAACCTACAATTCAGATTCATATCGATATTTTTTTTAACACAAAGAAATATTGACCACTAAATGTTCTAATTAATCTAATTCATGTTATGTTGGTGTCAGGAATTATATTTGTTTTAATGTTAGTTATTTATAAAAAATTATGTAGTATTGGGTTTTAAGATTATTATTCACAAATTTTTTTATTTTAACCTGTATTTTTTGTAGTCTTGACCATTGTAACCAGCTAAATACAAAAGTTTCGCGTTTAGGTTTTGAGATTTGGGATTAGATTTTCAAGTTTCGGTTTCGGTTTTGAGATTCAAAATTTTTGGTTTTGACCATAACTACTTGCTATACTCCCAACTACCACCTGCATTTTCAACACATCTCTAAGGCAAAGCATATTCCCGATTTCTTGGCAGTCTGCCCTAATTTGTCCCTTAAATAAGATCCCAGCCTCGGCTTCTTGTCAGGATTTCAGGCCGATCAGTATATTGCCCGCATTATCTAAAGGCCTTGAAAGAATCGTGCACTGCCAAATGACTGAGTTTCTGACTGAAAACAATATCTTATGCAACTCACAGCTCAAGCTCAGGCTTTCGAACAGCTCACAGTACAGAAACAGCACTCTTACGTGTGACGGACGACATTAGACTAGCAATGGAACATCAGCAGGGTACGTTTCTTACCTTTTTTCATATTTCTAAAGCCTTTGACTATGTAAATCATAAGCTCCTCTTGGAAAAGTTAAGGGCCATTGGGTTTTTGAATTGTGTATTAGACTGGCTTGGATCCTATCTGTCAGACAGGCGGCAGAGTGTTGAGGTTGATGACTTACGTTCTGACTGGGAGACAGTTACTAGTGGTGTGCCTCAGGGGCCCTCTGCTGTTCGTACTATACATAAATGACTCAGTCCTCACACACTGTAAATACCACATGTATACTGACGACTTACCGGTTTATACACATTTTTCAGCCAAACAGATCAATGAAAGTGTTCTGAGAGTGAACAAAGAAAGATATTGAGAAAATCATTACTTGGACTAATAAACACGGACTAAACCACAAAAAAACTAAACCTTTTATAATCTGTCATCCACGTTTACGGAACTCAATTTACTTTCTCACGATTTCAATCCAATAACTATAAATGGAACAGCTTTGCTTTACAATGACAAGGTCAAAAACTTATGACTTACAATCAACTCTACGTGTCATCTTCAAATGGGCCAAAATTGTTTGGTCCAACGTTTATATTGCTGTTCGTTTGTTCCAAAATCGTTTGTTCCAACAGTTAAAAACTCGTTCGTTTGGTCCAAAATCGTTTTATCCAACACTTAAATATGAGTTTGTTTGGTCCAACAGTATAAACTATGGCGTCCCTCACATCGAAGGCATTCAAATATCCGCCGTCGTATACAATAATAATATTAATACAATTTTTGCTTTAAACATGCCGACTTTCTATGTTTTAAACGTTAAAGACACCTTTTTTGTAGTATTCAAACCACCAAAGCGTACATAAGCAGACTTAAAGCTCAATATTGTATCATACGGTTGAAAATCTTTTAAATTAACAGTTTTTATCACATTTGGCAACCTTCTAATATACAGAGTGTATAGAAATTCAGTGGACCAACGTGTTTTAAATGTTTATCATACACCTTAATTTTTATTGTTGTATCTATTTACAATGGAGTGTTTACTATTGATCCTCCATCGTTGCCTATAATTCTTAATCAAAAGTTTAAAATAGAACAAGAAAATTACATTAATTAGCCTTCTCATATTTTCTGGTAGTCCACAATTTCCTGGTAAAAATTTGGTCTTACAGAATTATAAATAAGGATCTTATTTTCTTATGTTAAAATTGATGTTCTGTATAATGTCATGTTTAGCAATATAATGTTCCATTACGAATAATTGTATAATCTTAATATTACAGTAACTCTTTTAATGATTTCTCATTGCATTATGTTATATCTATTGTACTGGTTGGTGTCTGCCATTTTGACTACTTTTGACTAGATGATATCGTTGGTAATCTTGGGCTATTTCTACTTCAAACTTATCACTTATGATTGTTCCTTCGATGTTTTTTATAGTCAGTCTGGTTCCGTTGCACAGCTTGGGTGGACCTAAGTTTCACATTAGTATTAATATTACAGTAAACCCTCGTTAATCCGGACCCCATCAATACGGACTTCGCTTAATCCGGACAGCCATTGGATCGCAGTTTTAATGCGCAGAATGCTGATTAGTAGCACGCGATCGTCACTGTACGACTGCGCCCGGCGATGTGAGTGTGCCGAGTGCGGGCGGATGGTGGAGGGGGCAGTCACAGGCAAGGCGTACGTGCCGTTGCCATGGTTACTGTCACAGCGCAAGGCGTACGTGCCGTTGCCATGGATACTGTCAGCCAATAGTAGCTCAGTCACACGATTGTGTTCCTCCTGCTCGTGTCAGGCCGTCAGTTGCTCCACAGAGGTCACAGAGGTAGCACTGCTGTGTACTGTTTCTAACCATTACGTTTTAGTTGCGTTGTTACGAGTTTTTGTAATTGTGCGTGGGTTTGTGTGTAATGTGAACTGTATTTGAGGTGTGTTAATGTAAGATTAGAAATGTCTTTAAGTAAACCAGTGGATTGTAAAAAACGAAAACACGTGTCTCTGTCTCTTAATGATAAATTGAAAATTATAGAAAAACTTGAAGATGGAGCTACTGTTTCAAGCATTTGTACAGAATATAAAATAGCGAAACAGACAGTCTCAGACATAAGAAAGAAAAAGGACAACCTGAGAAAATTTGTTCTTAAGTTTAATGTTGAAAAAGAGGCAAGTTCAGTGAAAAAAATGCGTCTTCCTTCAGATCCATCCCTGGACGATGCTGTTTATAAATGGTTTTGCCAACTTCGTTCTTCTGGAATGACTGTACGAGGGATTGAAATTCAAGCTGCTGCAGAAAGATTAGCTAAACAGTTAAACATTACAGGCTTTAAAGCTAGTTCAGGATGGCTGTTCAGGTTCAGAAGGCGCCATAACATCACAAACAAAAAAGTCTGTGGAGAAAGTCTCAGTGCAAATGTTGATGAAGTTGAGCCATTCAGAATTCAATTGGATGAACTTTTAAAAACAGGACAAATACAGCTGTCACAACTCTACAATTATGATGAGACTGGGTTGTATTGGAGAGCATTACCCGACACAACCCAAGCCTCTAAAGCTGAAAAAAACACACCGGGAAGAAAGATTAGTAAGGATAGAGTTTCTGCATTGTTATGTGCAAACGCTGATGGAAGTCACATGCTGAAACCTGTGATTGTGGGTAAAAGTAAACAGCCTCGGGCTATAAAGAATGTAATGGACAAGCTACCAGTGCACTACTTCAGTTCAAAAAGTGCCTGGTTTACTTCAGACATCACAATGGAGTGGTTTCACAAAAAGGCAGTGCCAGAAATTATAAAACATCAAACGGAAGTTTTAAAAATTCCTAAAGATGAAGTGAAGGCCCTAGTTTTACTTGACAACTGTCCTGCACATCCATCAGTAGAAAAAATGACAAGTGAGGACGGAAAGATTAAATGTATGTTTTTGCCAGCCAACACTACATCATTAATCCAGCCTATGGATCAAGGCGTTATCTACGCAGTTAAACGCCTATACAAAAAGAAGCTTTTGCATGAAATTTTGGAAGTCGAGGAACCAGCTGAAGGAGAAGAAGACAGAAGAGGTGAAAAGACATTGCAGAATCTGAAAGAGTACAACATCAGATCGATGATCTTCAATTTTGCAGCGGCTGTGAGAGAGCTGAAGCCATCAACGATAGTAAACTCGTGGAAGAAGCTTCTCACTAATAAAGATGATGAGCCGGACACCGCTGGGTTGGAAACTGAAGATTTCCACAACGCTCTTATCAATGGTGGTGAGCGTGCAGTTACCCTAGATGACATTGAGCTGTGGTTGGAAGAAGATGATCAAGATCCAGGCCACCACATTTTGACAGAAGAGGAAATTGCTGAAAGCGTAACAGTGGCAGAAGAAGATGACGACGACGACGATGAAGCAGATGACATAAATCCCAAGCCTAAACTAAGTGAAGTGAAAGATCACATTGATTGTGTCATTAAATGTGTTTCCGAAAGTAGCAATGAGCAGGTCTCTGGATATTATGAACATTTAAGACATTTGCGCCATCTCATTGTACAAGAAATTAACACAAAAGGAAGGCAAATGAAGATCAACTCCTTCTTCAAACCAGTGAAACCAGTTCAGTCACGTGAGGACGAACCTCAACCCTCATGTTCAAAGTAATTTTGTCTTTTTTCGTTGTCTCATTTTTTGTATGGACGTAAGTAAATACCAAGTGTATATTTTTGTTCAAATGTAACTACTGTATGTACTGTTTGTACAATATGTATTTTTATATTCAGAATATACATAAAGTTTATCTGCAAAAGGTGTTTCATTATATACCAGGGGTACCCAAAAATCACTGTCTTTCTTCGTTTACGATTATTTGTTTTAATCCGGACTTTCGTTAATCCGGACGACTTGGAGCCCCAATTAGTCCGGTTTAATGAGGGTTTACTGTATTGGCATTCCTTCTTTTAGTGACAGTAATGTGGTCGGTTTATGACAAATTGCGAGGTATTTGTATATCTGAGTTAGCATGCACAATTATTTTTCACGATTTATGTTACATTGTGTGGGTATAGAACAAAGGATAACAATATTAAAGAATTACCATCCCTTTCATTTATTATAATACTGCAATTATAAACATACCAAACTTCTTTGTTTGAAGCTCATTGTTGGTGATGGTGAGTTAATGTTGTTCAAAGGTTTATTGCGGACATTTTCCATCACGAATGTAAAAAACAATACACGTTTCGGGATCTGGAATCTGATCCCGTCCTCAGGTGAAAAAAAAACTTAACTAACACATTACAACTAACAATACACAAATGCCCAACCTAAGTTGGAATACACTACAGAAGGTAGCAGCACTAGAAAAGCATTTGAACAGTCTTAGGACATCTGTTTATAGAAAGAAGACACACACAGGACAGTATTTAAACTTTCAATCAAACCACCAAATTTCTGTCAAGGAGGGGGTTGCTTACTCTCTGTTTGACAGGGCTAAGAGCATTTGCTCCAATCAGGATGAGTTAAAGGATGAAATAAAGAAAGTAGAACAGGATTTGGCTAGTAACGGATACCCTCGATCCATTATAAACAAATGCAAGAAAGATAGGGCTACGCGTGAACCTTTTCAAAATCACAAGGAAAAGCTCGTCCACATGTCAATCCCGTATGTGTCAGGGCTGTCGGAAAAAATCAGAAGGGTTGCTAGGAAATTTAATGTGCAAACAGCGTTTAGGACACAGAACACACTTAGGCAGAGTCTCGTCAGAACAAAACCCAAAAATGACACTCAGGATACTAAAAACTGTGTTTACAGAATAAATTGCAATGATTTGTTCCAGGCCTTACTATGGCGAGACAAAAAGACCGTTGAACGTTCGAATCAAAGAACACAGGGAAAACACCAAAAAAGGTTTAGTGGAAAAATCTAAGATCGCTCATCATTGCTGGTCCGAAAATCATCGTATGAATTTTGAAGAGGCAAAAATTGTCCATAGGGAATCTCATTTTTTCAAACGTAAACTCATTGAAGCCTCATACATTAAATTAGCAGACCAACCAATCAGTCAGTCATCGGTTGAAATCAGGCCACTTTGGCTACCCATTTTGAACAAGGAACTAAAGGATAGGGAACTTAATTGTTCAATAAATAGGGAAATAACGAGTTCTCCTCAAAATTCGCACGTTATGTTAACTCGTAGTAAAACTCGTGATAGGAATAAACAGAATTAACTCCCATCTTGCGGCATCGTACATCGCTCCGCCATTTTGTTGGTTTTAATTTTCCAGGGACCGGAAGCCATTACTGTTGTCTCCGTGTTTCCGATTGGTCGGCCATGTTGCTTCAGTCTAATTGGTGGAGTCGTTGCGAACGGTGCTATTAGTGTTCCATTGTGTGAGCTTTTTAAGTTACACCTTTTATAGATTATAGTGTTTTGTGTTTGGTTATTATTTGCATGTTATATCATGACTTGACTGCTTAACAGTGCATATTTTTTGACTGCTACCTTCTGTAGTGTATTCCAACTTAGGTTCCAAGGGCGTTTGTGTATTGTTAGTTGTAATGTGTTAGTTAAGTTTTTTTTTTTCACCTGAGGACGGGATCAGATTCCAGATCCCGAAACGTTGTGTATTGTTTTTTACATTCGTGATGGAAAATGTCCGCAATAAACCTTTGAACAATACCAAACTTAACACTAACTTGGCTTTTGGAGTCAATACCTCCTCTATTATACAGGGTGTTTTTTTAAAAACTTGCATCTTTATTTATGTAAAAACCGCAATAGATAGAAATATGCAGTTTGCGGGAATCATCTATTGACGTAGGGGGCCCAATTGTTTTGAATTCAACGTTACATTCACGTTCCCCCCCCTTTCCCCCCTGCCCCCAACTTATTTTTTTTAAATAGCAAGGTACCCCTTGTGACATATGAAATGAAAAAGCATGAAAAAAGAAAATGTTTGATGAAAAAAAATTGAAAATCGGTTCATAAATTTGTGAGATATTTCCCCCCCAATTCCCCGGAACTTAATTTTTTTTTAATAGCAAGGTACCCCTTGTGACATATCAAATGAAAGAGCGTGAAAAAAGAAAATGTTTGGTGAAATTTATTTTTCGTTTGATATATCACAAGGGGGGCTACCTTGCTATTAAAAAACAAGTTATGGGTAGAGCAAAAGGGGGGGGGATTATCTCACAAATTCATGAGCCGATGAATTGAGGGTGGGACGCAATAGTTCATACTGTTGGACCAAACGAACTCGTATTAGAGTGTTGGAACAAACGGTTTTGGACCAAACGAACTGTTTTACAACTGTTGGACCAAACGATTTTGGACCAAATGAAATACTCCCAACTCGACACTTACTTGGGGCGATGCGGTCGTAGACATCCATAAAAAGGTGTTTGCATCAATCCACTCACTTAAAAAGTTGCATATCTTGCCTTTACACATAAAGTTACTCCTGGTTAAATCACTTGTCTTTCCCCACTTCACAAATCTGTGATCAATGACATGACTGTAAACCTCGCTGATGCTTTCCAACGCGCTCAGAACTACAGTAGTCGCATTTAGTCTGGGTGCGCAGCCGCGCTAGGGCCAGGGGTGTAGGGGGAGTGTTTATTGCTCATTTTCAAAAACATCTGGCCCACACAACTCTGGGGTTGTTCAGCAGTCTTCGTGGCTAGTTGTGGTGGGTGAAATGTACACTGGACGGCTAGTAGAGATGAAACCACGCGCCCTGACTGCTTGCGCTTACTGTACTGCCTAAGATTCATTTATGATCTAAGATGCAGGGAGCGCATCACCTCTTTCTACATTCATTCTAAGTTATTCTAAGCTATGTGACCTGAGATCAATCAAAATATTTTGTGGATGATTTTAGGTTTGTAGATGAAGAAAGTGTTAGATACTCACGCTATGCATCATTAACTTTGCGTATGCCTCACCATAGGACCGCAGTTTACGACAGAGCGTTTGTTGTAACTGCTTGCCGTCTTTGGAACGATCTCCCTTCAGCTATTAAATCCCTTCATAGTCGTTCCCGGTTTGTGGCAGCACTGAAAAATCTCTATTTTGAACGCATGGCCATGGTTGGTTTGTCCTAGGGCGTATTTTTTATTGTAAACTGATTTTGTTAAATATTTGTATCATATTTAAGTACAGTTTAAGTGTAAGAAAGGACCGTGTTTCCCTAACTTTGCCTGTGTAAATAAACAATTTTTCATTTTTTTTTTTTCTTTGTTCGGCTGTTTTTGCACATACTGAATAGAAAGAAAATTTCCTTTTCGTTTCTCGTCTAGTTTGGCTCCAGTACCAGAATTTATCTATGACGTTTCCTTTCCTGTCTGTTTCATGTTATATTTTCTCTCTGTTGCTTCCCTGGTCTACTACAGCTATGTTTGTACAGGAGGTGTCAGACTTTGTCCGTCTGAGGGTAGGCACAGGCATGGAACCAGAGAGTATCTGTGAGGAGCTGATGACCCGATGTCTAGCTCCGGACTGTCAGATGGGAGGTCTCGGCTGTGACAACATGACAGTAGTCATCATCTGTTTTCTACATGACAAGCCGTACGCGGAGTTGGTTGCGCGATGTGCCGAGCCACCACGTCCCATCCTCCCTCCCTAGCCCTCGTCTCACAACTGCCAACTGTAAATTCTCGTACTGTACAGAATGTGAACTTGTCTCGGTGTACATAAGCTTAATTTTAAATTATGAATTTATTTTTTTAATAAATTATTTATCTGTATTACCAATGTTCCTGCTGCACGAGATGTTTTTGACAGTTTAGAGTTTTTTTATATTTTCAACGACCAATGTAATTCTGTCTAGGATACTTAATTTGTATTGTATTCCGAAATTTAATATGGAGACTTAGTCAAATCAAGTTTCTTCTATTGAAACATATAAAATTTCTTGTATACAGGAATTTTTAGTAGTGCAGTAAAATTTTAAAGTATCGATGAGATTGATTCTTTAAATAGTAAGAATTTGTAAGAAAGGTATAGCCGTGATTTAATGTTGGCTTGTTATTGTTTGAGAATAATAATTTGTTTGGTTACAAGTTTATGCCGTAAACCTAGGGTAATGGAAAATTGAACTTTAGACTATTCATTGTAAAATTAGCCTAACCAATATAGAAACGGTCTATTCTGTAAAACAGACATAGAATCCAAAAATTTGTGGACAAAATTTAATAGTTATGAAAACATAACATATCGCTGGATATAACCTTTGACTATTCAATAGTCAATGAAACAATCTCAGTGGAAATGTAAAAAAATACCAAACCATGGTAAAAAGGAGAAACAAAAATAATAATAATGCAAATAAGCTCAAATAAGTCGAACTGTTAAGAAGAATCCAACAATAAGCTACTACCAATTAAAACGAATTATACATTCTTTCAATACATGCTATTGCTTACAATCTAAGTTTACAACAGCTGTCTTTTACTCCCTAGGGAAGGTAATATAAGAGCTACTTTCTATAGACCTGCAACGCATGTATTAAAAACATCTGTTTTTGCTGCAGTACGACAAAATAGTATATTTCGTACCTAGGACCGAAAATGAGAGTTTGCCGGCTCGAGTTGGTTTTTAAGATTAAGACAAAGTCAAGAACTTAAAACGATCAAGAGCTGCAAAACCATTTCGGTCCGTGGTACGAACACTATTTTTCACCACACTATACCACTATTACCATTATTCACCACAATAATAATGCACACTGTCAACACAAGTACAACTTTAAGGTTATGTGAAGAAATAATTTGAGGAATCAGCAAAAATAATAATAAACAGTTGCTAGGCAGCGGTGACAATAAAACAATTATTTTGCAATTCTATGGATACTGATTGTGTATTTAATATGCATTCATGTTTTAAGAAAGTAAGCGGGCAGCTGATTTTGCGGCCCTAGGGATGTAAAAACCTGCTCGGTCCCCAAATGACGATGACAGCTGGTATGGCCAGCAAAACGTAACTTTCATCCACCAATTAACGTATGTAAAACAGCTAAAAACATCATAGTGTGGTGAAAAATAATTTGAACAAATAGTTGTTACTTGTAATGTAATTTGTTGTGAAGCTCATGAATAATAGGTTAGAAAAAGATAGTTAGGGATGACTTACCATATTCTGCTTATGTATTGCCTTGTGACTGTTTTTTTTCTTTTCTTTTAGTTGATTCCGAATTAAGCACTGTATTTCTTTCTTTAAAAATATGTGTAAACAGTTCTTGTTTAAGTTTAAGCTTCACAAAGATATTTTTATGTATAGAAACTTTTGTTTTGTACTTTCAAGTATATGACTACTGAGCACTGAGACATAATTTTGAAGAGGATATGAAATACTGTAACGACAAAGCATAAATATTGTCACGCTCGTAATGGTTTTGTCTCACCAAAATAGTCACACCTTACTTGTCTAGATAATCCTGCCTACAATGAGATAGCTCAGGGTTTGCGAACGAGTTCAAAAACTAGTTAATGTCTCTAGATTATTGGCTCAGAATAATAATTACAACAATGCTAACAAATACATAAGTTAGCCCTCAAGAGTACTCATCGCTACTTTAAACATGTGCAGGGCGGGGCACCTAATTCAGAATACATATAAAATTAATGGTGATTGATTTATATAACGCGGCGTCTCTTATGTAAAATGGAATAGTCTAATGTACCTGGTGAACACCAAAGTCTCAAGTAAGATAGAATCTACTTGTGCTCAAGAAGGTAGAATCCTGCCCAGACCATGTCGGACAAAGCAAAAGAGAAAATTAAAAAAAATATCCTTTTGAAATTGCTGTAGGATGAAATGGATCCAAACGGGATACTCTACACTTACCAGTATTCGGATCGTGTCATGTAGGCTTAGGTCAACAGCAGTCCTCTCGTATGTTTTAAGGTGTTTTAAGGCGGGATAAACTAGATTGAGTACGTGAACCAGCATGATCGGACTATGGGACCGGGGTTTGGGAATTAGGTACTCGTTAGACCTAATGTCATTCATTATACAGAAAAATAATTCAGACAAATGGAAATTCGCTTAGTTGGCAGGTTTGCCGTGGTGGGGGTATTTACTATTACAGCACTAAATAGACCCAATATCAAGATTTATTTATTTTCACTAAGTTTGAATGATACTTTACGTAACAGAGAATTTCAGGTGGTAAAATAACTTGTTTAGGTGATAATTTGCTTGATTTGCATCTTTTATAAAATGCCGTCTCAAAAATCTATTCTACTTGTTATCACTAAGGTTGTCTGTGAAATGTTGAACAAATTTCACTTGTATCTATGTAACATGGTTTGACAATAGACTGTATTCTCCTTCCTCAAAGTATGGATAACAAGAACCAATGTGCCTTTATTTAACATGTGTTTGTTTCGAACATCGAATAATAAAGTTAAATAAGTACTATTGATTCTAGATGTGCCACTCAAAGCCGCAGCAGTTATATGGGAGTTATAATTGTTCTATATCTAATTCTATAGTGCTGTAATTTTGTTTTGTACCATTGCATCTCTTGCTTAGTTACAGTAAAAATTATTTTTTCAACATTTTCAGCAAGCCTTAAGGATTTCTTACGGAGAAAACAGTAGAATATAATCTGCGTTAAACCCCGAATGGTTACGAAAAAAATTAAAAAAAACAAAAACCCGATAAATTTGTATTTTCTATCTTATTTTGATGGAGAAGTAAACTGTTGTAGTTTGCTTGTTTATGGATATACTTTGATCAAATTTGGTAAATGTGTTTATTTCATACACTGCTATCAGTATTCTTCTATAATACACACTTTATTAGATTCCTTGTAGAAACTAATCTATGTACTCACTAAACCTAATGACGCATAAAACTAACACGTTTCAGGAAGTATTTAAGTGAAAATCCGAACAGACAAATGGAAATTCACTTAGTGTGCAGGTTTGCTGCAGCAGGGCTATTTTGGCCATGTGTGGTTTTTTTTTGTATAAAATAATCTATTACTTATCTACTTTATCTGTATGATGTTAGGTAAACCTACTTTTATCTTAGTACTGGCCGTTTTAAAGATTTTATCTACTTACAATGATTTGTAATATTACCAAACAAGTATCTGTACTTGGTGTTTATAACTTATTAACAGTAATATTTCTAGGATTATTTGTGAGGATAGAAGGCTTACATGAATGGGAAAGAGTCCAAACTGGCACAATAGACACACATCTTTACATAATACCATAGACAAATAGAATATATATAGACCGTCAGCAGTGCTGCGGTTAGCATAAGTTTTGGCGTCCACCGCTAGGTTTGCCATGTAGTTACCGCGCACACCGCTACAGCGTCTGCTGGTCGCCTGCAGCGGTTTGCGCCATAACTACACGGCACTCCTAGCGGTGGGCGCCGGAACATTTCTTTGACAGTCTGTATTTATTCTATTTGTCTATGATAATACGCACAAAACATTAAAATATTTCACTGTCACTTACAGCATTTTTAACGAAGGAAGCAGTGGCGTAAATAAGGGGGTTGATCAGGGTGATCAATCACCCCCCAAAGACAAATAATATATATATATATTTTATGATATTATTTAGAAAAAATACAAATTAAAAATAAATAAAATTTAAATGTTTTTAAATATAAAAAAAATTAAATTTAAACATCTACCGTTAAGTGTGTATAGGTTAAGAAAAGCATTAACTAAAACTTAACATTTTAAAATTTTAATTAGCAAAAGAAAGCAGCAATATATCTGCAAGCCACAAGTGAGACAATGTTTTGACAATGTTCAAAACCAGGAAATTATATGACTGTTCTCCTCCTGTACCTGCAAATGAACCTATTAATTCTGTTCAACTGCCTCCAGTAAGTTCATCAGAAGAGACCGCCTCAATTGGGTAGATATTTGGAGTACTTTTGAACGTGATTACAAATCTGGAATGCCTGAAAATGCGAGTTTAGAGTTCTAATTTTTATAAATTTTACCAGACCTCCCAGTGCCCAGGATGAGTGCAAACTTGGAGCTCATCCACCCCCTCCCCCCCCCCCCCCACAAAACTATGTTCTAGTTACGCCACTGGAAGGGAGTGAGAGTTTTTCACTGACCAACAGTCAGTGAAGGTGAAATATTCTAATGTTTTTTGTATATAATGTAAAGTTGTGTGTTTCTTGTGCCAGTTTGGACTCTTTCCCATTCATGTATGGTTGCTATCCTCACAACAAATCCTAAAAACCTAGGCTCTTGTGCTCTATGTTACATCCTTAACAGTAATATTTTTTTTTTTACTTTTGTTGCTATCAATGACTATTAAGATGGATGTGAATACCCACATCAGTATTCTCAGCCAATGGTAGTATCCAAAAGATATTAAATCCAAATCAAAAGTAGGTCGTAGGATTTAGTACACTAGTTAAGTATCATTGAAAAGAAATAGTATATCTTAATATTGATTTTTTTACTGTTGAGTATTGTCAATGTGAAATAATTCTGGATAGAACAAAAATGTTAGCTTTACGTAATATTAATCATGCTATTTTATGACAAATTAGTACAAATATGAGCCCTCGACCAAGTCAACTGTTTTACTTAGCCTACAATTTTTAGCATGTATTATTGTTCTATCCAGATTTGTAAGACCAGTTTAGTATTAACCCTTAGTTTAATTGTAGTTAGGTAAAGTGTCTTGGTAGCACTGTGATACTGCTTTTTATATACCATAAATTTTAGTCATAATACACAGCAAGTTACCTGAATTGTAACTGAACTAGACCTTCAGACGAATAAAAAAAAACCAAACATGAAACGCCTCAGTTTTAACCTTTATCTATAGTGTTGGGTAGTTGTCACACTTGTGTCTGAAATAATACAACCAAGGTTACAACTGCATACTATATTTGCTGCATTAATGACATTTGTACATGTGGCGGATTTTCTTGACGTCCTTTTCACTAAGCTTCTCCCTCTGACCTAGCTTCACTCCCTTTGACTGAAAAATGAAAAAATTATTGAAACATTCTCTACACAAAACATAATAACCCACACAAGTAAAATGTCAATTGAAATTATTTAAAACACACTACTGAGTTTTTCTGTATTTCATTAGGTCCTTGTTTGATGCTTTTAGCACACATTTTGCCACTTGTGGCATTCTAAAGGTTCATATATACTCTGCAATAATACCTTTGTCATTACTTTCTTCTAATCATTATTTACACTACATTAAAGACTAAAGAGGCTTGTAAAGAATATATTATAGCAACCCTTCTTGAGAAAATTAGAGTCTAGATGCTAATAAATTGACAATAACAAAAAAAAGAGAAACTAATTATACCACAGATTGGGGAAGATGATAAGGTTTTAGCGAATTTCCCTATAGGGAAGTAGCTATTACCGTAGGTGGCACGGTAAGACCTAGACCCGGGACCGATTTACTTTTTCATTTTGATGTCCCTAGAGGCCAAAAACACCATTCGTTCAAATTTTTATATATATATATATATAGACTTATATATATATATACGTCCGTGAACGCGATAACTTGAGTAATTTTTGTCCGATTTTGGTGAAATGAAATGAAATTTGGTTTAAAGGTGTAAAGCGGGATAAACTTTAATGAATCGGACCATGGGAACGGGGCTTTACGGGGGGTTTTATGGGGTAAAAATTACCCAGGGTTTCTTTCTACTGTATTGGATGATCTTGATGGAATCTGCGATGTTGTGCGAGTTTCAATGATCTAGATTAAGTAAAAACTTCCGTATGACTGAGATTTGAGTTTCTAAAAGGCGTTGACGAACAGTTGCTTCTATAAGTCCAGAAATTAAGGCATCTCGGATACAGTAATTTCTGACCTCGGCTTAAACTTGTTTCAAATTATACTGTTTGCTTAAAAGTTTCAAAGATTCTAAGTATTTACTGACTGATTCCCCTTCGATATGCCTCCTCCTTGCAAGTTGGTGTCTCAAAAAATTTCATTTATAGGTTTGAAAAAAATATTCTGAAGGATAGCTACTGATTCATAGTAATTATCTGCTTCGCTTAAGTTGTTGAATATGGATGATGTCACGTGATTGATGAGCAATTGAAGCTTTTCTTTTTCATTGGCTTGAGTGTCTGAAAGGTGCTAATCCAGTGTTGGTATTCCTGAACTGCTGAAAATGTAATCTTCCAGCCCTTAACAATTTCTCCATGAGTCTTGTTTGTTTGCTTAACAAATCGAGAGAGAAAAGAGAAAAGTATTATACCTTTAACTAAGGTTTACCAATCAGAAAAAACATACTAATCTAAAGTAAGATTGAGGAAACAAATACTACAAATTGAATCAGCTGCTAAAGATAAAACTCTATAATAGAAACATTTTTACCTTGGGAACAATGGTGGGCTGTCCATTTCTAGAGAACGCGTTCTCTGAGTAATGCATAATGCTGTGATAGTCATAAGCAACTCCTTGTGAGTCTGTCTCTTGCTTCTTCGCCTTCTCAAAATTGTTCAAACGACCTAAAAGTAAAGGGCAAAAAAAAAATGGAACACTTCAATTTGAATATATTGATCCAGTGCCCCTGTGTGGGTTTAGAGTTGTTTCTGTGATCTATCTGTGAGTTAAAATGTTTGGATCATGTTTATGGTAAGTCGTTAAACGTGATCTTTTAAGTTATTTAAATACAATGCTAATAAGGAACACAAACTTATGAGGAAACCATGCTGAACACATATAAACCACTTGTTTAAATGATTGAAGATAAATTTCTAAAAAAATATTAGTTTTTACAAATTTTCTCCAATGGTCAAAGATCTTGATTATCACATTTGTTGCCGTTGCACGATAACTGTCCACAGCCATGTGTGGGAAGAGCCAATTTGCTACATGTATGAGTGCGCAAAAATGATACATTTAGTTTCACCCAATAGGAGAGGCACAGAATGCAGCATGTACTGCATTCCAGTTGTTGTTGGCATAGCTCTACTAGAAACCAACAGATGCAGCACTGAATAAAATTTCCTATAAAACCCTTAGTATTGCCAAATGCTAGGAAAAATCAGGAATGAAGTACCAGAATACATCAGCAAAAACAAATCCGAGCAAAAACTGTCACTGCACCAGTTTAAAATCATATCTGTTCCATAATGCTAATCTGCACTGTAAGTTCTGAAAATAACTGCAATGCATTTCCATGAAAAACAAGCGTTGTCCTTGATTAAAAGCTTATACAGACCGTCCTGAATGTTGTCATAGTTGACAGTGACATGCTTGTCCCTTTCCCAGCGGTTCTGCTCATGAAGAAAGCCTAGTGCATGCATCATCTCGTGTTCAACTGTGCCTTTCTTGGTGAGACAACCAGGAGACTGAAGATTCAACTCTTGTCTGCCTCCAATACGGCCAACAGAGGACCAGCAACCTGTGGCATTATCATAAACTTCATAATATCACTTCATCGACTGATAGAAGTATGACTAGAGTAGAATCTCATCAAGTTAGAGGACATGTAAACCCGAATCATGCAAATTAGTTAACCCTTTGAGTGCTATGCGACGATTTATCGGCGTTTACTGAAATCTCTAAGGGATATAGAGAGGAAGGTTATTTTAACAAAAAGTAGCAAACCGACCATTGGTGACCTACATGTTCATAGGATACACTAACAACCACTTAGCTAAAAGATTCGCCCAATCCGATGATTCAAGGTGTATGTCTAAACCAAGGATTATGGACACCTTACTATGCCCCAGTGGTAGTAGTATATCGCTACCAACACACAGGTCACCAATTATTTGCCACACAGGACGGGATTCGAACCCGAGCAGACGAATGCCACTGGCCAAGTGACACACGCCCTAGCCTTCTCGGCTATCTGTGCTTGGAGACTGAGGAGTCAAAAACCGATATCCAAGCTGACGCCAACGATTGCGAACAGATAGTGCTACAGCAGGTTGTTCAATGCATTACAAGGTAGCAGCACTAGTTAGTCACGGACTATTTAGATGATATTTATTTCAGTGGCGGATCTAGAACAATCACAAGGGGGGGCGAACCCGGGGGTCTTGGGAGGGGGGTTCGGGGGTACCCCCCCAAAAATTTGTGTAAACTACAGGGTGGCCGAAAAGTCCATTTACACTGAATATAAGTTTTATAGGTATTAAGTAAAACCATTCGAATTTTCTTTAATCACAAATTTATTGACAATTACTTAATAGTGAACAAGAAAATTAGTCCAAAAAGTCGGTGTTCATACCTCAGTGGTCTCGGCACAGCTTGATTCGACGCTTGATGTTCTTTTGCTCATTCGTCACAGCATCTCAGGTGTGACTCTTCCAAACGCCGCCCTTACTCCTTCTCTTAGCTCGTCATTTGTGACATACCGCTGTTTCCTCACCTCTTCCTTGATAAAACCCCACAGTGCGTTGTCAGCTGTCGTCAGGTCGGGGCTCCTTGGAGGCGAGGGCATTGGGGAAGGACAGTTCGCAGACCCTTGTCCAATTCATCGGTCTGGCAGGAGTTCATTCAGGCGGCGGCGAACACTCAGCGCAAAGTGTGGCGGAGCACCATCCTGCTGCAAAATAACGGTGTCCAATATTCCCCGTGCTCTTAGTTGAGGAACCAACCATTCATTTATCATTCGAAGATGGCTGTCTTGGTTAACAGTGCCCTCGAAAAAATAGGGGCCAAGCAGGTGGTCGGAAGTTATCCCAGCCCAAAGCATCACATGAGGCGGGTTATTTTCAACTTCCTCATAAAAGTGAGGATTTTCTTTCGACCATAAATAAACATTCCGGTTGCGAGAACTGCGGTAAATCGCACATTTGTCACTAAACATGACGTTTTTCCTGTCTCTGTGCCTCGGAAAGCGTCGAAGCATAACGTGGCATGCTTGCACAGGAAGGTCCATGTCGTTGTCTGTTAACTCGTTGACTGACAGGGGCCGAAAGCACTTCATATCCAAATCCTTTCGCATGTGGTCTTGCATTGTTGTTCGTAGAATTCCCAGCTCTGAAGACCGTTTTCTGTTGGATTTCATTGGCGAACATGCAACGGAAGCTTCCACAGCAGCGCAGGTTTGGACTCGAGTAATCGGTCGTCCACTTCTTGGCGCGTCGAGAACAGATCCCTTTGCAAACACATTCTTTTCCCACGCTATTAATGTTTGCCGGGGCGGTGAAGGTTTCCCAAACCGCACTGCAAAGTCATTCATGATTTCCTCCATTGTTTTTCTGTTGTGATGACGCTCGTGCACCCACACAGAAGCAACCAAACGCTCCTCGACACTAAACACACTGGTGTCTGCCATGTTGTCTGACTCAGATTTGGACTGAGACTGAGGGGGCGTCGGGGACCTTGGGCTGAGCCCACGAGGGCGGGGGAGGGGTTTCACTTTCTCCCACCACTGCGCCCTTACCCCACACGTGTCAGTATTGGCCGTCGTTCCGTTTATAACAGTGTAAAACGTAATAACAAATTGTGTAAAGGGACTTTTCGGCCACACTGTAAGTCTCCAAAATGGTATCTTATGTATGCTCTGGATCCGCCACTGATTTATTTTTCAGTTGAACCACAACAGTAATCATAAATTATGTGACTGAGGCTTTGCTGCAAAAAATATTTTTTTCTATAATGGCTATACTGTATTATAATAATCTTATCAAACTAAATCGAGGTTAAATTCAATATTACATTGTAAACTAGATGTCTTTCGATTTCATGAGATTTTGCTTTCAAAAAATGCTACCAGAACATTACAATTTATAAGAAAACTTGGAAATTTACAACAAAAAAAAAGTTTTATTTAATGCTACAAATACCCAGACTTTTCTTTGTTATATATTTGTTTTTTTCTTATTATAAAAAATTAGCCTAATTAATAAAATTAGTAACAACAACAGTTTAAAAGGCAAACAAAAAAGTCTTACGAAATACAAATTATTGGCATAGCACTGAAAGGGTTTACAAATTTGCAACAAACAAAACCAAACCATATGAGCAGTTGCATGATAAGATGAACAATAATGTCAGATACAAAAAATTATCCAAACAGTCCATCATATGAATATGACTATTAACTCTTGAATAAATAGCACCAAAGTAGAAGATATTTTGGAAGGAGGAAACAAGTTTTAGTTATTGAATTTTGCTTAACCTGTGTTAGAATTGGTGAAGTAGACATAATCAGGCTCAGACCCCTTGCGAGGAACCCACTTGACGCAAGTCCTCTTGTGGTACTCTGCGATAGCTTCATCTATCATTGCCCTGTCCTGGCCAGCTGGAAATCATTCATCATATTAGTCAATGATGACTGCATAACAAACCTATAAAAAATGCTCCTATTGAGTGCATATGGTGATTGGTGAGTCTGTAGCATGGTGGTCTGTAAACCAAAGCAGCGACGTCTTTAAGTTCTCATCCCAGTGTCGTCATGTAACAGTTGGTTCTTGTAGTGTACCAGCTCACCCCTGCTTGATACTTTCCACACACAGGCCTTTGAAGCTCATTCGTCACCCCTGCAATGCTTGATACTTTCCACACACAGGCCTTTGAAGCTCATTCGGTTAGGCAAATGCAAAGATGAAAGAGGCCGCCAACTTAAAAAAACTTATGACAACACAAAAGAAACACGGCGGAATAAATTTGTGTTTTATTCATAAGCTAGTTGTACAAAATATGCTTCAAGATTTAGAATGTAACACAATAATACTCACAGAATCCAGGCCCAATCTCATAAGGGACAATGCCTTTCTCCCAGTGTGTGGACGCAGCCTTGAGGCCATTGCGAGCTGCAGTAGGTGGGAACAGAATGTCACCTTGAGCGTACTCCCCCAACTCCTCTGGGTTAAGGTCACTGTCAGGACTCCACTTAGCTACAGCATCCCCTACAAATGCATCATCAGAGGTTAATCGATCTACTGGCAACTGACTGGAATGGAATCAAGAGAAGTGCATTGCTCTTCAGTATATTTTCCTGCGATGACTACATTTTGTTTCCAAACGCAAAATATAGTAAATTTCATCACTTGGGTGTAAAGTGACTATTTTGGAGAAGAGCTAATGTTTAACATGGAAAATGAGAGAGAATTGAAAAGACACTTTTGCCCTTCTGATGTATCGTTTTTTTTTTTTTTTTTGTCATATTGCACAATTAAGTAAAAAAATCAAAATCCTTTTTATGTAAAGATAAGATTCCAAAGTAACTTGTATCTTGTTTTCAATTTAGCTTATGTTAACAACCAAAAAGCAGCTATTTAATAAGACATTGAATCATTTAGTCTATTCCGATTGTGTTTGTGTGTTATAGTTTCAATATGTCCAAGTATTGATATATCAATGGATTTCTTGAATTGCTTTGGCTTTCAGTGCATTAAACTGTTTCTACCTGTCATCCATCTTCTTAGATTCTACGTTAAAAAATTGACATCCAGTCAACAACAATGTAACAATGAAGTACAGTACATCAATTGTAAATAATCAATACGACTGATAATTATATACAACCGATTACTTATAATCAAATTTAACAAGTGAACAAAATGAACTACTGACCGTCAACTCCATCTGATTTTACCCCCTAGAGGGAAAAGCTACTGTAATTATAAAAATGTTTATAATTACTAATACCTATCTAAACATTTTTTAATAACTGTATTTTTTTTCATTTTGCTATAATTTCAACAAGTTTAATTTAATTTTACACCATATTGACAATGATTCATAGTTTGACATTCAGCACCTCATTTACATGACGGGTGGGTATGCCTTACAAAATTTCATAACCAGTAGTTTTGACAATGGAGAGAAGTAGATATCTCATCTCCGTGGTTAAGGGTTTAAGCCAGTTATAGATTTAAGATTGAATTTAATTTAATTACACACAGAGTGTGCAACCAATTTCTGTATTTTGCACAGACTTTTCAAACAAGCCAAACAAAAAGGACAACTCACTCTAAACTACAGTTTTTCATTAATGTTACATAAATATCAAAGTTACAAAAACAAAGAGAGAAAATACTATTATGACAGTTGTACACTCTGTAAGCAGCTAATTCAACTACTGTATTTTATTATATTTGAACGGTTAGTTAGCTACAGCCGGTGCATATAGATGGTATGTCTACCCTAGAATCCAAAATATAATTCCAGTAGTTGTATTTACCCACCTTAGTGCTAAAAGTGTTTGATATTTTGCATTACCTACTGACTTGGACGGGTCCCCAAACAGTTTCTCGCCATACTCTAGCAGGTTGTCCCACACGCCCTCGTCCAGCTGAGGATCCCAGGGGTGAGGGAGGGGGGTGACGACGACAGCCACCACGATCACACTGCAAACCACGCGGAGGACTTCCATAGTACTACACACATTGCTGCAGCCGCCACTCACTTATACTCAGCTGATAAGGTGACAGTTTACAATGGATTCGGCACCCTGTGTGCGCTATCACAAGTATTAGCGTCAACTTTACATATGTAAATGCTAATCAGCCATTATACAGACGACCACTTCCTTCCGGGTGTTCCTGGAATGCTATCTGTATCAGTGATTAAACACCCAGTCATTTGTCACTAGACCATATTGTCCTTTGGGTAATGTCTCACTTTTGATAGGTTCATAAGCTTTGTTTGGATAGAAAAGTTGAAATGTGTTTGTGTGAAAAGTAAAATCTTCAACAATCAAATTAAGTTAATTAAAGACAGAAGTATAAAATCTATCTATCTATCTATCTATACAGGGTGATTGGTACTCAGTGTGACAAAAATTTTTTGGTGTAAGTACAAAGTAAATGAAGTGTGATGATGCATATCAAAAAATATTCCAAGTCTAAAAATTAGCTTCCCAAAAAATTATTTTATGTTTTTCAAAAATAGCCATGCTTTTAAACTTAATACAGCGATTTCTCAGTTACCCGTATCCGTTCTACATTAAATTTCGAACAAGAATAATAGAAAATGACAGAGGATCAGTTGTAAAAACTCCATTATAAATAGATTCAAAGATAAAAATTAAGATGTTTGATAAAAATTTAAAAAAACAATGGTCCATTGCATTTTTCACACACCCTGTATACAAGAAAGTGTCGGAATATGTTAAAAACTGTGCCATTTTTTAAGCTTTCCAACCATATATGCTACACTATTGAGGTTTAGATATTCTTTTGTTTGTTTTAGTGGTTTGAATACCAGAAAACAGGGAACTTTTTTACTGTTTTTACTGTTCAAGCTGAAACAAAAATACAACTTTTGCTTAATACATGCCGACTTTCTATGTTTAAAATGTTAAAGACACCATGCTTTGTAGTCTTCAAACCACTAAAGCGTACATAAGCAGACATAAAGCTGATGCATATCATCATCACACTTCATTTTTTTGTACTTACACCAAAAATTGTTTGTCACACTGAGTACCAATCACCCGCCTGTATATATAATATGTGAAGCCGTTTTTTGTTAACGCAACTCCTCCCTTATTTGTGGATCAATTTGAACGTTTAAGGTATCAAAAGATTCGTCTCAATATGTAGTTTTGCAATAAGGTTTTAGAATTTTGAAATTCCTACTCTTAAGGGCGTGAGACCCTCTCAAAGGTCGAGTTTTCCCCATAAGAAATACATAGAACTAATTTAAAAACAAAAAACAGCTGTTTATAAAAAGAAACTCAGTAGCTTTTTTGAGTAAATATTAATGTTTGTAATATTGAGTAGGTTAAGAACAAGTTAAACAGTTAATCAGTTTTGTAAGAAGAACAGAAAATTCTTCAAGTTCAAAGAAGAAATATTGAAAACGGGCGTAGGAGACAATTAATAATAAGATATCTTATGCGAATGAGGATAGTAGAAATAGAGAGGCCTGGTCTAACCAACGATATAAACAACTGATTGATCGCTGGCTCAATGTTGGCCGCGCGGTCCGGCGCTCCCCCACTCTCTACTGGCAGAAGCCGGCCCAGGCCATACACTCACCGTATAACACGCACCTTTTTAAATGCTGCTCTCTTTAAATATGTAGGTATAGATGAAAAATTGGTAATGCATGCAAAACTATTTTTACAATTAAAAACTTAATGTATGTTTTGTTTCTTGCACGGAATAACCCATTTGAACTCTTTAAAACTACACATTCACTAAACTTGATTTTAGATGTTTTTTTCACACAACTGACATGACTAGTTCAAAACTATACATGGTAAAATAATAAGCAATTGCAAAGAAAGCATAGCAAGTACAAAATTGGTCATTTCACACTCGATTTATTAATGAAAACAACATTAAATATTTTTGAATAAAATAATTTTGGTGAGTTTCTGTCCCAGACCTATGTTAGGCGTATTTTTTTCGTTTAGCTGAGTGGGGGCAATATATTTTAATAAAAAGGTCACAATCAAACTTAATTAATTGCTATTCATTGGTGTCTTCCCCAAAAGAAATATTCTCAACGCGCCTCTTAAAAATAGTACTGTACAGTAGAACCTCTTTCATCCGAACTAATTGGGACCAGGGGTAATTCGGACTAGTGAATAGTTCGGATTACAGAACATATTGTTGTTTTTACATAACAGTAGCTAAAACCTGGCTAAAATTGATCTAAATTATTTTGGGAAAAGTGAAAAAAATGTTTTATAAATTAAAATACAGTTTTTATTTAATACAGTAGTAAACATGGTGAATAAACAGTACTGTACATTAAATACAGTATAGGCTTACAATACAGAACTGCTGTACTGTGTATAGAGTACAGCAATGAGGTGTTCAGATTAGTGGACGTTCGGATTACGGCGGTTCGGATTAAAGAGGTTCGCGCTGTACCCACAAAATGGGAACACGCGGCTACAAATAGTCTTTTTGGGTTAAAACTTCCTTTATGTTGAAGCTAACAAGTTAATACATTGTAAACGTACTTAACTACCTTAAATATATCTTCATGTGCCCTAATGAGCTTACCTTTAGTTACATAATTAGTCAGTTGAGTATAATAACTCAAATCGTCCCATAGTGTTGACTGACCTCTGAGAAAATAAGCCCGGACGCATTTATTTCATCGTGCATGTTTTACAATGTACAGTTTTAGTTTAGCCCTATTAACAAAATAATAAAAAAAACAAATTTCATTTCAGTTAAACATGCTGTAAGGAGTTAAGGAATCACTTACTCAGACACCTTGTTTATAATTTATTAGATTAGGTACTTTACACGTGACACGAAATGCCACTGCCTTTCTGTACTCTGTTGGTGCAGTTGTAAGCGGAACAAGACACAACCATTTTTAACACATACTTAGTGTACAATTAAAGATATTGATAAATTTTAATCACAGTTTTAAAAAAAACCGCATACTTTTGTTACATCAAACAAGTGTTGAAATGGCGACAGCTAGCATGCACATGAGGTACGCCGCCGCTATCTTGCCAGTAGAGAGTATGGGGGAAGCGAGACCGAAAACAGCGCCCGCTACGCCACTGAGAGCGCAATCCAGTAGTTATTTACATTGTTGGGTCTAACAGACACCCATCCAGATACACATTCACTTGGTGAGATGAATATTCGCCAGTTCTGCTATACATCGATGGTTCTTCTATGCAACTCACTTTGGAAGTGAAAAAATATACACATAGTGTTGTCACGGTGGTAAAGTAAACTCGCCTAATGTCAGATCAAATGAATGCATGCAAGAAATGTTTACTTCTGAGACAGATCGAGATATTTCAAAACATTTAGTAGAAACTATAATAATGCCTTGACTATGATAAGTTTAAGTATTAAAGATTATATCAAATCTTGGCGGACCTTTTGTTTTTATTGTAAACTTTTGTATTACTTGCTCTACTTCAATTGAGAAATAAACGCAAATGGATTGTTTAATTCTAATAGTTATGTTGCCAGTTCCTCGGAAAAACGTATACAAGGTTTTTTGACTGAATTTACCAACAAAATCCAGACGTTTCAATTCAAAAATAAGAAGTTTCAACAACTCATTTGCTACTGAAAGTTTTAGTGGCAATGTTAGACCAAACATAAGTGAAGGAATTAGTGTTTATGTATTCAACGATCGAGTTGTTATGGTCAAGTTTATTTTTATGATTTAGGAGAGGCAAATACTGTAATATACGCTGTTCAAAAAGAGATTATGAAAATTGCTATCCAAATCGTATAGCTACAAGAGTTATCCAACCTATTTCGACAAATGAATCCATACTTTCAACACTTTGGGACAGGTATTTAGAGATTCTCCACTGAACAAGGTGAGACTGACAGACAACAAGTTAAAATACGTGTACCAACTTTCATTGGTGTTGCTGCGTTAGCCTATTCAAAGCAGATTATGGCAGTCCAGTTGGCAACCCAGAGTTTGTAGGTGAAAAATGGAGCACATGAAATGGTTGATATCATCTCACTTTTCAGGGTTCTCCACGGAGAAAATTTGTTTGATTAGGGGGATGACTCAAATCAAAGAAATAAATTGACCCAACTTAAATTACTAAACACAGGTTATCTATCAGTAAGGCAACAGTCTTCTTCAATTCTCAATGCTAGAAAAACTTTGATGCAACATGTTAACTCGAATTGAAGCAGATCGTTTAGCATTCATTAGAAGTTATCAATTAAAACTGAGAGCAGAAATAATGTAGGTGAACCTTGACGACGCAAACAGAGATATTTAAAATTATAGTTTCTAACAAGTGTTTAAACAACTCTAAGATGTAGTTAAAATTACTCGAATTTAAGCACATAGTTTTCCTCGGCTTTATGTTTCATATGCGGCTCATTGAGCCGCACGGGTTTTCTAGTGATATTTAGATTATCGGATCAGGTTGTAAAAAGAAACAAACATTGTACGGTAGACAGAATTTATTTGAAGAGAAAAATCACCTGCAACAATTGCAATTGTTGTATGCTGGAGCCTTGAAGGAAAAAATAAGAATAATATATTTTTTCTAGTAGCTATTCAAAGCCATTGAAATCAGAATAATAACTGTGCTTGAATAAAAAAAAAACTTATTATCATGTAATTTACTTTTCTTGTACAGTAGACTCCCTCTTATCCGGACTCACCAGGACCAAGGCCAGTCCGGATAACAGGTTTTCCGGTTAAACCGATGTCCCCAAAAACTTGTTAAAACAGACCTTTTAAATGCATACTGTATATATATTTTACTTAAATTTAGGAGAGCATTGTATTTAGACACGTGATTGCTGGTCTCAAATCTTTCCCTCGAAAACAGTTGGTTAAACCGACGAGCTGATAAAAATCGTCCGGTTAAAGAGATGTCATTTCCGCCGAGTGTAGTCCAGTTAAACCGACGTCCGGTTAAATGGTGTCCGGATAAGCGGGAGTCTACTGTACTAATAAAAAAATAATATTATACTAGCTAACCTGACATACCTAACAGGCAATAAATGTGATGTAATCAGCTGAACTTGTTTGTCACCTAGTTTGTTTGCCACATTAACAGAAGAAAATTATGAGTTACTATGAATCAATTGAGAGAAAACAACAATCAAGAGGGGGATATTAGTTAAATTGTTTAACTCCTGGGGCCCATTTCATAATAAAGTACAAACTAATATTATTAGTAAATCAGCTTATCGCCCAATGCAAATCTAATGGAAATTACAAGTTACAAGTTGTAACTTGTAACTTGTAGTTTATTATGAAATGGGCCCCTGGAGTCCAAACACAATTTCGCTCACTTATTTACATACCATAATACGATGAAATAGCAAATTGAAATGTGCAGATGTGGCTTGTTGTATAACGGTTAATTTTCGATTTTACCACAAGTATTTTCAAACTTCTCACTTACAACAACAGAGTCCATGTTCACTCCTCTAGATTTTAGTTCATCAGCCAAATATTGATTCTTACATACATATGAACCAGATGCAGGTAGACGTTTGTGCATAACTTTTAAAACTGTGTTTTCAAATCTTCGTTGAATATTTCTTATGTCTTTTTTTACTTTATCGGAGACCTTTTGTTCCCCCAATTGGAATAATGTTGGTTGTGGGATACCCAAGACAGTTTTATCAAACTCGAGTGTATTTATATTAAAATTCTGTACGTACAAACAACAATTTGAAGTCAAGCTGTTCAGGATTAGTTTTCCTTTACTCGGTATTTTCACTTCAATTTCCATATGATTATTAGCAAAAATGATATGCAGCTTCCCCTGTTGAGGCGTTAAAAGTTTAATGTAGAAAGCATTGTAAGTGAACTGTAAGCTTGTATATCTATATTGCAGACGAAGAATCTTACCACCATCAGATGCATCGTCCACAGATTTGTCAATGAGCTCGATGGACCTTAGGTCTGAGATCTGTCCTCTTCCCCCACAGACGTAGTACTGTATACCACCATCCACCTCGATGGGGTCTATTTCACCACATTCTGGCATGATTTGTTTCAAAACATCTACCACCTTATCCAGAACTTCATTTACTTTTTCTTCATCTGCAGAGTACAACCCATTGATTAAGTCCCAGTATTCCGAAGCTTTGGTGAGTTTATTACGTAAAGAGTCGAATTTGCTATTTGAGTTGAGTTTATTGCGTAGTGAGTCAAATTTTCTTATTTTAACTTGTTTTTCCTGTAGATTCTCTTGGCTTTCTTGGGATATTGTGTGCACTATTGGATAGAGTAGTACTAGAGAGAGACCTGTGGTGTACACTAGCAACTGCATGGTTGTCAAGTAACTAAATTACCGTACTATAACACAGTTGTGCACACATTAATTAATCTTAACTGTTTAAATAATTTTCGACATGGTTTGCAATGTTACATGTCATATATAGCCCATTCACTTCATTCATTTATTTTAGTTATATAATTCTACTTCTTTTATTGTACCAAAATTCACCATATAGCCTATTTAAATAAATTGTCAGAAAATTTATAGTAAATTTGAATTATATTATCCTTTAATCACCCCTCAGAAACCATCATCACATTTTAAAATATATTGTATACATCCAACAAATGTTATCTATCTATCTATCTATCTTCTATCTATCTTCTATCTATCTATCTATCTATACTATTATAAAGAAGAGGTGGTGTCTGTGTGTGTGTTTGTATGAGCTAATCTCAAAAACTACTGAACTGACTATGCTCAAATTGCACACGAATGAAGCTACAGCTCCGAGGATACATATAGAACTATTACCGCTTCGATATTGACCTGGGGCTTTGCCCCATGGGCTTTCAAAAATCTGAGGTGAGAGATTTAAAAGTAAATATTGATTGATGGTATCCATGGTAACAAAGAAGAAACCTACAAAGTTTAAAAATGTAAACAAGCAGAACTAACTGTCAAATTAATTTTGCTTTCACAATTCCACACAGCTGGTTCAAACATAATGGGCCGAGTGAATAAAAACAAGTACAGCAAGTAATTACTTGCGAGTAAATACTTGCAAGTATTCATCCCTCCAAGTAAACTCTTGTGAATAAAAGCGACTCTTTACTTGCAAGTAAATACTTCCTAAATGAGAGGGTATACTCACTGATCTGAGGGTATACTTGCAAGTATTTACTACTTTCAAAGTAAACTTTATACGAGGTACAAGTAAATACTTGTAGCTTATTTCTCATAAACAAATTTACCTTTCTCTACAATTCTGGTATCCCTATGTGCTCTTACTTGTATATATTTACATATTACTAGTGAACAGCACTGCTGTAGTATGTATAAAACTATAACAGCTAATTTTACATACATTCATCGCAAGGGCGGTTCTAGACCTATATTTTTTGGGGGGGGAGGTTGCCGAGGAGTCCGGAGGTCCTCCCACGGTAGAATTTTAACAATATGTGCTTAAATGAGAGAATTTAAGCTATTTTGAGGCATACAAAAATTAATTATCCTAGCTTGATGTACAAGAGTCCCATAATATTATTGAAGGTCGAAGAATTTGGTTTAAACGTGTAACATGTAATGTTATTTTTTTATTATTGAGACTTGTGGTTTTCCATTAACACGTAGCTTGAACGACGAATGAATAAAATAAAAATACAATACAGTACATCTAGTTTAAAATATAAAAAAAACTTTTTTTATTTATTTAATATTTTTGGACTCTTGTATTAAGGGTTCCAACACTTGAGTCATACAACATTAAAAAACATTATAAATAAATGTATTGAATGTATTACATGCATTTTCAACAAGTAAACGCAAACAAGCATGGGTTACTTATAACTTGTTAAAAAACAAGTATTTACTCGTGGTTATTAACACCAAATTGATAGGTTTCTGAGGGTATACTTCCTTGGCAAGGCTTTACTAACAAGTACAAGTAAATACTCGTGTTTATTCACTTCTGCCCAAGTAAATACTCAAATTCTGAAAATTCAAGACAAGTAAACTCTTTTACTTGTTTTTATTCACTCTGCCCATTAAATACTGCACGAATATAAGAACAGAGAGGGTAAGGATTATAAATTTAAAATAATGATGTCACTAGCCCGAATGTAAACATTATTTAACATTACTTAAAAGAGCTGTCAAACTATTATGTTAATGTAATTTCATTAGTATAGGATTCTTTCAGTTACTTCATTTGTTTATGATCTAACTATACTGAGTCTGTTATAATATTTGTGAAATGTTGTAATAATATTTATTTATTTTTATAATAATTCATTGTAAAAGAAATCATTCATGGATATAGGAAATAATTAAGATTCTATATTGCCTTATCAACCTAGGCCCTTATCCTGAGTTATGAGGTACAGTAATATAATCCCCCTGCCGCAGCAAACCTATAGACTGAGCAAATTCCCATTTGCCTGATTATAATTTCACTAAAATATGTTAGAAAATTACCCTATTAACAGGTTTGGAACTATTGTGATAGGTTTTTGTTTACAGTGCAAACCATTAAACACATTCTTTTATTATAGATACCTTAAAATCTATCATTGGTTTTGTATCCTTGGTAGCCTAAGGATACAAACTACGAACTTGAAGGATTTTCTTCAAGTTCAGAACTTTCATTGACTTCAAAGTCAGAATCTGCTGAGTCATATTCAGATTGTTCGGGTGCTGCTATAGGAAAATCTAAATCTTCTGGAGGAATGTAAAACATGTAATCCTCTTGATTTTGGTCATTTTGCATCAAAGTACTACCTTTATTACATTCTGAAAATGTCACGTCTCTTGAAATTAGTACTGTTTTTGTCCTCGGATTGTAGAGACGGTAGCCTTTTGTTGTAGAGCAATATCCTACTAAAATACATGGTGTCGATCTTGCATCAAGTTTCCTACGATTTGGTGCTGGAACATGTGCATAAGATATCAAATTAATCAGCCTTGACACCTTTAATATGCTATTATAGATAATAATCTACTTACGTATCACGTATGCCAGTAGGTGTCAATTATTAATACAGTAATAATACAGCAAATAACCAAGTATTAATAATTGACACCTACTGGCATACGTGATACGTAAGTAGATTATTATCTATAATAGCATGTGCATAAGCTTTGCAACCAAATGTCTTCACATGAGAGAGGGTTGGTTTTCGGCCTGACCATAATTCTTCAGGAGTCAAAGAAATTGTCCTACTTGGTGAGCGATTTAACAGGTAAGTTACAGTGTTAAATGCTTCAGCCCAAAAACATTTAGGCATCTCGGAGTCAAGCAATAAACATCGGGCACGATCCATTAGTGTGCGGTTCAATCGCTCAGCTTTACCATTTTGTTGTGGCATATAACTGCTGCTAGTCTGATGCACAATACCTGTTTTCTCATAGAACTCGGAAAACTTCTTGCTACAATACTCACCACCTCCATCTGTCCTCAGAGTTTTGATTTTCTTCCCAGTTTGATTTTCTACCAGATGTTTGAAAGATTTGAAGGTTTCTAAAACTTGATCCTTTGTCTTCAAGAAATAAACAAATGCTTTATGGCTAAAATCATCTAGGAAAGTAAGAATATACTTAGAACCAGCAAGAGAATTTACTTCCATCGGTCCAACCAAGTCAGAGTGTACCAATTCAAGCAGTTCACTACTTTTACTGCTACTTGGTTGGAAAGGTAGTCGGTGGCTTTTGCCAAGTACACATGATTCACAAGGAATATCAGGCTATTTATCAGAAAGATTGATTCCATGTGCCAAGCCATTCGACAATTTTGTCAGATCATCATAGTTCAGGTGAGCCATACGTTTATGCCAGAGAATTTGATCATTGCATTTTGCAGTCATGGCTGTGCCTGAAGAGGATTGAACATCCAATTTAAACAAGTTGTTGACCTTAGAAGCTGTGGCAATTACTTCATTGTCACTATTAAAAATCTTAGCTCCTTTGTTGTCAAAAATCACAGTGTTCCCTTTGCTCACAATTTGACTGACAGACAGTAAATTTACATTCAACTGAAGACATAATATACATTTTGAACTTTAGCATCTGATGAAATACCTGAAATATGTACAGAAAGGTTTGTATCTCCAATTGTGTCAGTTACCATAGTGGAATTATTAGTGGTGGTAATACTCAATTGTGGAGATTTCCTTTTATTTTCAAGTATCACATTGTCAACACATAAATGAGCACTAGCTCCTGAATCGAGGTACCAATCATTACTTACATCTGTTCACATTGAGAAGGCAGCAAAGAGTGAATTGTCCTGTTTAGACTTACAACTGTCTCTTTCATTTCTGGTGCTGATGTTCCTGGATTTGTCACAGTTCCTTGATATGTGACCATAACCATTGCATTGGAAACATCGAGGACCCTTGTAACCTCTGCTATCTTGACGTTTCTTGTCTTCGGTGGGTTTCTTTTGGCTTGTGTTGTGTCTGTGGCTGTTCTGAAAAATTGGTTTTGAATTTTCTCTTCGACCATAACCGTACATCGCAATGCATTTGGAAGATTCATTTTCCACGGATACATCTTGAAGTACAAATCAAGCTGAAGTACAAATCGGGCTGTCTTGAAGTAGTTTAGTTTTGATTGAATCAGCCGTTATCTTGACACCAGAGCTTTCAATACCCATAATCATTGGTTGGAATTGATCCGGTAGTCCAACAAGTAAAATTGTTCCTACCCACTCATCATCCACTTTCAGTCCAATGTTGGTTAGCTTGTGGGCCGTTGACACGATATGATTAACATAATCTTCTATGGACTTACAATTTTCTAGCCTTGTAGTTGTTAACAATCGCAACAAACCAACTCTTCGGGTCAAACCCCTGTCAGAAAATGCCTTTTCTAAATTTTCCCAGGCTTCCTTGGCTGTTTCTGCTGATTGAACATGGACATAGTTAACTGAATCAATTAGCAATATGATTTTGGATTTACATTTTGTCACCTTCTTTCTATCTTTTTCAGTTCCCAAAATACAGTCCCAGAGCTCACAATCTTTCAAATATGCTTGAACGGCAACTTTCCATGTATCATAGTTTTCACGGCCTTTCAATTTCTCTATTGATGGAGGTTGATACATTTTCAAAGTTGGTGAACTTGGACAAAATAATCAGGGAAATTAAAATTCAGCAAAACAGGAGGCCCATAACCTGATGTTGTAGAAAATAGCAGAGTTGAGCTGCAGCGGTAATTACTCTGATTATATAAAATAATTTAGACAGTTAGTTAATTTGAAACTAATTTAATTGAGAATAAGATAGAATACAAAATATAACAACTGAATGTAAACAAGTCAACTATAAACAAACTCATAACAATATAGAAATGCTAGCAGAGTACTCGTCCTTCGTACGGGGTTGGTATATAAGTACAAAATGCTTATTGCAGTTATACTCAAGCTTTGCGTTTGCAATAAGGGAGGATACAGTTTGATAAAATTTGCTTTTTTAAATTTACAGTATTCTATAGTATTACACATCTACCATAGCCATAATGTTCTACCACTTCACCTAAACAATAGAGAAAAATAAACTATCAACAATTTGCAAAATATCACAAATTATTCATGAAATGAAAAACATAAACATAACTGTAAACAATCCTACTTTGACAGTTCTCATTGCGAATCACAGTTTTTTGTTGCTGCTTAGTTCAAATTAGCTGTTTTCATAAATGCAAAAAAAATATAGTGCTACACCCTGTTGTCTTATAACTTTTTAATGCTTTTCCATATCATAGAACCAACTTTTTTAGTTGAAACAGCTGACTAAATTCTTTAATTCCCTTTAAATATGAATACCCATAAGGTTAACATGGGGAATTACAGAGCCACTGGGGCGGAGCCCGAAAGGATTTTTGAGATAAGAATATGCCTATATGTTAATCGGGAATGTAAGCTATCATCATGCCAAATTTCAGCCCAATCCATCTAGTGGTTTATGCGTGATTGAACTTCAAACACACAAACAAACAAACAAACACACAAACTTTCACATTTATAATATTAGTAAGATAACATAAACCATATGTTATAACAAATTAGGCAGGCAGCAGGCAATGTGAATATGTAAGTTAGACATTACAACAAAGACACCATCAAGATCTAATCTCGCAATCCTTTTGGTTTTGTGTTCTGTAAGTCCTTAAAAATATTCTGATAAGACATAGCAGTTTGATTGTTTTTCATAAACACATTTGTACAGGATATGCATCAATGGTTGATACCACTAAAAGCCAAAAGAATAACTTTCTGTACCACTTTTGTCCTTCTCATGAACGCATAGTTAAAGAATACGAGGTCTCTACTGTCAACTCCACCCATGTGTTTTGTATATTCCAACACAAGATCGGGCTGTAAACATGCACTACTATAAAACCTATACTTGCGACCAAAGATAGATTTAATTTTATCAAAACAAACAGTTATTGTGTTAACTGCCTAAAATCACATCAGATCTACCTGCAGTATGTCTCTCATCCAAGCTAAAGGACATGCTACTAATGTAAACCTCGCAGATCCTAGCTTTGATAAGCGAGGTCCAATTCAAATGTTGTTGGGTGCTAATATTTTCATGCAAATAATAAAATCGGCACATTTTAGTTTAGGTGAAAACTTGCCTGATGTTTTAGACACAGTCTTTGACTTTGTTATTATTGGTAAAGCGCCTGTACTCAACTCTGACGTATGTGACGTATCTACGAACTGCACAACACTTGTTTGCCTTCAAAACGAGAGTTGTTTCCCTTACACAAACTTACATCCGACTTTTGGTCCCTAGAGCAACCCCCAGAACCAAATAAATTAACAGAGGATGACATTGCGTGTGAGAATCACTTTGTTAAAACTCACACTCGTTCGCCTGGTTCTGGGAAATTCACTGTGAAACTCCCTTTTAGAAAACACCCCGAAAATCTAGGCGATTCATCGTTCTCAGCAAAAAGACGTTTTTTATCTCTGGAAAATAAATTAAAATCCCAACCCTGAACTCAGAGGATCCTATTGTGATTTTATGGAAGAATATCAAAGTCTGGGGCATATGACTTTGTTGAAAGGAGATTTCCCTAAAGATAAGCATTATTTCCTCCCTCACCATGGCGTTATAAAGGAATCCAGCACTAGCACTTGTCTTAGGGTAGTTTTTGACGCCAGCTGTAAGACCTTTAATAACATTTCTTTAAATGACATATTACACGTTGGACCGAAACTTCACAATGAAATTGCATCAATTGTAATATGTTTCATATTAACATTGATTTGTGTTCTTTAATATGTTATATAATTTATGCCTGCCTTCTTTCTTTATTTTAATTGAACCAACATATGTTTTATTATTATTATTACTTTGTAAATAATGTCCAATTTAAATAGGTACACATCTTTTTTGTCAAAGTCTTGTCTGTCTTTAATATTTTTTACATTTGGTGCCGAAACCCGACTTTATCATGTCAATAAGGAGATCAGAGAGGGAAACACACCCTCCAGACAGATATAATCCAGCAATTGGGAATAACAACGACAAAACTGTTAATCCAAAGCCAAGTAAAGACCAACCATCAGTATCTGCCAAATCTAGTACTTCTTCTAGTAGACGACGATTAATGGAAGTGGAGTTGAAGAAGCTGGAAGAAATACAGAAATTGGAAAGAGCCCATGAAGAAAGAGAAATGGAGCGACAACGACAAGTTGAAGAAATGGAGCCACAACGACAAGTTGAAGAAATGGTGCGACAACGACAAATGGAAGCTAGAGAACTAGAGCGACAGAAGCAACTGCTGACAGCGAGAGCTGAGCTTGAGTCTGCTTCAGTGTGTGGCAGTCAACAGTCAAGCCGCCCTAGTAATCGATCTGAAACCAAGGTAGGACTTAGCATAAATCTTGATGATGAGGAAGAACCGCAAAGCAAGGTTGAAAGGTGGTTGAATGAAAAAGAACCGACAGTTCTTAAGTCCTCATCAGCCATCATGACCTTAGCCTTGCAAAAGCTTGCGGATACCTTCCAAAAAGCTATACAGCCTGTTTCATTTCGTCAAAAACATCCAAGCTTCAGTGGCAAGCCTGATGAATGGCCGATATTTTTTTCGGCGTATAAAAAAACTGCCTATCTTTTTAGTGAGGATGACAACCTCATAAGAGTAAGGAATTGCCTAGAGGGAGAAGCATTTAGAATGGTTAAGCCTCTTTTTGTCTCAAGTAAAAATCTTAAGTCAATTATCAAGACCTTACAGATGCGTTTTGGTAGACCAGAACTCATTTTGGAGTCAATGTTAAAAAAGACTCGTAGGCTACCTTCAGTCAAGGAAGACGACACTACAAGTCTTGTTGAGTTTTCGACAAATATTTTGAATTTTACTGCTACAGCAGAGTCACTACATCTAGAAAATTATGTATTAAACCCTTACTTACTAAATGAATGTCTCAACAAACTTCCCTATAGTTTAAAATACAGGTGGGCTGAGCATGTAAGTAATAATGCTCTAAGCAGTCCCAACTTGAAGGAGTTTTCCACTTGGTTGGAAAAACAATGCTCAATCCTGAGTATTTACTTTTGTCCTACAGAAGAGAAACTCTGGCAGAAGAAAACTGACATAAAGCCGGTTTATACCAGTTCTACCGAAGACAAACAGTTTAACTGTATGTTTTGTCTCGAAAGCCACGAAAGTGAACGATGTGGAGTTTTCAGGAAGGCAGATGTATCGCAGAGATGGAAAATGATAGTCGAAAAGAAACTATGTTTCTTCTGCTTTCGACGTCGCCAGCTCCAAAAATGTAAAGTAAAAAAGGTTTGTGGGATAAATGGGTGCAGGTTGTTTCACCATCGTCTTCTCCATACTGACAAAATTTAGAGGTTTCCCAAACAGGACAGCGAACCGCAAAATAAAGAAATTATTAGCAGTCATGTTGTTAATAACCGTGTTCTACTAAGAGTATGTCCAGTGACATTATATGGCCCAAGTTGTCAGATCGACACTTACGCACTCTTAGATGACGGGTCAACAGTATCTTTGTTGGATTCAGCTACAGCCGATAAATTAGGCGTCAATGGTAGTATTGAACCCCTCACGACATGCTGGTCCAATGCAACCCAACATTTCGACCCAACATCCATGACTGTGAAAGTTAAAATTAAAGGGTTATATGAGGACGAAGTATTTACATTAAACAATGTAAGAAACCCAGTCACCATTGGACTTGCCAAAACAAATGGTGGATACTGTCAAACTGAAAAAGAAGTGGTCTCACTTACGGTCAATTGGTCAACTTTTACCGTCAGCAAATTTGAAACCTACAATACTTATAGGTCAAGACTACTGTGACCTTATTCTAGCAAGGAAAATAGTTGAAGGTCCTCCCAACTCTCCAGTCTTGTCTTGGAGCCGTTTAGGCTGGACATTGCACGGTAAATGTCATGAACACATTGGGCGAGTAGATAGTCAATTCACTTTAACGTCTTTTGAAAGTAAAAAACTTAATGATATTATCAAAGATTCTTTTGAAATCGAGAATTATGGCGTGTCCCTAGTAGAAGATGACAATGTGAAATCAGTTGAAGACGAAAAAGCACTCAAGATTTTAGAAGATACAACCAAAAAAGTAGGGGATAGGTATGAATCCGGCCTACTATGGAAGTCAGAAGACTTTAAATATCCACCGAGCTATGAAAATGCGCTGAAAAGGCTTAAGGGTATTGAAAGGAAGATGGCAAGAGACGAAAACTTTCATAACAAATACAAAGCCAAGATCACTGACTATGAAGAAAAAGGTTACATCAGAAAACTACGTGATGACGAAGCTAATGTTATAAATGACCGGACTTATTATCTGCCTCATTTTGGGGTAATAAATCCAAACAAACCTGACAAACTGAGGTTAGTATTTGACGCAGCTGCTAAAGCGAATGGTGTGTCATTCAATGATCGTTTGCTTAGTGGTTCTGACCTTTTGAACCCTCTGCCAGCAGTACTTCTCAAATTCAGATTAAGAAAATTTGCGATCGCAGGTGACATACAAGAAATGTTTCATCAAGTACGTATCAGAAAAGAAGATGTCGATTCGCAAAGGTTTCTATGGAGAGAAGATCCGATCAACAAACCAGATACCTATATCATGGAAGCAATGATATTTGGATCAACGTGTTCCCCGAGTACTGCCTTGTATGTAGTAAACAGCAACGCCAAGAGGTTTCTACAAATTTACCCAGAAGCAAGTAAAGCGATCCTCTGCAGTGAATACATGGACGATCTACTAGACTCTACTGATACAGAAGAAGAAGCTAGAATTAGAATACAACAGATAACAGAAATTCACAAGTCCGGAGGTTTTAAAATCTGTAACTGGTTGTCAAATTCAAAAGAAATTTTACTTGAAATACCGGAAGATTTGAAGACAAACTCTACAAAACAACTGCAACCTGAAAGTCGTCTACCTACAGAACGTATCCTCGGAATGTGGTGGTATGCTGAGACTGACCACTTTTCATTTCACCGGAACGCCGAAAAGGTACAGTTAGTTGAAACAAGGTATCCGACCAAACGTGAAGTTTTAAGAGGAGCTATGTCCATTTTCGATCCATTGGGATTAGTTGTACCTACTACTATAAAAGGGAGAATGCTTGTTCAGGACATTTGGCGAACAAACATAACGTGGTACGAAGTTCTTTCGATAGAACTTAGTAAAAAATGGCAAGTCTGGCTACAAGAAGTAAAATGTCTGCAGAGCTTCACCATACCTCGATGCTATTTTAACGTCAAAACAATTGAAGAAGTTGAACTCCATACGTTTGTTGATGCTAGTGAAGAGGCCTATGCAGCAGTTTCATATCTACGCCATGGATGTGCCAGAGGTGCTTACAAGACCATGCTTGTTATGGCACGTGCCAAAGTAGCACCACTCAAACAAACAACCATTCCCCGACTAGAACTCCAAGCAGCTGTTCTTGGATGCAGAATAGCTTGTAGCATCATAAAAGACATTGACTTAACTATTTCTCGTCAGATATTTTGGTCAGATTCTGTAACAGTTTTGCACTGGCTGAAATCCGACCCTAGACAATTCAAACAGTATGTTTCCAATAGAATTGGAGAAATTCAAGATTTGTCTAAACCTGAAGAATGGAGATGGGTTCCATCAAAACAGAATCCGGCAGATGTTGCAACTAGAAGTAACAAAAAGTTTACATCAGCCATGCATTCTGAATGGATTCACGGACCCTCATTTCTAATGCGAGAATCGAGTGACTGGCCAATACAACCGTCCACAATACAAGTCAAGAAAAATGAAGAAACAAAGAAGAGATTTGTCGGAGTTGTAAACAGTAATGAAAACCCTCCTCTTTTGACAGTTGAAAACTTTTCTTCTTGGGAAAAAGTGACACGTGTATTAGCATGGGTACACAGATTTATTAGCATGCTAAGGTCCCATACTACCGCCACCACCAGAAAGAAACTGAAAACGGTCAACCTAGATTTTGGAAATATACCAGAACTTCAACCAGAGGAAATTCAAAAAGCTGAACAGAACTTGATATCAATGTCTCAAAAGGCAAGCTTCAATGAAGAAAAGAATTTACTGCTGAAGAACAAACCGCTACCAAAGTCCAGTAGAATATTCTCTTTAAATCCCTTCATTGATCAGTCTCTAATAAGAATGTCGAGTAGAATACATAGTTCATCAGAAATGGTATAGTTCAGACATGGTTCGCGTTGAATTTATAATAAATTCTCGCCCACTCACACATGTTTCTCTGGATCCCAATGACCCTGAACCAATCACACCAAACCATTGTCTAAGAGAAGCTTACAAAATCAACCTAAACGAAGACCAACTGTGTAAACGACAATTAGCTCGTGTTAAATCACTCCTAGACGGCTTCTGGAAGAGATGGGTGCACGAGTACCTTCCATGCCTTTCAAGACGGTGCAAATGGCACAAGAAATTGGATCCACCAAAGATTGACAATCTTGCAATAATAATTGAGGAAAACTGCCCAAGAAATACATGGCCCCTTGGCCGAATCTCGGCTGTCTACCCAGGTCACGATGGCCAAGTACGAATAGTAGACATCACAACATCAAAAGGAACCTATCGCCGGCCTCTGACTAAAGTTGCAGTCCTTTCTGTTGGAGGGGAAAAGATGTAATATGTTTCATATTAACATTGATTTGTGTTCTTTAATATGTTATATAATTTATGCCTGCCTTCTTTCTTTATTTTAATTGAACCAACATATGTTTTATTATCATTACTACTTTGTAAATAATGTCCAATTTAAATAGGTACACATCTTTTTTGTCAAAGTCTTGTCTGTCTTTAATATTTTTTACATCAATCATAATCAACTTCAGACAACACCGCTTTGTTTTTACAACGGATGTAAAACAAATGTTTCGTTCAATAGATCTTAATGAGTCAGACCAAAAATATCAGCTTATCTATTGGCGCAAGGACTCAGCCGAGCCGTTATCTGTTTATCAGTTAAATACGGTTACATATTGAATGACTTGTAGTCCTTATATTTCTAACAGAGTAATCAAACAACTAAATGAAGATGAAAAGGATTCTTGCCCTGTTGCATGTAAAGCTTTACAGGATCATATTTATATTGACGATATTGCACTCGGTGCTGATAGATTAGAGTATGCTGTCGAGCTAAAAAATGATGTAATATCCTTATTAAATAGAGGAGGTTTCCAGCTAAAAAAATGGACTGCTAACAATGAAAAGCTCTTATCAGATATTCCTGTTGATTTTCTGGAGAAACCTGACAGTTTTTACACTCCTGATCAGCCACTCATTGCAATTCTAGGTTTACAATGGATCCCAAGCTCAGATAATTTTACCTACAAAATTAATCTGGACAAATGCGAACCTCTCACCAAACTAAAGGTGTTAAAAGCAATATAGCTCTAATATTTTACCCTTGTGGTTTTTTTATCTCCTATTGTCATTTTTGCCAAGACTTTTATCCAAGCACTCTGGGCACGAGGACTTAATTGGAACAGGACTTAGCAGAACGATGGCTTATTTTTTTTAAAGAATTACCAATGCTAGAAACTGTCAAACTACCTCACCATTTTGGTACCTCTAATGCAAACAACATGCAACTTCAAGGGTTTTATGACGAAAGCGTGGTGGCATATGCCGCATGCATTTATTTAAGGTTGATTAATATGGATGAAGTTGAGACTATCAAGACTACTTTAGTAATAGCAAAAACAAGAATTTGCGCTGCTTAAGCATGCAACATTACCCCATCTAGAACTATGCAGCGCTCATCTGCTAGCACAGTTATTGCATTACTCTATGACAGTTGTAAGCAAACAAACGAATATTGACTCAGTGTATGCATGGTTCGATTCAACGATCACACCCAGTCTGCACACTTGTGAAAATCACGTGATTATCACATGAAAAAATTGTGACGGTATTTTTTTTCATTTGCACGTGAAAGTGAAAATTTAAAAGTTTTTAATAACGAGTAAATATAATGGTGAAAATGGTATAATTGTTATCACGTGAAAAATTATAATATGTGACAAGTGGAAAAATGTATGTCATAATGAAAAGTATAAGTGGAAAACAATAAAGCCTAATTATTTGATTTTACCTATAAACCTTCTTATTTGACAATTTTAATTCAAACTTAGGAATATTTAATTAATCAAAATTTTACTTAGAAAACAATGTAGCAATGATTTTTTGAGGTTGTCCAAAAGTAAACAACCAAAATCTGAAAAATAGTTTTACTAGTCAAAATTAAGATAAAATCAAGCATAAAATTCTTCCAAAAATTGCTTTATTAACCAGATACCCAAAATTTTGTTTTGTTTGTGAAACATTTTACATTTGAATTTTTCCAAACAATCTTTATAAAACTTAGTACCGTAGGTATATTAAAGTAAGGAAATCCTATATTGAATCAAAAAAAGTTGGTGCAATTGAAAATTTCAAACCGGAGGCCATTTGAGTTTTTATAGCTTTATTTGATAAAAATGCCAAGTTTTATGAAAAAGTCAAGTACACTTTTATGTGGCAAATGACATGCATTAATAAAATAATTTACAATTAGCTAAAATATAACGATTTTTAACTGTAAATTTTGTTTTTAGTTGTATTTTTTTTATTGTCATGCATCACAATGCCTCATTGACATTTATTTTCTTTATTTACCTTTGTCAGTTCGCTCCCTACAGTGTCTAGTGTAAGTGAGATATCATTTAATTGTCATTTAACATTCAGAGGTGTGTAACAGAGAGGGTGATTAAGAGGCAGAAAGATGGAGAGAGAGAGAGAGGGAGAGAGAGGGAGAGAGAGAGAGAGAGAGGGTGAGGGAGGGAGAGGGAGGGAGAGAGAGAAAGATGGGGATGCACACATCGATCTCTATTGAAATCGATGGATGCACATTAGATTTTTTAAATATTATTGTTTACAACAATAGTAAAGTAAAATTTTGTATAAAATACTTTTTATGACCTACCAAGATTTGAATTTTAAAAGGATGGTCGCGCCAGTCTGAGCCAATTATAGGCTCTAAAACCAGCGCATGCGGGAGAGAACTTATCAACTGGAACTGATCTTTCTGCTCGTTGTTCGTTGTGCTTAACCAAACCATAACCTCTCAACTTTGTTAAACTTTAACCATTCACCATTTTATGTATTTGTATTACTGTAGTTTACTTATTGTGTCCAGTAAGCTACAAGTAGATGTTTAAGTAAGTTATTAGTTTTTGAGTCATCAGTCACCAAAGAAAATTTATTGTTATTGAAGAAGTTGTCTCCTACCAAGGTAAGTTAAGGCATTCATAGTAACATAAGCATAATTTAGTTCATTATGAGCTGATTAAATTATAGAAAACTAAAGTTAACCAAAACAGCCTAGGGCAACAACAGTTATCACTTTATTTACCCAGTACCTGATATAATACTACTCCACTTTTGGTCGTTGGGAAGTTGTGACTGCTGGTCTGTACCAGCAGTCGCAACTTAACAGGGCCTCTCAGCAACGTGTCCAGGGATCAGCAAAGGGAGTAGACTCAGCAGGGGGGAGAAGGCGCCTTCTATGGGAACTGAAGCGACGTTCTTGGAGGGGGGGGGGCGATGACGATTGTACAGTCAAAAATGGCACTAGATGACACAAATGCACTTCTCTCCAAAATATCAAAATAAACTTTCACTTATAAAAACAGATTGTACTAAAAAAAGTATATTAAACCACGCCTTTTTCAACAAAAATCACAACTCTGTGCACGATCTCGAGCACGTGTTCATGTGAAAGGTAAAATAAAATAAATCACTGTCTAAAAAGTTTTTAAAAGAAAAAAACAACTTTTTTACAAGGTATTAATGTATTTGAACGGGAAAATAATATATTTTTGCGGTGATTGCGGTTCGATAGTTTATGGCCGTGATGCACGGGAGTTGCCTGGACAATGATACATGCGGAACTGACCAAGTGGCGTCTTTCCCTCTCCACTAACATTGAAATTGACCAATGAGAGGGCAGGGATAAGAATAACTCAGGAAAGGGTTTGCACTGTGTTGGTGTTCAGGTTCAGATGTTTTAAACTTGTTGAATTATGTTTTGTGATATTGTACATACCGCCGCCCTTGAATCACTCAGAGATTCGCAATCTAAAACATAACTAAAAGTTCTCTTGTTAAAAAGGTTTCATTGAAAATAAAAAAGTATGTTTGTGAAAATAAAAACCATTTGAAAAATAAACTTCTTTTTTTTCTCTTGTAGATTACTTAGAAAGGGGCGAGTTCTTGAAGACAGGTCTCGTGAGCGTTCCCCTGGCTGTCTTCAGGGTGACGACTCTAGTGACGCCATCAGGTCCTGGGTGTGTTTTTATGACTCTTCCTTTTATCCAAGTTTGAGGTGGGACTGATTGGTCATGAATTAAGACTAAATCATTTTCTTCTACATTAGGGTGTGATTTGGTCCACTTCTTTCTCTACTGTAGTGTGTGTAGGTATTCAACTTGCCATCTCCTCCAGAAATATTGAACCATCGATTGTACAGCTTGCCAGCGTTTAAGGTGATTCATATGTGACTCTCCGTGATTTGATTCAGGCAGGGAAATCATGGGTCTTCCAATGATAAAATGTCCTGGAGTTAAAATGTCAAGTTCCGGTGGATAAGATGACATGACATGTGACATAGTGGACGAGAGTTTAAAATGGCTTCGACACGTAAAGATAAAGTTTGAAATTCTTCTAAAGTAAGAATTCTTTAACCAATAACTCTTTTTGGCACTTTTGATACCACTCTCCCATATACCACCCTGGTGAGGGGCTGAAGGTGGTATAAAATGAAATTGAATTGCGTACTGCATGGCAAATTAATTCAATTTACTTTTTGTATCTTGACTTCTCATAAGATCTCTGATTACTCTGTTTAACTGATGTGAAGCTCTCACAAAGTTAGTGGCATTATCAGTTAGTATTATTTTTTTCTTCACATTTTTTACTGTACTATCGTCATCGCCCCTCCCCCCTTCCAAGAACGTCACTTGAGTTCCCATAGAAGGCGCCTTCTCCCCCCTGCTGAGTCTACTCCCTTTGCTGATCCCTGGACACGTTGCTGAGAGGCCGTGTTAAGTTGTGACTGCTGGTACAGACCAGCAGTCACAACTTCCCAACGACCAAAAGTGGAGTAGTATTATATCAGGTACTGTGCTCCAATC